GGAAAAGACGGTGGGAAAAGACGGTGGGAAAAGACGGTGGGAAAAGACGGTGGGAAAAGACGGTGGGAAAAGACGGTGGGAAAAGACGGTGGGAAGAGGCGGTGAGAGAGGGGGTGGGCAACACTAGCCAATCATTCGGATGCGCAGCACGAACCCTGCATATTGTACGGAACACATCCGGGAAGCAGGAACCTATGTACAGTTTTCCAATTCAGGGAAGTAAAAATACAGAGCTGGGCTCGAATGGAGTCTCGGGGGACTCCAGTTTTCCTCATCCTATGACCGTACGTGACATATAATTACCAGTGATTTAACTTATATCCACAAGAGTTCAGTGCGATAAGTGATTCAATTTTTTGATCTAAATTCGTCAATCGCAGAGACCCAAAGCAAATGGGACGTCGAGATCGTTCCAAGCATGTCACAGGTCATCTATAACATAAAACAAAACATGTCAGATGCTAAAAAAACAACACGCCAAACTAGCAGGCGTGGATCTACGCGTCAAAGTTCATCTCTATGATCTATCATGATTTACTATGCATCATACATCATCCATCATCTAATGCGTCTGATCTGTCCAAACTCTCATCTTAGGATTGTATGTTCTGTGTATTTCTTCCCAATTCCCATTTTCCCACCTTCTGCGGCATGTCACCTCAACGCTGAGATTTCCCTCACCTGAATATGCGACTTCGACACCATGCACTCGTTGCGACTCCGGTAACGTCGGCGGTGATATCTCTTCTTGCGACGGCATACAAACGACCTGGTAAACTTCATTTACGCACAATTCCTGCTCAGTGCCGTCTTCAATACGCATCACCTCGCGAGCAACAGAGGCCGCTACGGTCGCATCCCAAATGCCCTCGGTGTGGAGGGTGGCCTCGAGCAGCTGTATTGCATACAGTCGGAGTCTACGGACGCGGCATTTTATAGCAGTATAGTACACTGCTGGAATCCAACCGATGTCGATGATCGAGCCTCTCTCGTCTCCAGGAAATTGATTGATCCCCAATTGCGCGTGCCATCCGGCCACAATTGTCCACATTTTGGTCGCATATTCCATGATCGCGAAAAACTGAGGCGTCAGAGCATCATAGACCGTTTCAAGGTGCGGATACTGACATGCCTCCGTAATGATAATGGCCATTGCGTAATACATGCGCAATATAATGACGCCAGCTTTACTTTTCGGAGGCAGTGACGAGATTTTGTCAACGACGTATACATTGAATGCTTCCCACCAGGAATTTATTTCAGTCTGTAATGCCTTTTTTTCGCAAAGCAGCGCAGCTTGAGCCTGCTGTGAGAGGTGTTCCTTCCTGCTCACATTGCCGATCTCGAGAGCCCGAAAGAGAAGCTTATCGAGCAGCTCTTTGGCTTCCTCGATAGACAAGAATTTTGGCCGAGTCTCCGAGGCAATTCGACGATTCAGAATGAAACCTGGATCAAAATTTCTGTATCCGAGCAGAGCGACCTGCAGTGAAAGCTTCAAGAAGGCTTCGTATATGAGTTGGGATGTGTAGTCGTTGACGACTGCTCTGAAGCCGTCTCCGTCCAAATCGTGCTCGAATTGCTCTATCAATTTCAAACCACTGGACAAATGTGATACTGCAGCGGCATAATGTTTCTGGATTAATTCCAGACACACGAATAGTATACATGTAATCAATGTGACCCTTCGTGACGATACAGTCTGGTCGTGGAAGTGCGGTTCGAGACAACGTATTGCTTTACTGTACGCCTTCAAGGTGAATAGTTCATCTACCGGGGCTACACCAGGTAATTGCAGTAGCTCCTTTTTGTGGGCAGACGTCAGTGCCAGAACTCCGTGCCACACCGGTGGCTCGCTGTAGCAAACCTGAAGCAGGAAAGACGTCCAAAATTCAGATAAAAATGCACCCGTGAGCTTCCTGGACGTGATTTCCTGGAACCAGGACATCAAATTAGATTCTTCTTCCAATCTTGAAACCATCGGGATAACTGGAGGGATGGAATAAAAAATGCATTCGTAGCCTTTTGTGGTTGGAAGCTGGTTAGAGAAGTCTTGAACGCGCCTCGCTTGAACAATCTGGCTCAATTCTTCTTGGGCTGTACGAGTTGAAGATGACTCAGTTCCTGGCAACTTCAACGGTCCAGGATTGGGCTGGAATGTCTTCACATAAGAGTTGGATTCCTTTCGCGATATGCGGACCTTGGGCCGTACATTGTCGGTACAGTGCGGAGAAATAGACTGCGTAATTTGAGCGGCTACACTGCTAGTACCTCCTCCCCAGATCCCATAGCCTTCACATGAACGGCCCGATTTGATGCATCGATTGCATGCAGGGCGAGCTTCATCGCATTTGACCTTACGAACTCTATGGTTTCTGTCAGCCACCAACGCTACGCGTGAGATAAGGCTCTACCTACTTGCAGGTGCGACAAGCTGTTTTCACCTTTGGCGCATTTCTCCCTGAAGCCTGCTTGACAGCCTTCGTTTGAGTAGCGTTTCGTTGAGAGTGTGTCATTTTTGGACAATTGTCCCCCTAAGTGAGAATATCCCGTTGAAACTACGTTCCTGGAGAGAAAGACAAGCCTCCGGTCGGAAATCTATCGCCTCCATTCGAGGAATGCATGGCAGCTGATCGAAGGAGCGCATTCGACGACATCGCTGGTGTCATGACGAGAGGACAGTGGATGCATAGTTGCGCAAGGGTGGACGAAGCCCATTGGTTGGCTCGGACTCTGCAGGTTCTGATTGGTCGAAATCGAGCTGAACAGTTTCGGTTTCGTCGGCGGAATCATTGACGTACCGCGATGAGCAACTGTTGGAATACACGGTCCCACAGACCGACCAAAAACGAAAATGGTAATATCGGATCCCAAGTTAATGTTATCCGCCCTCAAATTGCGACAATGCTAGTCCGAGCAGCCAGTCAGCGATGAGCTTTTCCGAGGTTTTTTCAGAGCATGCCCTACAAGGCTGGTGACCACAGCCTTGCGACGTCGCTGGTGGTTGACAGCCAGTTTCCATTGCATCGTCCGTATACTAGACGAGAAATCAAGTATAAGTATGTGCAGCATTTTGTCCATGTACAGCTGCACGATCAGCACTCATCATTTCAACTGGCTGTTAAAGATCTCCGATCCGGCTGAGAACAGGAACGTTGCGAATTAAAGAACCAACCATTGTCAACGCCCAAATGGTGTCAACATCCTTCCCAGAATACGGTGCAACGACAGAAGCCTCGTCTGTCGCCAAGGCTTTTTCCGACTCTGTCAAAGGCCGCACGATCATCATCACGGGCGTAAACAAGCTCGGAATCGGATTTTCGACAGCGACAGCTTTCGCCTCGCAATCTCCACGTTCCGTAATCCTTGCCGGAAGGTCCCAAGCTAAGCTTCACGAATGTCTGGAGAGCCTCGAGTCTGATTACCCTGGCGTAGACTTTCGCCTCTTGGTTCTCGACTTGAGTTCCCAGAGGTCCGTCAGGAAGGCCGCGGCAGAAGTCCTCTCATGGAACAACATTCCCACAATCGACATTGTGGTTAACAACGCAGGCGTCATGTTACTTCCGGAACGCACGCTCAGTGAAGATGGAGTCGAGATGCATTTTGCCACCAATCACCTCGGACACTTCCTTTTCACCAATCTGCTAATGCCCAAGATACTCGCTTCGGCGAAGACCTCGCCTGTTGGACGTACTCGTATCGTTAATGTTAGCAGCCTGGCAAGCATAACTTCCGGTCTCCGCGCAAGCGACATCAACTTTGAAAAGCGAGTGTCGCAACTTCCGGAGAGCGAAAAGCCCAACATCGCATTGATGAAAATGTCCGGTTTGGCTGCAGATGAAGAAATGACTTACATTCCGATGGCGGCATATGGGCAGAGCAAGTGCGCCAACAGCCTCTACACTGTAGGCCTTAACAAACGACTACACGAGAAATACGGTGTCACCAGCATCGTCCTGCACCCCGGAGAAATCGAGTCTGAGCTTCAGAGGCACGTGGATCGAGATTGGATTCAGAAGGCTCACAAGGCAATGAATATCGTGCCGAAGACATTGCAACAGGGAGCTAGTACAACCATGGTGGCAGCGCTGGATCCCAAGTTGGGGACACTGAGTAGAGATGAGTATGGATTGTATTTAAGCGACTGCCAGATTGGAAAAGTCCCAGCGTACGCGATCGACTCGGCTAAGGCTGAAAAGTTGTGGGACATAAGTGAAAGCTTGGTAGGAGAAAAATTTGCTTGGTAGAACACAAGAGATTTGAGCCATCGCAAGTGCCGCACTTGCGTAATTACCGGCATCAAAGTCACGCAGCACCTGGATGCGTTGCATGTTTTTTCAAGAAGTTAAATAGTTCGCGACCAATCTGTACACAGGAATCTTGTCCAACCTCAAATGATAAAGCCTTCTGCCGTTCCTGCTCCATCAACAACCAATCCTTCTTTCTCACCTTAGAGGACAGTCATAAGAATACGACCAACATACCGAGCTAACACTAAGCTGATGATGTATGCTGACCAAACCTAGTTTGCGGTGAGCCGGGGCATTTTACTCACGGCAATCGATGAAACAACGGCTTGATCCTTCTCTGCTTTTCCCTCCAAAAAATACGTTCCAGTAGTGGGAAGCAAAGTGGGGATCTTCAGCTGGGCATTGGACATCGCTTCAGCCAGGCTCTCAATCGCCTTCTTATTACGTTCCTGGAGTCGCTTTTGCGCAGCATTCGCGCCTTTCGCGGTCGCCATGTCGCTTGAGCCGATAGTGAGCTGTGTCGCTTCTTTGCTGATCTGCGTAGCCACTTCATGCAGTTTGGACTTCAGGGCGCCGAGCTCTCGAACGCACTCGCGCACTTTGGACGATTCCGCCTGTGCGTGCTTCTGGAGCAAGGCGATTTCCACCGTCAGCTGGTCTGCTCGGCCAATGTCTTTCTGAATGCGAGATCGGGTCGCTTCTTCAGACTTGAGCGTACTCTTCAACCGCTGCAGCCGACTCTCGAGAGAACTTTTCTCGGTGGTTAATTCGACAATTCGGCGATCAGCCTCAAGAACTCTGGCCTCCGTGGTTGATATTCTCGATCGCAAGTCCCGTATATGATCTTTGACAGTGTCATATTCGACTGCTTTGGCACTGATTATTGGTCAGCGGTGGCATTGTGGCCTCAATTCACAAGCACTCACGTGCCGTAGCCAGCTCCTCCAGCAGTCAGAACAAGAGATGCCCCACCAGTTACTGGAGCCAAGAGTATGCCCGATATGGCCATGAGCTGGCGGTTTTAGCGCGCTTGCTGTGGTCATTAAGAATCAATCTACTTACTCCACCACCCCAAGCTTTTTCTTTCTTTCGCCGGGCTCGCTGTTGCGCTTTCTCCAGGTCCGCGTTCAAAGAATCCAACTGACTTCGTTGGATTGACAGTTCCGAACGCAAGGTCGATGCTTCATCTGTCTTGGTCTGGATGCTTTGATCTTTCTCAGCGATCTCCTTCTCTGTCTCTCGGATGAGCTTCAGGCTCTCCTTCTTGTCTTTGAGCGCCTTGGATTTCAAGTTTGCACTCTCTTGTTTTGCTTCTGTCAAGTCTCTCCGCTTGGTGGCTATTTCTTGCTCAATGTCCATCAAAGAGCTTTGGAAAGCCATACTTCCACCCATAGCCGAACTGATCTTAGCTTCAGCCTTCTCAAGACTGTATACTATGCTGCCAACATGCGATTCAAGCCATTTCATTTGGGGTTGTAGGTTTTTCAATTCTTTCCCCGCGTGCTTATTTATATCTTCTAGTAGCCCGCTAACTTCGACATTGACATATTCGAGCTCTTGGCTACTCTGATGTAAAGCCTTGCGAATTTCCTGTACTTCTGTGCCGATTTCGTTCTTTGCGTTGCTCTGCACGGTACATAGGGATGATTTGGAGCCAAGTAAAGACAGGTTTATCTCTTCAACCTTGGAAATGAGATCTTCCATTGTTTTTCGTGACCACGTTGAGCTACAGGCTTTTCGCAACAGAGAAGTTTGACTCCCAGGATATATGTCGAGAGATCATAAAGCCACATCGAAGACACGAGCACAACATCGCTTAATATTCTTGGCCTTTCGCATCACCGTGAGCAATCCATGAGCAAAAGTTTGACTCGATTCTCAATTCTGACGCATGAGCTCAGTGCCTCAAGCGGATCAATCAGGCTGCCAAGGCTCTTAATCGCTTGTATTGGCAGCCGAGCTGCATGACGGAAAATGCCGCACAAATAAACAGGCTGTGTCAGATATGTGCCCTACCGGTCAAAGGTGTGTGGCTGGTCCAGAACTCGAGATGGGTGAATTGTGCCCGTCATCTGAGCTCAAGAAATACCTTTAAAGGAAAGTTACCGGACCATTTAGGGTTAGTTGATATTCAGCTTGAACTATATTCCTTCATGCCCCTCGTCCATAACATTGAGCCGAGTTGCCCTCGAAAGGATTGATTCAGCCAATGGAACACTCTGAGCAAGCCGCCTTACATGGGGGCTATCCCAGTATTTAGCCTTCTACCACAGCGCTGCATTGAAAATGTCCTCCCCAAAACTAGTTCCTTCTCGTCCCGACTCAAAGACTTCAGTGTTACCAAAGTGACAATGGATCGCGGTGAAGACCAACGAAGTGAGACCGACGAGCCATTGCCAGCCTATACACCTTCTGATAGTGCCGCCCAATATGATCAAGATACCGATGACGAGTATAACACAGATGGTGGCACGGGCTCCTCTCGCGGTAGGTACGCAAAGCAAGTTCAGAGAGCCTGCCGTAGAGCATTGCGAGAAGTAAAGAAGGACAACATTCTTGCAAATAGCGATTGGGCCGAGCCACTTGAGGCTGCTCCGACTGCTATATCCGTAATGGCTTTTTTGATCAAGACTGCAGCAGACAAGAAAGTTGCTGGCCTTGAGGTGAAGAGCACAAAGATCATGAATGAGCAAGGAACATTGCAGGTCGGAACGCTACCGTAAGAATCCTCTGCGCAGCACTTGAAGTCTCTCATGCTTACCACCAGAGCCAAAGATCTAAGTATTTCCACACAAATCTTATGCACTGCAGTGACATCGGACGTTTGGCTTTTTTGGATGCACAGAAACGAATGCACAAGATCAGCGTCGTGGCAAGGTCCATGATGAAAGATGGTGGGCGTCTCAGCTACATTGTTGAGCTCCTTGAGAACGAGGAAGATGCCAAAGATAACTTAAAGCCAGAAATGGAGCTCTTGAAAAAGCAGGCAGCGGACTGCTCCAAAGAATGCGAGGAGATTCAAAAGAAGTTTGAGTATTGGTACTACGTGATCAACCACCTAAGCGCAAACGCGCTGGAAAACATCGGTAAGTAGCATTGGAATACCCGGCTTCCTTCTATAGCGTAACGGCATTTTTCACAAGCACAGAGGCTGATACCTTCTAGCTGTGATCCATAAAGACGGGGAGGTCGTGGCTAATTCCCGCCATGATGCGAAGCAAAGTCAGAAAGCGTATAGCATTGAACAACAAGCGATTCTTAAGTCAATCGAAGCACTAAAGGCAGGGATATCTCAAGCAGCCCAGAAGGTTCTGAAGGCAGAAAAGGAGGTGCAAAGATTGAACAATTTGCCTCCCCTGCCGGAGCCCGATCCCTACAGTGAATTGCTGATGGCCCAACAGCTAGCTCCAGAAGAGCCGTACATTCAACGCCGTAAGTGTCCCTTGGCTTCAAGTTGAGTCACAGCCATATGTCACTAATACGTCAAAGAGAGAGGTTTCTTATACGATCTTAGTAGTGCTCTATTTGGAATGTCAAAGAAACAATATCATGAAGATGAAGATGCTCGTGACGCTCACTACTTGAAACAGCACGAGCGACAGAGAAAAATCATTGAAGAAGCTAGAGATGAGCGCCGAAGAATGAAGAAGCAAGCTAAAGATGAACGAAATGCAGCGCGCAACGAGTTGGCCAGGCTCGAAGACGAATTGGAAAGAAAACAGCTCGAACTTGCAAACAAAAGAGACCGGCTGTCTGAAGCGCAGAAGAATCTTGCTAAAGCCAGTGCAGATTTGGAACGACTGGACCGACAAGAACTAGAATTGGTAAAGCAGCACCATTAATGCGGCCGGGACTTCGTAGGGCATGCTGACCGTTCCTAGAAAGATATTCTGGCTATCCTTCAAAGGTCTACCAACGAACTTGGCCAGTTGAAGGCGCAACTAGGCCGTCTGGTCACCTTCTTTTCGATGATGGAAAACAACATTTCCAAGAACACGATGCAGGAAGTCGATGACTTCCTCGAGGTGCTCAATCGCAACATCAAGATGCAAGACGACAAAGTTGAGTCCATCCGGCTCAGAAGCACCAGCAAGAGAGTCAGTGGCTCCCTGTGCTTGTTTCGACATGATTTCTGACAAGAAGTCTGCAGAAAATTCTTTCTTCCGCGATGCAAATTCAGGGACAGGTATCAGCGATTGCAGATGTTTCATCCGCTTACGTTCTGATCTCCGAGAACTACATTCGCAAGGCCATCGATAAGATGGAGAATCTGGCGACCATCGAGGACAGCAAGTGGAACGAAGCCCGGAAAGAGTTCACGGCTTGGTGCAATGAGGCAGTGAGAGGCATCAACGGCATCACTCGAGAGGCGAGCGCGAAGATGGGTCCGAATATGCAAAAACGGGTTGGCCTACTTCAGACCCTAGCCATTGAAGCAGCTGAGGACAGCAACGAAGATTGATGAAGCGATCTATGCATGTGAGTCTCTCAAGCTATAGTCCGTATTTATCAATATATTGTTGTATTTCTTTTCTTAGAAGATATTGCTTGGCTCGATGTAGTACATGTTTCATGCAGAAAATGCTCGAGAAGGTTCAGCCTAATACCGCCGGCAGGCATGAACACTTGTCGAGCGCAGTTCTCTCGACTCATTCGTCCATTTTTCCTTTGGGGCACAAAAAAAGCGTTGGTGTCCTAGATCGCAGCCTGTGAACTTCGTCTCTCAAGAACTTCCATATATGCCTTCACCGGAGTAAGCTCCCGCATCCCAGAGTATTCTTGAAATTCGCATGCTTTGAACCAGTTTCTGGACAATTATGAAATGCAATAAACCACTTTATAGTCCTCTAAGTATAACATTTGGTCAAGTCGCTAAGGCAATGCTGTTTTCAGATTCGCCGACGTCATGAATACTGCCTAGCGTCACAAGTGTGCTACGCAATGTATTGTACATCACGCCAGGTTCGATCTTCTCAAAGAAAAAGAAAAAAAAATTGGAATTGTGCCAAGAGTAAGCCTGTTTGGACAAGCAATAGCATCTCAATTGTGGCTTTCAAATCACACTCTTTTTTGTTTTATTGTAACCTTCTAGTTAAGCGGAAAGGGCTTGGTGACGCCAATATCATGTACATGACAGCACTAAGATGCATTTCCCGCTTTTCCACACTCCCAACAGATCAAAGTAAGCACAGCAATGGCAACCACGGCTTTGATACTTCTGCGGAAGTGTGTATGCGTCTCTGATGGCCGAATTGTTCCGAGCATCCTCTGCATCCAGGAGTGATCATTCAGAGGGAAAACATATCTCTAGAGAGAAAGCTAAATAAAGACGAGTTGTACAGTTCAACGGCTTTGGAACATAGAAAACTCACTCTCCAAACCAGGTGAGGTCGACAACATAGGAACCCGAGTACATTCTCAACTCGAAACAGTGTACTTGCCAAATCCAAGAAATGGGTGTATCTTCCCCCTTGCGGCAACAAATCCTATGCCGCGCTTCTCTCAGGAAAATTGTCCAGGGAAGATTATTTCCTCCACAGGCTGCTAGTGCCCTTTCATCTGAAAGTCGGACACCGCATTCTCGGGAAAATCGGCCTGAAGACGCATCGAAAAGGTCCCGGACCCAGCGATTCGTTAGCGCCAAAAGGTAATTCGCGCAGCGCGCGGCGGCACTTGTTACCCGGCGAATGGGCGATGCGACGTCGATCAGAAGCGAGCATAAAGCCGATTTGCCTGCTGTGGGTGCGCGCACAAGGTCGCGTTGCTTGATGTTGCTTTGCGTGAATCATGGCGTCTTCGCAGGCTCAGACCGATATGACCAAGTCAGCAGTGACGAACGACGAAATGGAGAATCTCAAGAACGAGAAGCAGCGCGGACACGAGCATGGGGACCAGAATGATGCGACGGGCAAAACCTTTGCCATCGACGATACGGAGATTCCAAAGGGTTACTATACAAGTGTATATTTCCTTGGCTCTATGTTTGCAATAGGACTCAGCGTCAGCTGCGGCGTGGCTGGATTTTCATTCATTGCCCCCCTGCTCTCCATTATCAATGAAGACATCGGTCCAAGCCCTGATCTGACCTGGGTCGCCTTGACCTACACGCTGACAGGTGCCGTTGGACTGATGATAGTTGGGCGTCTTACTGGTATAGCATGTTAAGAATGCAAAAGACACCGAACTAACTGCCATCAGACATCTTCGGGCGTCGATGGTTCTTCATAATTGGGTCTGCTTTGGCACTACTAGGAAGCATTGTCTGTGCAGTAGCGCCCAATATTCCTGGTACGGCGCGTAGTCCCTGGCATATTTATCGTTTAGACCTAATGGTATTCAGCAATGATAGCAGGTGAAACCCTCATCGGCCTGGGCTCGTCAGCTCAGCTCTCCTTCGTTTTCGCCGTCGGAGAGCTGGTACCAATGAAGCATCGTGTTTTGGCGAATGGATACTGTTATTTATGGCTTATTCTGCCCAATGCTTTCGGCCCTCCCATCGGATATGCCTTTGCCTATGAATCTAGCGTTGGCTGGAGGGGAACCTTTTACGTCCTGACGGCGATGAACTTTCTCTGCACCGCGGCCTGGTACGGAATTTCCCCTACAGGCCTCGATGAACTTTAAAAGCTGACACGGCCAGGTATTTTTGTTACTATCCACCAAGCTTTGGGATGAAGCATGGAGCTGGAAAGAAGCTCGAGTACCTCAAAAACTTTGACTATGTCGGCACTTTCATGGCGACTCTCGGTTTGCTGCTGTTTCTCATGGGACTCTCCTGGGGCGGTTCGCAGTATGAATGGAAAAGCGCACACGTCATCTCAACTATTGTCGTGGGATTTCTCCTGCTCGCAGGTTTCTTCTTATACGAAGCATATGTACCGCTGAAAGAGTTAGTCCATTGCTGCGCACCTGCACGTTTCTCGCTAATTCAGCAAAAGGCCACTCTTGCCAATGCACATCCTCCGCAACCGTGGATGGTTTCTCAACATCCTGATTTGGTCGATTGGGGCGAGCGTGTACTACGCGTTCGCCATCATCTGGCCATCCATGGTCAACACACTTTACGCCGACGGGCGCAAGATGTGGGCTGGATGGGCGTCCGCGGTCGTCGGAGCCGGGATCACTCTGGGAGAGATATTGGCTGGCTTTGGCACCAAAAGGAAGATGCACTGGGTAATTCGCTTCTGCTTTTTCTCTGGCGGTGCGCTGCTCGCGGCGATGGCCACGTGCACCCCCGACACACCAACCCGAGCCATCGTGCTCCTTCTCCTAGGCACGACATTCATTGGCGCGAACGAGTGCTTGACCTCGACGTGTGCAACCATCGCGATCGACGACCAGAGAGAGATCGGAACCGCTCTGGGTATCGGTGGCTCGTCTAGATCGTTTGTTTCCACACTTTGCGGAACGATATACACCGTCGTTCTAAACAACCGGCTAGCTGAGACCATCCCGCAGCAGGTTCCCAAGGCCCTTACAGATGCGGGACTTCCAGCTTCATCAACAGGCGCCTTCTTGGCTGCATATGCGAGTGGCGATTTCTCCTCAGTGCAAGGGCTGACACCAGAGATCCTTGCCGTTGGAGCAAGCGCGTATAAGGTCGCCTCTTCTGATGCGTACCGCACCGTCTTCCTTACCACGATTGCTTTCAGCGGGGTCGGCGTTATATTGACTTGGTTCTTGCCCAGCGTTGACGAAAAGCTGACTGGTGAAGTCACCGTTACGCTTCATAGCAAGAATGATGAGGAGAACCTCAATGGAGAAGCCATTCGCAAAGAGTGAAATTCCTTTTTAGGATATTCATGTTGGTGTTCTGAAGGCAAGTTATCTTGCTACCGATGACAATAACAATGTGTTTGAACTAGCCCATTGCGCTGTGTGGATGATCAGATGTTATTTGTTGAGATACGTTGTAATGCCAAAGGGTAAAAAGAGCGTACATGGTTGAGACTAGGGAGCTGGATGATTCAGCATAGGGCAATTCGATCATATACTGTTGCCGAGAACCTGCAAACTGGTTTCTCAGTGATAATGAAGAAGCATCGAATTGAGTGCTGCGGGAGTGCTTTGACCGCTGTTTACACAAGCGCGTAACTGTGCCTGACTCAACATGAAGTCTTTCAAGCCGCCTGAGAGCCCCTTTTTGTTAATCCATGTACGTGCTCTGCGACACGCGTAAACCAGGACCAAGGAAACGCAGTTCTATCTTACGTCTGTTAAAAAAGAAGCCGCTCTTGAGAGCGCCTTCAGAAACTTTGGCTCGCATTCGAATCGTTTCTCTCCAAGATATCCGGCAGACTTCGAGTTCGGAACGATCTTTTTGAGGGAATTACGGGACTGTCTCCGGATGCAGACGATCAGGACGTGGGAGATACTCAGTGCTTGTTTTGGGTGAAATTCAACACATCAAATTTGGCATCTTGCCCTAGTGATCCCCAACAGGCGATCATGATGCGGGACGTCTTAAATCCAGATGCTCCAGCTTTCCGGGTCGGCTCAAAGAGGGCTGCTTGGCAGGAAGACAGTCGTGACTTTAAATAGACATCTCTGGCATAAATATCTAAACCCAGGATGATCGCCGAACGTTCTCTAACCATGCTTTTTTCCCCTTTGCAAATCCATGACTCAAGAAAGTTGCTCGCCCAGAAACACCATGCGTAAGACCGTATCAGCACATTCCAAAAACCAGCGCCCCTGCGTCCGCATCGATTGTTGTCAACAAACGCGATTAGATGTCCCCTGTTGTGACACATACATGTCGGTGGCAAGTGCTATACCATGGGTATGGCACTGCTGCTCGATACAGGGACGCTGGCCGTCTGCGGCAGGATCCCATATCTCCCAAACACCTTCTGGTCCACACTGACATAGTGCGGTATCCTGCCCAACAAGTTCAACTTCGCCTCAATCCATCTGAGCACCTTCTCAGGCGGCGCCAAAAACTTGATATACCCCAGGCCCCACAGGTAACCGATCAGCGCGCCGGCCAGGTGGCCCAGCAGACTGGTCGCGGGGATGACGTGCAGCGTCGACAGGAAAGAGGTAAGCAAGATGATGAGTATGGGCAGGGCGGCTGTGGGGATGCGGTACGTCTGGGGCAAGTTGAGAAAGGCGGGCGGCGCGATGTAGGGCTGCGTCTTGGATTGCTGGACGATGGAGGAAGCGAGCAGAAGGAAGACCCATATGCTGGCGCCGAGTATGGGGGTGTGGATGCCGAAAATGTAGGCGATCAGCAGGTAGATCGCTGCTGGGAATGTGGCAAATGCTGCAAATATTCCTGTTAGCTGTCGCGTTTCCGACGGTGCTGCTGACGTTTCGAGATGGGTGAGACGTACGGCCTGTGAACATGACAATCGTGACGAGCGTGCCATGTTCGGATTCAAAGCGTTCCAACAGCGGCGTCAGGGCGAGTAGGTTCGCCAGCGTATGTATCAGGCCTGAGCACCATCTGTGTTAGACTCTGGCTTGGCCCTTTGCGCGCAGCAACGTGAGCCACGGAGAGACGTACCCAGATGCAAGAAGGGATAGGTGTTCAATCGATGCACTGCGCTGCCGTCAGCATCCGCCCTCTCGCCAGACCAAGGCAATCATCCCAGCAACGTACTGGATCCGGAGAAGACGGCCTCGGGCGCAAGCGACGCCCAGTTCTGGAAGCCATGGCTTATGCCGGCGACCCAGAAAGCCACGATCAAGATGCATATGAGACGGGTGCAGAGCGGTAGGCGAAGAATGTAGCTCCGTATCCGCTGTGGGTTCATTTGCGGGAAGGATGATGCCATTGTGGACGAGCTGGAGGCGTCAAAGCGGTTGTTGAGTAGATCCAAGCCTTCTGCGCGCCGTTTCACGCCATGCGCCGCCTCTCTCTCTCTCTCTGGCGGATGCGTTTGGAAGTCGCAGAGGGAGGTGGCCGGACAGGAAGCGAAACCAAGACTGCAGCAAACCGCAGGCTCGACGATGCAGGAGATGTGCTGGAGGAGGCTGGGAGGACGATTTGCTGTCGCGCGACCTCCGCCGGCGACGTCCGCAGATGGAATGTGTGAGATCACCAGGGGCCCGCACTCCAGCCGTGCTCGTGCTTCTGGTTCGTTAGCGGCCAGGTGGTTTCACCTCGCTCTCGACACCGAACGTGTAAATCGAATCTGTCAGGATCAGGATCAGCATTTCCGCGACTCCCTCAAGCGATGACTCGGTGACGCGGCTCCCTCGCTCTCTCTCTCTTTTTCTCTCTCCTTTCCCGGCTCCATGGCTGCGCTCTGTACGTAGACGACTCCAACGAGCCTCTCCCCGTCCCCTTCACACTCTAAACAGCGCTTCCCATGGCTGCACACTTGGCTTATTCTTTCTGTAGCAAACATCATCCTCGCCCTGCGGCAGGATCAGAAGATTCTGCGCGCGGTGCCGGCACTGTCGACCATCTTGACCGTCATAGGCATCGGGTGGCTCTGCCTTCTCCCCTTGAACGAGTATTCGCGCCGGACGTACGTGAGCGAGAACGCGCTGCTTCCGGGCCAGGTCCACACGTATTTTGGCGGTTCAGAGCACAATGTGTTCCGGGCGTACAGGCACGAGGTTGCCGCCCTCGAGCATGTTCCTGATGCCGAGCGAGTGGCGCGCACACGGGACATCTTCAAGAGCCAGGGCCTCAAGGTGGCGACGCAGCAGTACAACTACACGGCTGGCGGCGGCAGCATAAAGGCCGGAGAGAACGTGTACGCGGTGCTGCGGGGCCCCCGGGCGGACGCAACGGAGGCGATGGTGCTCATCGGCGCGTGGAGAAACATGAAGGGCGACGTCAACTACAGCGGCGTGGCTCTGGTGCTCACGCTGGCGCGCTACTTCTCGCGCTGGTCGCTGTGGTCGAAGGACATCATCTTCCTCATCACGGGCGACAGCACGGCCGGCTCGCAGGCCTGGGTGGATGCCTACCACGACGCGCACAACCCCGTCTTCGTCGCGCCTCTGCCCCTGAAGAGCGGCGCGCTGCAAGGCGCCGTCGCCCTCGACTACCCGGCCGGACCGTGGGGCCACCGCTTCGACAAGCTGCACGTCGTGTACGACGGCATCAACGGGCAGCTGCCGAACCTGGACCTGTTCAACACGGCCGTCAACATAGCGAGCGGGCAGATGGGCATCCAATGCACGCTCCAGCGCATGTGGGACCACGACGACTCGTACGCGGCGCGTCTGCAGACGATGCTGCGCGGCATGCTGAACCAGGGCCTCGGCCACGCAACCGGCCCGCACAGCAGCTTCATCCCGTACCACGTCGACGCGATCACGCTGCAGACCGTCGGCGACGGCTGGCACGACGAGATGAGCCTCGGCAGGACGGTCGAGGGCCTGTTCCGAAGCCTGAACAACCTGCTCGAGCACCTGCACCAGAGCTTCTTCTTCTACCTGCTTATGCACTCGAACCGCTTCGTCAGCATCGGCACCTACCTGCCCAGCGCCATGCTCGTCGCCGGCAGCTTCACCATCATGAGCATAGCGCTCTGGGTCCAGAGCGGCCGGCCCGCCGCCCCTTCGTCCGCGCCGCCCGCGTCGTCCTCGCCGACGGGGGCGTCCACCCCGGCCGAGAAGGCGCCGCTCGTCGCCGCTCCCGCCAAGAACGGGCACGGCCCTACGCCCGCCGCCGCACAACTCTCCGTGTCGGAGCGCCACCTCTTCCTCCCCATGATCCTCCTCACCGCCTTCCACTTTCTGGGCCTACTCCCGCTGTACGCCTTCAACCACCTGCCGCTGTCCGCGCTCGAGCGCGCGTTCGGCGTCTTCGCCGTCGTCACCCTGCCCCTCCCGTACCTCGTGGCCGCCGCGCTCCCCCGCCTGCTGCGCCGTCCCTCCGCCCAGGAGCTCACGCTGCTGCAGTGCTTCGCCCTCATGCTGACCGGCCTGTTCCTGTCCGCGCTCGCCACGCTCAACTTCAGCCTCAGCCTTATCGTGGGCCTGCTCAGCGCGCCCTTCTCCTTCGTGCGCCCGCTTCCCACGGCCCGCCGCCCCTCCAGCCTGCCTCGCAACCTGGTCCAGGTCCTCGCCCTGACGGCGCTGTCGCCGCCCGTCGTCATCGCCGCCGCCGCCTCGCTCTCAGGCATCGACGGCCTGGCCCTCGGCGACGTGCTCAACATGGCCATGACAGGCTGGTGGATCCACGGCTTATGGACCAGCCTGGTCGTCTGGCTCGTATGGTGGCCGTCGTGGTTTGCCGTCAGCTTCCTCGTCGGATGCGGTTTGTTCGCGTAGTCGGAATGCACAACTCCCTCCCGCACAACGTGTGCCCGGCCGGGAGAAAAGAGAAGGGAATGAAAAAGGGGGGAGAAAAGAAAAGAAAAGAAGAAGAAGAACCAAAAAAATAAGGCGTAAACACATTCATCCGGCGTCCCTACCTAGACTCGAGTAGAAACTTGAGAGAAATGTTAAGGATTCGTGGTGCAACGATTTGAGAAACTGAATAGTTAGATACCACCAAAAAAAAATTAATTTTTTTTAATATTTTTTTTTTTTAAAAAAAAAATGGAACAAGACCAAAAAAAAAGGTGGCAAAAAAGTTGGGCGGGAAAAAAAAAGGAAACGAACCATACACATTGTCATGTTCTACGCCAGATCTCACGAACCGAGAGATGGAAGGAGAATCCTATGTACTTGTGCAACAGCCAAAACAGCGCAGAGTTTCATCATCTCAGTCTTTGGAAGCGTATCCCAGCACAAAGAGAGAGATGCACACAAACACAAAAACACACACACACACACACACACTCACATAACAATATAAAGAAAAAGTTTCACTCTTCGTCCTCTTTTTTTTATTTATTCGGTTTCCCCCGTCCCTCTCTGTCTCTCTCTGCAACCGGCTTTTTTTTTCTCTTGATCATACACATACACACATGGTACATCCCTAAATGCGTCTATGCCTTGGCGGCGGCCTGTTTAGCCATGGTGTTGAGAGCGCTGCCGTTCTTGAACCACTCGATCTGACCCTCGTTGAAGGTGTGGCTGAGCTTGATGTCAAAAGGCTTGCCGCCATCAGCGGGGTGGACGCGCAGGGTGATAGGCTTGCCGACAGCGAGTTCTGTGCACAGAAGGTCGACCTTGTCGTCTGGGTTGATTCTGTCGTAGTCTTCCGGGTTGGTGAAGGTGAGTGGCAGCATACCCTGCTTCTTCAGGTTCGTCTCGTGCTGGTTTTGTCCAAAGTCAGTCCGTCATTCGCCTTCGTCGAACGGAGGATCAAAGGGGAAAGGTGAGACTTACAATACGAGCGAACGACCTGGTGATGATGGCCAAACCGCCGAGATGTCTTGGTTCAAGAGCAGCGTGTTCACGGGATGAACCTTCGCCGTAGTTCCAGTCACCGATGACCACCCACTTGATGCCCTTCTGCTTGTAGTCGCGGGCGGTAGCTGGGACGGGGCCCCATTCGCCGGTGATCTGGTTCTTGACCTTGTTCGCCTCGCCGTTGGCCGCGTTGACGGCACCGATGAGCATGTTGTTCGAGATGTTGTCAAGATGGCCACGGTACTTCAGCCAAGGACCGGCCACTGTCGTGCATGTCAGTCACTAGGGTTGAGCAAAGAAGAGCCGCATCGGGTATCAAAACTCACTTGAGATGTGGTCCGTGGTCGTCTTGCCCTTAGCCTTGATCAGGATGGGAATGTTGAGCGCATCCTTGCCATCCCAGGGCTCGAACTTCTCCAGAATCTGCAGTCGGTCCGACGTAGGCGAGACCTTGACTTGAACGGACTCTCTGTCAGCCGGTGGGGCCTGGTACGTGTTTTCGCCGGCATCGTAACCGTTCTTGGGAAGGCCGTCACCCGACGGTTCCTTGAGCTTGAACTCCTTGCCGTCCTTGTCCTTCAGGGTGTCGGTGAGCGGGTTGAAGGTGAGTTTGCCAGCGATGCTCATGGCCACGACGAGATCAGGCGAGGTGACGAAGGCGTGTGTGGCCGGGTTTGCGTCGTTACGGCCGGTGAAGTTGCGGTTGTAGGAGGAGATGATCGAGTTTGGTTCACCCTTCTTGACATCTTTGCGGTCCCACTGGCCTACAAAACGTTGGGCTGTCAGTCGACAATGACAAAGTTTCGATGCGACACGCGGGAGGAGTACGTACCGATGCAAGGACCACAGGCGTTGGCGAGGACCATGCCGCCGAACTCTTCAAAGGTCTTCATCTGACCGTCACGCTCGATGGTGGCACGAATCTGCTCGGAGCCTGGGGTGACGGTGAAGATGGCCTTTGACTTGAGGCCGTGCTCCATGGCATCCGTGGCGATGGAAGCAGCGCGAGACATGTCCTCGTACGAAGAGTTGGTGCAAGAACCGATCAGACCGACCTTGAGCTCCTCTGGCCAGCCATTCTCCTTGACCGCGTCCTTGAACTTGGAGATTGGAGTGGCAAGATCCGGGGTGAAGGGGCCGTTGATGTGTGGCTCGAGCGTGTTCAAGTCGATCTCGATGAGCTGGTCATATTCGGCGCCTTCGTCCTCGTGGAGTTCGGCAGCGTACTCGCGAGCGAGGTCACCGATGGCCTTGCGCTTGGTGGCAACGAGGTAGTCGTACATTCTGTCGTTGAATGGGAAGAGCGAAGTTGTAGCACCGATTTCAGCACCCTGTTTGCACAGTTAGGACCGCCGTACTCTTTTTTCAAGCGAGCTTGCGACCGGAGGGCCAGAGCATCTGGATTGAATCTTGGCGAGGGCGCCGTCGCTCCGATTCCAGTCGCAAGACAAAGTCAAAAAGGCAAGGAAAAATTCTTGATTACCATGTTGCAGATCGTTCTGTTCCGTCGTTAGCGCTCAGTTCGAGTAGAGTCGGCAGAGTTGGGAAACATACCCCATGCCAGTTGCAGACAGCGATTCGGTGCCCGGGCCGAAGTATTCAACAATGGCACCGGTGCCACCCTTGACGGTCAGGATACCGGCGACCTTGAGGATGATGTCTACGGAAACGGTAAGCATGGCGGCGAGTGGGACGACGAGAAGACTGTCCAAGGCTTACCCTTCGGCGCGGTCCAGCCCGAGAGCTTGCCGGTCAGCTTGACACCAATGTACTTGGGGGCCTTCAGCTCCCAGGGCAGGTTCGCCATGACGTCGACGGCGTCGGCACCACCGACGCCGATGGCGACCATGCCCAGACCACCGGCATTGGGCGTGTGCGAGTCGGTGCCGATGAGCAGGCCACCGGGGAAGGCGTAGTTCTCCAGGATGATCTGGTGGATGATGCCCGAGCCGGGCCGCCAGAAGCCGATGTTGTACTTTGCGCACGAGCTGGACAGGAAGTCGTACACCTCCCTGTTGATCTCCTTGGCCCGGGCCAGATCCTGGGGGCCGCCAACCTGGGCCTCGATCAGGTGGTCGCAGTGGACGGTGGTGGGCGTGGCCACGGACGGCATGCCGGCCGACATGAACTGCAGGATGGCCATCTGGGCCGTGGCGTCCTGGCAGGCCACGCGGTCCGGACGCAGCTTGAGGTAGGAGACGCCCCGCTCGATGTCCTGCTCGTGCGGGTTGTCCAAGTGCGAGTAGAGGATCTTCTCGCCGTATGTGAGGGGCCTGTTCAGCCTGCTGCGCACGACCTGCAGGTTCTCGTACATCTTCTTGTAGTTGATGTAGTGGCCCTTCTCCCAGTTGTTCATCTCGACCTTCCTGTCGAGCTTGGAGGTGTCGACGACGCTTGCGAAGCCGCGGCGGCCAAGCTGGACGACGGGTCAGCTGCGGGCGAGACCGAGGAGGCCGTGCCGGGCGCACGGAGGCGAGAGACGATGGCGCTGGCGAGCAATGGGCGGAAGCCGCTGGCCACGACAGCTGCGGACCAGCTGGCTTCCACCCCACTGCAGCGAGCGAGGACTGGGCAGGACGGGAGGGACACATACCAGGCGCCTGGAGGCGAGCCTTGATGTCGAGGACAGCATTGTGATGGCCGCTCGAACGGGGGCACGATGGAGCGGAGTGGAGAGGGGCGATTTGGAGAAGAAAAAGAATGAGAAGAGGAAGAGGAAGAAGAAGCAAGAAGAAGCGCGGATGGAGAGCTGGTTGCAGGCCGACGTCAAGGTCGATCGCCGGCCGCTGGAGCCAGAGCAACGCAGCAGCTGGTCGCGCAGCGCCTGGCCCGAGCGCCGTTCCCGAGGCCTGCGCACAGCTCGACCACGAGAGCTTTTCCCGGTTGCCGGCCTCGCTCAGCCGAGTCGCTTTGCCTGCACCCTCGCGTCCGTCCTGACGTTGGCCGCCAGCGCCAGGCGGTTCGCCCGGCCCTGCGCATTCAGCCTCAATTGCAATGGCGGGCGTCCCATTCGTCTTCTGGCGCGCCGGCCGCGATGCCCATGTGCGGGCAGCCGCTTGCGCAACCCGGCCCTGCCCACTAATCACGCGCCCGTGATTGGTCCAGCCCGTCTGCCTCTGGTGCTGTCGCCCGCTCGCCCGCGGGAGAAGCGAACGAGGGAAAAAAATTTCTCGTCGCTCGGATGTGGACGGCCGTCGCTCGCCTTTCCTTCAGCCTCATGCTCGCCAGCTAGCTCGGCTCCGTCGCCTGCCCAAGCGCAGCCGTGTGTCCCCCAAGGCGCCGGCACGTGCCTGTGCCAAAGCCGCGGCCAATCGTTGCGTCGCCTTTACCAACCCTCCTGCGGCCGGCGTCGGGTCACGTGCGCCGCGCCTGTTCATTCGCCGGAAACGAGTTCGGCATCTGGCTGCGTTGTGCCCAGGAGACGACGGAGCGTGCCGCGCGCCATGGCGAGTCCGCTCACTGCTCGGCCAGACGGACGCCGTGTCCTTCGCCCAGGCCAATAACTAACGTGCAAGCTGGAGACCCCGTTGGCGTCGCCAGCTCGTGCTTCCCTCTGCGCATGGCTGGGCGTGGGCGTTTGAGAAGCGACTACTACGACTACGCGGATCCAAGCATCATCTCTGCCTATCAGCAACGGCCCATCCTCCAAATCTTGCCTCCCCGCCTGGAGCGAGCCAGGCGGCCAGCTTCACCCGGCCGAGCCTGATCCCAACGGGACGATGCCAAGCCAGAGTGATTGCAGCCGTCTCCGAGCGTGCAAATTGCCGATCATACAAGTATATGCTGTACTGCCCGGCAAAGCGACCTCTTCGCCCCGTCCTGCCACTTCGCCGTGAACAAGCTTCTCAAGGCCGTCTGCCAAACGTGGGCCACGTCGTATAGAAATTGCAGCCTGAAGCGTGCGCCAACCGCAGACACATCGAGAGCGTCCTTGCGTCATGTCTCGAGAGAACTGTCGTGGGCCACCGACTCTACACATTCCTCAGGTGCAGCTTGGCTCCTGCACCCGGCTGAGGCTACAGACGTCCTGAATAGCCGCTCTTTGTGACCGCGAAGGACGAGTTGAAATGGACGAGGACTGCGCAGCCTTTGCATCGTGATGCTCTACCAAGGTCGAATTCATGCGCACAACGCCCGTATCTTTCCGTAGGAGCCAAGCACAGCTGCTCGAAGGGTCAATTCATTCACTATCATCGTCTTTTCCACCTGATGCCCATTGTAGCGATGTGAGTGGGCGTGTGTGTGTGTGTGGCCTGTCCAATGGCCGCTCTCCATGTTTCAGATCCACAAAAATTTCACGATCCACAAGAGCCGCTCGAACTAGCAAACTCAAAGAAACCCAAGAAAAAATATGAAAAGAAACGGCCCCACGACAAACAACCAAACAAACGTATCCCTTTCTCTTACTCTTTCTCTCTGCGTCTCCCCCCTTCCACACTGCAACTTCCTCCCAGAGCCGGTATAAACCGAGAACGTGCCAAGAGGTGGGGAAAAAAAAAGGTTCGAAACAAAAACAGGCCACCCCACGCTTCCCTCACCTCTGGCTCAACACGCCTCCAGACGCCGATAAACCCAGCGACGAAGAAGAAGAAAAAGAAAGAAAGATGCCCGCCATCCGTGGCTCGGACTCCAAGAAGAAGACGCGGCGCATGACCCGCGGCCTGGACGAGATCGTCGCAGACCTGGCCGACCCGGCCCACCTCGCCCGGTACCAGCAGTACAAAGGCGACGCGTCGGACCTGCCCGGCGGCGGCCTGCACTACTGCGTCGAGTGCGCCAAGTGGTTCGACACGGCGTCCAACCTGGCCGCGCACGGCAAGGGAAAGGTGCACAAGCGGCGCCTGAAGGAGCTCAAGGAGATGGCCGAGGGCAGAGGCCCGCCCAGCCAGAGGGAGGCCGAGGAGGCCGCCGGGCTGGGCGTCGACAACGGGGTCATGACGAGGAAGCAGAGGGACGGCATGGACGTCGACGACGGCAAGGGCGGCTGAGAGCCGCCTGAGCGACCGGTCGAACGAACCAGGCTACAGAACCCGCGCGGCTTCGGGCCGGCCGCTCTCAGTGCGCCAGGAGACAATACAGATCGCCTTCAAGCCGGAAGAACGAGAAGGCGCCCGCCTCACCTGCAGTCACAAGAGGGCGTCGGGACTCACACGCGCACTTGCCGACCTGACACGCTACACGCGATGATGACCCCTAGGGGGGGCGGGCGAGATGCATCTTGGACGCCCGCCCCCTCTGCCGTTGAACAAGGCAGCGGCACATGCGAACCACCTTGGGTCGCGAAGTTGAACCGGAGATCAAGCCGTTGTGTGGATCAAACGAAAGAGATGGGCACTAAATCGCCTACAGTGGTGTGACCCCAGATCTAGTTCTGCAATGTCATTTCTCTCAAGTTTTCTCCCCTTGCGTAGAAGTCTTCACTTTGTCTTTACTTTACTCCCTCACTCCCCACCCATTTACTCTCTTGACCACCCTCGGCCTTCGCTTTCATCCCCACGTCTTCCACAGCAACGTGTGCCCGCTGGTCTAGTTCTAACGGCCGAACCCCGTGCTCTTCATTCTTGCCAACGAACTTGCCCTCCGCAGTATTGCAGGTGACCTGTCATTCACCAGATCGCCAAGGAGACACGACGCTCGCGTCAACGAAGAGGCGCTTCCGTACTCGCTGCCCAGATTGCCGCCGTCGCCGACAGGACTGCGCCGGAAGCTGGTGAGTACGCTGGAGGAGGAGTCTTCACGACGAGGCCTTGCCGTGATGCGCTCGGGTCCTAGGCTTGCAAGCAAGGAGCCATGCCTTTTGGGCGAGGCTTCTGGAGAAATGGAAGAGTGCGAAGACGGATTTTCCGCGACGCAGCGCACGTCGGTTGTGCTCATCTGGTCGTCTCCTGCATAGAAGGAAAATGGTCGCCGGACGCGCCCAAGAGACGGCTCGTTCTCCGTGTTTGTGCACACCTGGTCCGCGCCATGACGCACAGTCAACGACTTGGACGAGCGTATAGTGAGACCGTCTTCGCTGCTACGCTCGCTGAGTGGCGTCGACGGGCGTCGATTTCTCAGTGAGCGATGCTGCAGGACGGTAAGGTCCAGATGGCCCGCTATGCATGCCTCGAGTAATCGAATCGCCTCGCCGAGGTTTACACCGGGAGCATTCGCCGCCATCAGTTTAGCGACGCGATGAATCGCCTGCTTGTCGAGCTCCTGCTGGTCGATCTCGTCCTGTAGTGCGTCGCCTCCGGTGGAACTGAAATCGTCGTCCGAGAGGGAGATCTTAGCCGGAGAGCCTGACGTGGACGGTGCAGCGCTAGTCACCTCGCTCTTCTTTCTCCAGTGACGAGGTATGTCTACATCGGCCAGTGACAGCCCTCGCATTCTGGACGGTGGGCGTTCGGGCAGGCAGTTCAGGCTGAGGAATGAGTGGTTTGCCTTGATCGACTTCGAGAGCTGTTTCATCTCGTCCGATGGCGTCGTGGGGCGTATGACTGCGTGCCAATATCAGCTTCAGCTTGTGGCGATGAAGAGACATCAAGCCTTACTTTCAAACTTTGGCCGCTCGATACTACCACCTGGTGACTTCCTGCCTCTCCACTCCGCACTAACTCGACCCTTCTCACTGCTCCATCTCTCCCTTCCATTGTCCTTTCTTCTCACTAGACTCTGCTGCCTAGCCAATGTCACCTGCCCCAGCCCAGTCTTCCCTTCAGCGATCATGATCTCCAGCCTCTTCACCTCAGCTCTGTACATCTCCTCTTCTTCCTTCCACATCCTGCGCTCGTCTTCCAGGGTATCTACATTCTCGTCGTGCTGCCGACTGAGCGCTTCCATCTTCACCAAGAGCAGGCCGTTCTCAGCTTTCAATCTCATATAGCCCTCCAAAACGCGGAGCACTGCACTGTTCTGTTCAGCGCCGAGAGGCTTGAACGTGTCCCTCATGAGCCCGCTATGTAAGGAATCAATTGCTTGCTCAAGCGATACGTGGTGCCGTACATCCTGACGAGGCTCAACGTCGGTGAAGTAATTCGGCTCCTTGGCCTTCCCGTAGTTAGCGACCAGGTATTGACTCGCGCGCTGAACCAGCTTTGGCCGTTTCGCGCTCGCTCTCTTCAGGTCGGGCATGGATTTTGCATTCGTAAGGGTCAAGTCAAGGTTTGGCCGTGTGCTCGTTCCTTTGCCGTCCTGCAAGGCTGCGTCAGTTGGTCCTGACTGTGGAGTCAGCGAGCGAGGAAGGGGTCGAGGCGACGGCAAGACGCGCCGCTTAGAGTCGTTCATCACGTTGTTCTTCACAGCTTTGTGCTGAGTCACGGTAGGTTGGGAATGAGCAGGAGCCAGTGTTGAGACAGGTGAAGGTGACAGAAAAATATGTGATTGTAAACTATCCAGCTGCCGTAACGGTCGCTACACAAATTGCAGTCACGATGGGCAGTAACAACCCACCAAAGTCATTATTGCAGCACGCCAACATTGTGGACGCGTAGTTAATCAACAGCATCAAGAAGATGGATTCTCAGTCGTGTCAGCACCGAATAAGGGCGCTTTCAAGCTCTGTTGTCATTCGAGAGCTAACTTCGTTTGCGAAGAGAAGTCAAGAAATATATCCGATTCTTCATACACAGCGATCCCATGGCGTCAGAGGGTCGCGTGCTTGGTAATGAAAGGGACGTTGTTCTCGGCACGTTAGTTCTCTGAGAACTTCCTTCAGACACTAGACACGGGGCAGGTCGTAGCGCTGTACACACATATGCCGTTTTGTCACGACGGATTCCAATCACAAGCTTCGAAGCGCACAAGGCGTTAGCACGAGACGTGTGGTGGTGGAAGGGATGAGTTGCAACGTGCGGCCATCGCCAATCAAATCATGTGCAATTGGATATCGGTGCTGTGTGTGTCCTAGCTACCGTTTTTCTGACCACGACGAAAGAAGGACCCCGCTCATCCGAGGGGACTGATTGCGTGTGGATGCCATGCCGGTGTCCGTCCGTACCTTTGCGGCCTTGAAGATATCGTACCATGATGCCGTCCCAACTCCATTTACAGTGCATTGATGGGGGTTCGAATCAACTTAGAAAACGTTTATGCGGCGTCACGCTTGCCCTCCTTCACCTCTTTCTGCGAACAGTGAGTTAGTACGGTGCCCATCGGGGGGGTTATGCCACTGCCTCGTACCAGGGCCCTCATGGTGCCGTGCAGCGCGTGTCTGTGGTTGCGTCGGAACTTGGGATCTGTGCCCTTGAGCGATGGGTAGCGGTGCGTCTTAGGCTTCTTGATGCTGCCCGTCAAGGATTGTCAGCTCCGCTGTCCAGTCTCACACATAGAAATCAAGGGAAGAACGAACCCGTTCTTGTGCGCCTTCTTCGACTGGTTGTGCTGAGACGAGTTCTTTGACTCTGCGCAAGACGGATTAGCATGTGCGTCTGTGATACATTCAAAGCAATTGGAAGATCTTGCAACGTACTGGCCATGGCTGCTGGTTGTGTTGCGTGACGACTGGCTTGTAGTTGAGTTCGATCGGGCACCAGGAATTTGCGCTGTTGGTGTGTGAGGCGCCAAGCCCGTGGTTCCTGAAAGGGTATAGCTGAATCGGCACCTGCACTTTAGTCAGACCCTGCAGGACCACGGCCTTGACCTTTTAAACTCACCTCACAACAACTTCAGGCGCAAACATGGTCGCAAGCGTACGGTCGGAAAGAATCAGATAGTCGACGAGCATCTGTGCCTGACTCGCTTCGCGGCCAATACCGGTGCTTTTTTATTCGGAAAGTCAAGCCTACGGGCCACCTCGCTCGCCTTTTATACACGCTGGTCGTCACATGGATCCTGCAGCGCAAAGCCGTCAGCCGTCCGCCTGCTCCTCATTCTTTCCTCCAAGCGCTGGCTTCCGGTGATCTGTCCATTGATCTCCCCTCTTTGAACGGCACTTGGAGGCCCACGCCCGCCTTACGGCAGTCTATTATGTCTCATCTGTTTGCAGGGCCAGTTGAAACCGCGCCTTTGGCGTGTGAATGACCAGTTCGCGCGCCTGCGCGCCTTAGCGTGGGGCACATGCACGCAAGCAACCTGCCCGCACGATAAAAGCGCGCAAAACCGTGCTCTCGTCATGGTCAGGATACACCGTGCGGCGTGGGCGCTCTTCTCTCGTCACGGTGGTTAGATCTCGTGTTTTTTCGCCTCACCGAATTTGCGAGCTATCGTGTGATCGGCTGTCCGTGGGAAGGCAGAACTGGACGTCGCAAGCTCTTGAGTCCATTGATGGCTTCTCATGTTTAAAAAGCGTTTGAATCGGGTAATTACATTGCCACTGAGCATCAAGCCCTGTCGAGTGATGCGAGGCTGGCCTTGGCATCATCCAAATAGCGTGTACTTCTTCTCGTCAATCATCACGTCGATCCAATGCACTTTCATCGTATTGTCCCGCTCCTCTTCATATTTCCTCCAAATAGCTTGCACCAGCTCAGTAGCAACAATGATCGGTTTGGGAGGCAGGCTCCTTTGTAGACTCGCAAATCTATCTAGGATAAACTTCCTCGCCCGATGCACTTCAAGTACCTCGGGCGTCAGGGCCGCGAAAACGTCTTCGGCAGGAGGGTGGTCGAAACGTAGCCCGGATGCCGCTGTGATGTATAGGATAGGCTGTGTGCAGCGCGTGTTGCTCGAGACTGGAATGTCTTCGAGAATAGCGCACAATTCGAATGCGAGCTTCAGAACGAGTCTCTTCTGCGCTCCGACATCTCCATAGAGCCCAACATCTAGTTGAAAGGTCTGGTGCAGCTGTAGTAGCGCAGCAAGACGGAATGCAATAGCCAATTGAGAAAAATGCGACGGCAAGGACAAGCGATCTCCCATGTCGACCACAACTTGCGGAGACGGGATATCCGCGTTCTCAAGCTCGTTGCTGAGTATGTACGCGTCCATCAAGTCCTCTGCTTCTGGCTGCGGGTCCGTGTCTCCCTCAGCCTTAAGTCTCCGCATTTTCATGCGATGACGACGGCATAGCGCAATAGTGCGGGAAAGCAGGCGCTGTTGTTTGTAGGCAACGCCCGTCCACGGATGCGGTTGGACTAGGGGCTCCGGTCGCGAACAGCCGAGAATGATATCTTCACTGTTCGCGTTGTCCGGCTCCTCGTTACTGACCACTGCGGCAAGCATGTCCCAATACACGCAGCTGTTCTCAAAAAAGGCAAGTTTCTGTCTTTCTTCCTCATCTAGTAGCCAATAGTTCTCATGAAAAAACTGTCGCAGTCTACGTGCTTCTTTCCAGTAGGCAAGGCCCAGGAGGTTTGTGTCGAGCCAACACATCGTTGTGCCAATGCAAAGAAGGGCCAAGCACAGTTCCAAAGGGACCTTGAGCTTCTCATCGGTTTTTTTCAGCTCCAGCTTATCCAGGTCCTCCGAGACAGCTTCAACCGAGGCTCGTGCAGATGACAAAGCTTCTTGCTTAAGATGCGGCAAAGTGTCAAGCAAGCAGGTCGCAGACATGGTCTTCATCGAGTACAGCACGGCTTTGGAGTTTGTCCATATGCTCGACATGTGGTACCGATTAGGATTAAGGTTTGAGTCGAAAGCTGACCACTGCGGACACACATCTCGGAACCAGTGGTCCACCAGAAACGTGGTTACGTCGATCAGTGAATTTGGAGCGGTTGATACTTTCCTTCGCCACGTCGACAAGCTCTGTCTGACCGCAACCTGTTCATCGTCGTCAACGTCTTCGTAGATGCTGTCTCGCAGCTTGGGTGGCTGCCAAAGCGACGTATCCTGCACGTCTAACCCGTCTAAGTCGAGGATAGGCGAAGCGTTGCACGCGAGACTTGGCTTTTGTATGATTGTTCCGTCAACAGAATCCGATGCAACTGTCTCCACCTCACCGACGGTTGCTTGCCCAGCTATTGGGCCCGGGTTCATCCACGAAGTTTGGTCATTTAATGCGGCATTGCATTGAAGCAGAAATTCACGAAGCGCCCCTTCGTCGATTCTCCCGACCTCTTCCGCATCGGCCGTGGCTGGGTTATGTCCTGGAGTCACCCCTGCGCGCTGGTCTGGGTAATTGGGCTGAGCAACTACATCCTGATTTATCGCGCTGGTTGCTCGGTCGAACAACCCCCGTTCCGGAGAGCTTGCACGTCTGACGCACGACTTCGGCTGCTCCCTTCGCAGCATTTTCTCATGTCGTAGAGACCACTTGATTTCTTTCTTGTAGCCCGGACATGGTAGACTGCGCCGAATACACTCATTACATTCGGGTTTAGCCTCATCACATTTTCGCTGATCACAAGTCAGTGAGGATGGATCAAGCATTGTTGCGGCATACTCACTCTCTTGTCCTTGCACCTAAGGCAGCCATTGCGTGACTTTGTTCGCTTCCTGGCCGGGACTGGAGGACTGGTTGCATCCATAGTACTGATATCCGAAACTCCACCGGAACAACACTTGGGCTTTGCCGACACTGCACGTCTGGTCTACGTCAAGGGAACTAAAAAGCTTGATTCAGGCTTGAAAGTAGCGCACACTCCGCTTAGGTCGTCCTTGGTGATAGCAGAGCTACATGCCATTCCGTTATCACAACTAAGAAGAAGGGCACGAGAGGGAGTTTAGAACTTAAGACAGTTAGCCTGTGGCTTGCTCCGCTTTCTGGTCATGGTCTTAAGACCGATAGTCGGAGTCGACGACTCATCTCGTTGATTGGCTGAGATGCAGCGGCCCTCCTTTGATGCGCTACGCTAGAGAAATGATCCTGACGATATCAGCCATGCTCACTTATTGACGTCGATGCCAGTGATGCCGTCTTTTGTCCGCATCAGTACCAAGGTGGCCAATGCAAGGTGTTGCAAGACCACTTTACGGGCCACATTGCGACGGAGCCCGTTTGGAGACTGGCCACCTCCAGTGTTCGCAATGGCGGCCGACAAAGCTTGTTAGGCCACGGTTCAAAGCAAGCAATTCAGATCCGTTTTCTAGAGGATCACCATGCACAACAGATCAAAAAAGGCGAGAGCTGATAAATTGATGTCTGTGGTTCGTCTGGTATGTCTGCGACTCTGCCAGCCCTACCAGGGTTTGCGCTAAGCCCAAAACAGCCGTGGCTGAGCATCAAACACTTGGGCAGCGTCGGGATTCCGTAAAGCTTTCGAGGTCGTGCTACGTCTCGGTCGCAGACTCGGACATGCAATGTGCAACTCAAGATCTCGAATGTACTGAGCCTCCAACATGACACATCTGTTGCGAGGAAAGCAGGCCGGCATACAGAATGACCTGTCGTTGGGCATAACTCCCGACCAGTTCGTTGTTGACGATGTACATACTTCCTTGCGTCTAGGATGAGACAGCCTTGGGACTCACGAAAATTCCAGATCAGCCGCTATGGAATCAACTCGCAGACTTCAGTCATTGCATACGATCCCGTGCAGGGCCTACTGGCTCTGGGCACTAACGACACAAAGTTTGTTTTCATTTCCCCTCCAAACTGCAGAACTCTAGGAGCTGACACCACCAGATTCGGGCCTGGTCAGATCTATGTCTTTGGAAACAAACGCATCACCGCTGTCCTTCCCCTCCAGCGAAGGGCATCGGTCAAGATACTGCAGTTTTGCGCCGACAAGCTGATCTGCCTCGATTCGAGGAATGATCTCTCCGTTTACTCCCTTGAGGCGAAGAAGTTTATATCAAGCTATTCCCCTCCAGGAACCGTCACTGCCTTATGCTCGGATCCGATGTTAGATTACGCCATTCTTGGGATGCAGAGCGGTAAAGGTCTTCATTCAAGTTCCCTTGCACAGATCGCTAAGAGTGGCCCGTAGGTGATGTTCTCGCGTATGACCTTGACAGGGAGAGCATGGCTCCATTCAAATTGCCTAGTTTCTGGGGCGAGAAGAACCCAAAGGCTCGCATTTCACCGATAGTGTCCTTGCAACTCCATCCTAGAGATGTTGGGAAGCTCTTAATCGGTTATGCATCAGGCGCCGTTATCTACTCCTTCAAGCAAAATGCACCGCAGAAATTCTTCGAATACGAAATACCTCGAGGCGCGCCTGGGGGCGATGCAGATCCAGCACATACCACTGTTGTTCGACATCCACTGCTGACCCAGGCTGTATGGCATCCAACAGGCACTTTTGTGCTCACCGCACATGTGGATTCTAGCCTAGTCTTTTGGGATTCGAACGATGGAAGGGTGGTCATGGCACGTTCGCTGGAGGATACAAACGTTAACGTGCCCGTTTCTAATGCGTACAATCCAAGCCAGCAGCATAGTAGAAAAGTACCGTATTCTAAGATTGCGTGGTGCGCGAATCAGGATCCAGACGACACAGCATTACTTGTCTCAGGTGGCACGCCTGAAGATGTGCCGGCACAGGGTTTAACGCTTCTTGAATTTGGCAGAACCCCAAACTACACGACATCATCTTGGGAAGTTCTTTCTCAACATCTGGCATCCCCCAAGCGCCAACGGATCCTTCCAACTCCTCCAGGAGCCACGGTAGTGGATTTCTGTTTGATCCCTCGAACCGATCCGCACTTCGCTGGTGCTCACGATCCCATTGCATTGATTTGTCTGCTGTCATCGGGTGAAATTCTCTCGATGAGTTTTCCAAGTGGGTATCCAATATCCCCAACCAATCAATTGCCACTCTCAGTGACCTACGTACATCCATTTATCACCTCTATCCAGCTTTCGCCTGTCGAACGAAGTCAATGGCTTGGATTAGTAGAGAAGCGAAGTCACGGCCCCAAGTTTGTAGAGGGTGGTGCAGAGGCACCCAGGCCAATGAAGCGTTTTGAAGGAAGGAACATTGTGCAAACGGCGCATGCTGACGGAACAGTGCGTTTGTGGGATGCTGGTCACGGAGACGAGATCGAAAACGACGCGTTGATCCAAGTCGACGTCGATCGCGCCGTGGGACGTCGTGGGGGTCTAGATATAACTAAGATGAGCTTCTCTGGTGCGAGTGGGGAGTTTGCGGCCGGAACTCGAACTGGTGAGGTTGCAATCTTCCGTTGGGGCCATAATAGGAACTTTGGACGGGAGCCGCCGCCGCCCGAAGGTAACAACCCCGGCGGTCTGACCAACATACAGGACAGGACCGATCCTTCGTTAAGCGATGGCTTCTTACCACTCACACTGCTTGATATGCAAAATGGTCCCTGCACAGCGCTCAAGGCGTCCGATGTTGGGTTCATCGCAGCTGGGTTTGAGGGGGGTAACATTGCTGTTATCGATATGCGCGGGCCAGCAGTGATCTATAAGGGCAATGTACAAGAATTCGCTAGTTCGGGTCGCGGAGGTAGTCTACGTCGCTCAAGTCTCTCTGGTCCACCGAAGGGGACATATGCGTCATGCGTCGAGTTCAGTGTCATGACTGCGGAGGGAGACTCGTTTTCGAGTTTGCTTTTGCATGTCGGCACGAACAAAGGCCATGTAGCAACATTCAAGATCATTCCCGAACAAGGCGGACGCCATGGAGTCCACTTTGCCGGAGCCGTGGCTTTTGAAGACCGCGTCATTCGTATTTCTCCGATCAACGCACAAACAGGCGCAGCGGCATACGCTACGCAGAACGCGTTTGGCGGCTTGAGAAATGGCTACAAGGTCAACGGCGTGCTAATTGCAGTCACGGCGACAGAAGCGCGCATATTCAAACCAGCCACAAGCAAAGGAGCGCATAAAAGCTGGGACGAATTCGCGTGCATGTCTGCAGCGGTCTCTAGGTGTGGCGACGGAGGTTATGCGCTCGTGACTGCATTCCAAGACGGAATCGCGCGAGCGTTTGCAATCCCATCCTTGAAGGAGATTGCGTCCGCAAGGATCGGAGATGTCCTCGATCGCAACAGGCTCGACGAAGCCATCATTACGGAGACGGGCGACATCTTCGGCTGGACAGGTCCATCCGAAACGGCCATGCTCAACGTGTGGGGAAGCGGACTCGTCATCAACCGAAACAAAGACACGATATTCAATCCCGAGCTCGTCATCCCGCCGCGGCCTACCATCTCCAACTTCCAGTGGATATCCGGCTCTCAATACGTGACACCCTCGGACTTGGATCTGCTGATCGGCGGTCCTGATCGTCCGCCTTCGAAGCGCATGATCGCTCAGGCGCGAGCCGACGAGATTGCAGCGAGGCAGGCTGGTAGGTCGAATCAACAAGCTGGAGGCCAGGACCAGGGCTATTGGGCATACATGCAGGACCAGATCAACCAAAGGACCCAGAATCTAAGTTTGATGGGCGATTCTGTGAACAAATTGGAGGAGAGTAGCGCCAGTTGGGCAGAACAGGCTAGCAAGTTTGTCGCTCAACAGAAGCGAAACATGGTGTTTGGCGGTAAGTTTCTCTTTAAACTTGCGCTGCTAGATGTGATGTTGACAATAGCTTGCAGCTATGAAATCAAAGTTCTTCTAGTGTCAGGTGTACGGCCCACCCTGAAAGATCTGGGGTTAGGATTATCATGGGTTCGACCTCACAATGGCAGATGGCTCATTTGCAACACGTGTGCGACAAGTTGTTTTTCGTTCTTAAAAGCTTCATATTATGCCCTTTTGTGACGTTATCTACGTTCAAATACCCGTACATGCAGAAACACCATCCAATGCTCGATCATTATTGCGTAAAGAATCAGATGCTCTCTTCCAACTCCTTCACACATCTCTCCAGCATACCCAAACCATACCATTCCGCAACCCTTTCCAGCTCTTGTAGCCGTCTGAGAATCTGCTCCTTGTCGACCGTGCACACCCAAACCCCAGAGCACCCACAGTGCTCGGCGAATTCGTTACTGCCCCGTAGCCTCGAACACTTGGCGCACTTGAGATCTTGACTGACCCAGCTCATGACATAGCTCTGAACTCGCGCGACGAGCTTTTCTTCGATGCGAAGACGATCAAATGGGAATGAGCAGGTAAGACAACGCCATTTGATTTGGCTGGCCACTTGCTGTGCCGCCACCGGGTTGTCAAGTCCAACGTTCGATGGAGGCAGGATGTCGGCGTCACGGCAGAGATCCAAGTCACGGACACTGCAACACTCTTCGCAGACCAAGCCATGGATGACTACGCTTGCGGACGGGTTCTGGAAGGAAGCCGCGGCGCTGAACTCGCGGATCTCGAATAAGTTAAGGAGTTGTGCGCGAAGCTGACGTGCGGGGAGATTGAGTCCCTTGTCCAGAGAAAGGACCTGCGTGATGCTCTTAACCAGCTGGAGCACTGGATTCGTGAGGTTCCTCAGATGCGAACCAGGCAAGGACGGAAACTGCCAGTCCGCCTCAAGCTCGGCATGAAGCACTTCGGACTGTTGGCGGCGAATCAAGGATGCGATCTGCTTCAAGAGCGGTTTCGTGAAAGATTTGGGAAAGTCTCTCTCTTGGTCGTCAGGGTCGACGAGCTCTTCGGTATCCGTAAGATTTTTGAACGCAATCTGCGTCAGTCTTGGTGCCGCGGTTCCGTCAGGCGCAGTATTCTGCGGCCTCTTTCGTCCGTGCATGAGATCGATGAAAGCGATGACCCATTCCTCGAATACCGGCTGTAAAATGGGAGGTAAAAATGTTGCGAACTGCCAATTCATGATGCAGTCAAGTTTCTGCTCATCAGCTCCCGCGACCTCAGTGCATCCTTTGCCGCCGTAATTGAAGGCGTCATACCACACCAAGTAATCCCAGTATTCCTTTATCTCCAGCTCCAAGAAGGTGAAAAGCGGCTTCGCCTTGATGGTCTTAAGGATGTACTGGCTGTAGGCATATGCATTGCCAACTTCTGCCTTAGTCGTTTGCAGAAGCAGACGATGCGCGGACGCGTAGACTACATTTGATCCTACTCGCCGGAAGTCTGTCATCAACTGTTGCAAGGCCTTGCGAGACATCATTTGAACATAATAGTGCAACGATCGGTCATAAAGGAAGGATCCTGGATTCTCCACCCATCTAACCAAGTGCTGAACCATGACGTCCGCCATCTGATTGTCGGCACAGGCCTCAGCCCACCATGCCTTGACCAGTTCGCGAAGAACAAGAATACCTGCCGTTGCGAACGCATTATCGGAGTGTATGACTAAGGAGTTGCTGTCTGAAGTCCCGTCCGTCGAGATTGTTGCTGGGTTGAAAGAAATGGAATCCGAACCCTCCGCTTCGTTGATGAGTGAAGATGCGAGAATAGTGTTGATGGCGAGGTTCCGGACGTTCAGATCTACACAAACGGTCGAGTATGTGCCTGGCTGATTAATCGACGGCATCTCCACGTTCTCCAAAGCACTGAGCACATCGTCCTTTTCATAGCCTGCATGATCGGGCTTCGGTCCTGAGCTCCACCACAACACGATACGCTCTTGCTGCAGCCTCCTAGCATATGCAACGTCGATCAAGAATCGTGGATCGTGCCCTTCCAGGTTGCAGAGGGGAATATCACCATATCTTGACAATTCAATGAGATGCGCAACCCACTGTCCGACAGTTAGGTAATGCATCACCATCCTTTTTGCAATGAAATTTTGCCAGCCTAGAGGCGGGAGTTGCTTGTCTGTTTCATCGATCTTGAGCGGAATGATGGGAAATTCCTTCATCACAGGAATGTCATGGGAAAGCAGGCGTGTCGCCTGGGACTGCACAACCAGAACTAGCGCTTTGTCCTTCTCCTCATTTCTCATACGCTTGATCGCGTCGCCCACTTCAAGATGTGCTTTGCGCCTTGTGGTGACTTGCACCGTCTTGAAGTGTATATCCTCAGGATACTCAAAGCACGTTTGCCATGGCTCTCCGTTATTTTCTTCGTATCGCTTGGCCAAAAGTTCTCGGTAGACCCTATCCATGTTTGGCAGGCCTTGCACGTCTTTCGATCGATTCAACACAACCACATGGGCATTTGGCCGCTCAGATGAGGTTGAAAAAAGAGCAAAGATTTGGCGCTCTCCGGCAATGACGTGATACAGAAACAAGTATTTAAGGGGGGCCTCAGCTAGGTACGGTTTGTCCATCTTGACCTTCTTCAGGGCACCCAAATCAAAGCCTTGCTCGAGACCTTTGCCGAGAACGCCTTTCTGTGTCTCGTCGAATGTGCACACGCTGCCGAGTTGCAAAACACCCCTGATATGAAGTGGGACCTGCTTTTCGTACACACCTTCAACACTTGGATGGTTGAAAAGCATGTTCAGAGTCTTCGCCTCGGTAACGTATGTCTGCTCACTCATCGTAAGCTTGAATAAATGCACGCTAGGATGGCCATTTGGTAGCGTGTAGTTAGTGAGCTTCTCGACCTCAACTCCCGCGACACTGACATCGGGTAGTTCATCCCTTTTCAAATTTAGATAGACTGTTCGTGGTACAATCACCTTGATGCTGTGGATCTTCTTGTCGATCAGGACGAAGGCACGTACTTCACCCGGTGTCTCCGTCTCGCGCAGCTGTAGCAGCTGCCAAGTGCTAATGTACACCATCTCGGCTTGATTACGAAAGAAGCTCCCAATCGCATCAGCCGCATCCGTCCTCCTCTCGCCGAAAAGTTGTCGTCGACGCGCGCGCTGTTGTTTCTGAATTTTCCACTTCTGCTTCTGGTATTTCAACCAGCTAGAGTAGTCTTCACTGATATTCGGCATTTTTGCCGGCAGCGCGGCGTATGGGTCCGCTTGAACCGTAACCACCGGCTCGGGCGCCTTTCTCTTATTCGATGCGATCTTGGTTACGGTAGCTTTCCTCGCCTGTGGTGTTTTTGATGACCCGAAGTCTTCGAGGTCCATGGCCCCACGGTTGGCAAGAGTATTGATGTCTGCTTCGGCAAGTGGCTTTTCTCTTGCGTCAAACATATCCGTCATCTTCTTCTGTTGAAATTTGTCCTCTTTATTCCTGATGCGACGATCCAGCCACTCTGGGTGAGGAACTCTGGGCACCGGATTCTTGACTTTTTGCAGCGCCGCCGGAATTGTGATCAATTTTTGAATAACGGAGCCTAGACGTTCAAGATAGTAATCCCAGTCGATTACAGTTCGCGGATCCATGTCTCCTGGGTCCTCCTTCAGCCACTTCCTGAGGTAGTACTTCTTCACAGGCTCATCGGCCGAGAAAATCGCGACCGGGATAGCTCTCTCGGTGACAGGAGCATTGCGAGGCCGAGATGAAATGATGTATTTGCAATTTAATCCCTTGTCCTTCACCATCTGTTCACCAAGAAATTCGGCTAGCCTCTTCGCCGTGGTGATAGCTGTAGACTTTTGTGCACCGTATTCTTCTAGAGTCTTTGTCATGCTCTTGTTCTCACAAATTAGGTCGATTAGCTCCTCGTCCGCCAGAGTTGTTCCGTGCTGATGCAGCACATCCAGCCACCTGTTTGCCACCCGTGCTACGGCACCATATGTTTCTGCGAGTGTAGTGCCCTCAAGGAAGAATTTGAAGATTTGGGTCTGGAAGATTTTGATGAGCTTAAGCTCGCCTCTGCGCTTGACCTCGAACCCTTTCAATTCGGCAAGCGAATTGTCATGGTTGAACACGGCATAGCGTTTCTTCAGATTCTTGTCCTCTTCTTTCGATGTCGGCAGAATCATAGCCTTATATGGGCCGTCCACCTCAAAAAAGATCGTGTTCTCGCTGTGAGTCTCATACCGCAGAGTAACAGGATCTACTAGTGTCTGATACTGGTGATTCGTGAACCTCGCGTGGACCAGATGGTTCAACATGACACACGGATACGAAATGGCCATTTTCTTTCCATTCTTAAGCTTGAACGCAAAATTCTCCGGAAATGTGGCGGGGAGGATGCACCAAATACCGTCTGTGTCAAGTTCGAGCGGACGACCTATCCGCTCAACGAGCTGTCTGGCCATCTGAATGATGCGCGCTCCAGTCAGACACGTTATGCCTGCCATCTCAAGGGAATACCATCTCGAACCCTTTCGCATGACGTAGCCGTAGAAACTATTCAAGATGACCTTGTGAGCCAGCTGCAGCGAGTCGTACAACACGATCATCTTCTTCGCCTCCTCTATCTCAGAAGCCGGCGCGCCAGCAGATTTGAGCGCATCCGTTTTCCCCTTCCACACCTTCTGCTTTCCCTTGAAGTCGTAGCGTCGATCCCTAAAATCTTTGACGGTGTCAACGTAGAATGGGTTTTCTCTTTGACAGATAATCGATTCGCGTTCAATCGTACGTGCGTCGTGAATCTTGTGGTAGATCTTCTTGCAGTATTCTTGCAGACGTTTTTTAACCAAAGTCGACTGCTCATCTGCAGACAGCTCCTGGAACGTTCTTGCTGGTGCATTGGGGCCCCGTCCAGGAAAGCGCTCATTCTCCAGTGCATTGCGGATCATGTTGTATTCGTCTCGCTTCGCGGGCAGAAATTCACCTCTCCATGCCCACGGCAGTCTTCGATCGCAGGTCTTTCCTGGCCGATTGAAATCACATGCTGCACAGTCGGACTCTTGCTTCATAGAATCTGGCTGCAGTCGATTCGTCGTCATAATGTTCGGATACATAGACGCAACATCTAAGTGATAAATGAGCGGATTTTCGCTCCGATTTGGCTTCTCTTTCAACTGGAGCAACCGTTCCTCAATCTGACGCTTGACGTCGTCATAGTTTTCCACATCGTCGAGCGACTTCTTCTCTTCTACCTCAATGCAGAACTTGAGCGCAGCGTCCAGATCTCTAAGCAGTTCATCAACAGCTTTGGTGTCGACTGCAAAGTTGCAGGGTATATCACTGCGGAAAACACCGGCTTCAATACTCTCGACATGGCCTCCAACATATGTTTCAGACTCGAGAAGATGGCCATCCCAGAATGCTTCCCTTGGAGCAACATGTTTGTTGGGCAGGAGGATGTTCTTCTGATAAGCCTGCACCATGAGAAGCATTTCACACAATGTGCCCGTTCCTTTTCGCAAAACGTCATCGGGACCGAGAGGAATTATAGTACACAGTGAGAATATGAACGGGTGTACGTACTTCATGTACAAGTAATATGTCGCAACTGCGTCGGAAACAGAGTACTCTGCTAGTGTTTGGGGTCTCTCGCTTGCGTACGGCGTCATGAGTTCAGGATCCAGTTCATCGGGGTCATAACCGAGCTTCGCGACCGTGACGGCCTTCAGACCTCTACTACCTTGGGGTAAGTAACTGTCTCGGTTGACCCAAGCGAAAGCATCCATGTGTGCGCAGTAATCCGACTGGTATATATCCTCGCTGTTTTTGCGGAAGCCAATTTCTCGGTACATGTCGATCCCAAGAACACTCGCCCTAGCCTCCATGAAGGGCCAATCGAAAAAGTCACCGTTGTACGTGACCATGACTGTTGGTCGGGCTTCTTTGATATGTTCGAAGAATCGCTCGATGAGCGCCCTCTCGTCAGGCTCGTTGAATATCATGAATGGACCCTCATATTCGGGCTTAGGCGTGTAGTCAAAGTCCGAAATATCTTCCGACACTATTTCTCTATTGGTTATCAGGAAACCTTGGCCATCGATCATGTATGATACCATCATGATCTGATCAATGGTTGCGTCGGGGAACTTGAGCGGTAGCTTCGTCGTCTCTATATCCCACGCCATGACTACAGGGTCGGCACGTGTCAGCCGTTCCTCGATGCAGCTTAATGATATATGGCCATGTTTGGCTTCGACATAGTACCACTTTCCAATTCGTATATCTACGCGCGTCAGCACAAGTTTGTTAGAACGGGCACGTCAGATGTACTTTTATCAATTGCTACACGAACGTGATACGGCACGTCGTACTCTCGCACATCGACAATGAAATCACTCGCGTCGGCAATGCCACCATTTCGTTTCTCATAATCATTGTTCTCGTCAAAAATGTCGAATCCAGCGTTTGCACTGGGTTGAAGGGATCGTTAGCAAGTCTTGCTTCTTGATCCAAATCATTCTCAAGCAGAGAGCTCACCTCGCCATCTCAGCATACGTATCCATCGCATTCATATTCTTCTTATTTTTTTCCGCGATAGGTAGAATGATCTTTCTTACCGCAAGCAGATCGCCCACGTTCGCGAAATTTAGCTGGAGCACCGTTCGTTTGTATCCCAGAAGGTGATTGGGCATCTGAAGATCCTCCTTCTCCAGTCTTGTGATTCTGCGCACTACGCCCTCTGCCGTACGCTTCAGCCATTCCTCGACGTCAGCCTCCCTCCCACGCTTCACTGCGATCAGGAAGTACGGCTCGTACTCGAGCGTGGCTTTGAACGTCTCGCCCTCCTTCTCACCGATGAAGTAAAAATCAACGCCCGCTCGGCCGCCGGGCACATTTTCATCCTCTATGGACGTCGAGTGCATGTTGACGAGCCAACCTGCGCGTTTGGGGCCCGAATCGTACCGCGCGAAGCCCATGGACTCGTCGATACTGTTCGCAAGACGGATCGACTCAAACTTCTCCGAAGAGGATGTGCGTTCTGTGGCCAGCAGCGAGGTTGCCGCGACTGGCTGGCTCTTTTTGGAGCCATAGGATGTCTGGCCATTCTTGCCTAGCCGTCTATACGGCTGGCCAGCTCTTCGTACAGGCATGGTGGGACGTGTTTGTAGCGCGTCGGACACGAGTGTGGAAGCCGGCGCCTGTTCAGCAACGTATGCTCATCGTTAAGCTGCAATTGTTCGCTGCACGCTCGATTGGGGACTAGTCAGCCTTGAAGCAGGACAGACGTGTTGTGAAGCAGAGTGTGGCCGTGTAGCATGAGCAAGACTGGGAAGTGAATTACCCAGTCAGGCACGGCGCGTCGCGTGGGCGAGTTTTGGCGGACGCGCCGGTCACGAGCACCCAATCAGGCATTGTCATTTGTTGTCGCCTTGTTGCCTATCCATATGTCCTTGGTGCCTTAATGCCTTTGTGCCTTTCAAGGAACACTCCGGGTGCTCCCACCACCGCATTGTCGTTGGAGAATCAAGTCCACAGGGTAGAGTTGTGAAGAATGCAGGTGGAAATCTGTCGTATCGAGGAGGCGGGATAACGATTTGATAGCGAGCAAACATATTTCGATGTGCTTGTGAAAATCCGAGTTCGAGGATATCGTTCTTCAGTTAACCGATGCGGTAGTTTTCCGCAAAAGTTGCCCGTCCCAATTAGGAAAAGAACTGATATTTCGATCAGGGCATTTCGACTAGCCTTGCCACGCTTTTCCATGCTCCTTCGCATTAGCAGCGGATTTGTCTCTGGTCGCGGCAACCAGCTTCGCTGCATGAGATACTTGTTTCCACTCAATTGGCCATCTCGTTAACATTGGGCCCCCACATCCCCATTGATCACACCATATACTTCATTGCTTTCATCGCAGCAACTGCTCGCAAACCCAGCCCATCATGGCGTCCGGTACAGGCACCAATGATCCTCCCCGGATCCCTCCTCCAGATTTCACCCCGGAGTCCACAGATGCCTTCTCTAAGCGGCATCAGCCCCCCCTGCGCGGCATAATGGTCGACCCAGACTTCCCACCCACTGCAGAGGAGGCGTCAAAGGCGTTTCAAGAGTCTCGACAGCTTCCTCCCGAGGTGCGCGCAGAGCTGGAACAGCGCCCGCCGCCAAATTTGCGACGCAGCTCCGGCGCGTCCAAGATATTCAATCAGGCCCCGGGCAGCGGTGGCGAGGTGTTCAACACCATTCCCGGCGGCGATACTCTTCAGCGAGGACGGGGGAAATACACCGACCCCTCTGCCTCAGAAGTCGCCAAAGAACCACCCGAACCTACGGTCGCCAATGCGCTGAAAACCATCTCTCTTTCAGACTACAAGACCTTCCATCAGATCCCCTGCGTGCGACCTGCTCTGCTCAACGGCATGATGGCCGGCTTCGCGTTAGGAAGCGTGCTCTTCATCACGGGGCGTACCGTATGGAAGTCGACCAACTACGCAGTGTGGGGTTTCATTGGCAGCAGCGCTGTTGGCTACAAGTGGTGCGGCGTCCAGCGCAATCGGGAGAAAGAGGGCATGAGGGCTGCCGTGAAGATCATCGATGAAAAGAAAGAGGAAAAGAGGCTGGCGTATGAAGAACGTAAGAGGAAGATTGAGGAGATGAGGGAGGCGAAGCGGAAGGCGGAAGAGGAGGAGAAGGCGGCACAGAGAAGGTGGTACAAATTCTGGTAGCTGAGAGCCGTTCTGGTTGGCGGTGTTTTGTATGAGCTGCATTTGCATAGCGTTTGGCGCAACCTGGGATCTTTTGTTGTTTTGTAAATCTATGCATTTGATGCGAGGAGAAGCCTGCCTCGTGCAGGCCTCGGTCTGAATTCCAGATGTATATATTTGCTAAGTGGGGGATATCATGTCTCAAATAGAATCCAAACTTAAGGGAATCTCCGCAAAATTGCGCCATATCCAGAAACGCCTCGCTCCAACAGATACGCGTAAATCCCTTTCCATGCCTTATAACTCACGTGGCAAATCTGACAGTTCGCTTCACCACTCCTCTCGTCCCTGTACCGCCTCCGGGGTCGGTGCTTCCACCTCTTCTGCGACCCTCAGCCCTTCGTCTCCTCTCTTCGCGCAGCTCCCTAATCCGCCACTCATCCATCTGCCGCCTCCTCTTCATGCTGCGAGCGGCAGCCATAGCAGGCGTTGGTTTGAATCCAATGCCGTTGATACCATAGCCATCATCATCTGGATCCAGGCCAAGGTGACCCGTTATCTCAGCATCGGACCACCATATGACGTTAGTCTCTTCGAACGGTGCCGAGGTAGTTCTTGATGGAGTGAGTGGCGGAGATTTCGCACGTTTGGCTGTATGCGAAGAGGTGTGAGCACCAGAAAGATTTGGATTGGAATCATCGCCGAGGTTGCTTGAGTCGGTGCCGACATCAGAGTGCGCCACGGCCTCTGGGTCAAGCTTCACTTTTTTCTTGTCTCCGCCCTTGGACTTCGCGTCCCCAAAGCTGAGGATAGGCATCGGTCTTGCGTGACTCCGAACGGCCAGATTCAAGTCCTCCATTTTCCTTGCTACAGCACTCCGCGGACTATCCGCACCGACATACGGTTCTACTTCTTCTTGTTCCAGAAGCGGTATTTGCAGAGGCGTAGTTGACTCCAGGTACACGGGCTTGAGGTTCGGCTCCGCCGGCGGCGGACCTAACGGCGCCAATTCTTCGACAAAATGTTCCATCCGAGACGACGGTAGCTCCGGTGCAAAAATACTGTCCGCTGCGGACAGAGACGTTGAGTCAGTACGCTTCCGTTTGGGCGAAGGACGAAGCGACTGCCCCGCAGTCCAAGAATCCTCCATGTTCCGAGCCATTTGTTCTCACAGCCAGCGAGGAAAACCACCAACTTTGACTGATGATGCAATTAGAGTATCAGATCGGTATGAAAAGAGGGAAAGAGGGCAAGAGAGTCAAGTCATCTTTGGGAGACTGCCGAAGGGATGCAGAGGGAGGTAACAATGAAGGCAGCCGCAACCAGACAACCGCAGCGGGCGGCGCACTAAGGCCAAGGACCCTGGCGACGTTACGAGTGGGGCTGCGGGTAGGGCTGAGACGGAGGTTCAGCGTCAACCACCACGCCAGGATGGACTTAGTTTACTCCTGCTTTGGTCACTTCTAACACGCCTGGTCGTGTCTGTTCCATCGTACAATTGTCCTTTCAGATCTGTGGGCTGCCGTCTATCTATCTCCGACCCTCTCCGCAGTTCGCTCGGACCAACAAGCAGAAAGCTCATGGGGTAGAGACAGAGACGGGATGCCAGATCTCGCTTAATCACGGCATCAGATCGCATAATCCAGACTCAATACTACGTACGCTGCAGTTCCATTGTGTGGTAACACATTCGACTCAATCATCAGTGAATGCGACGCGCGGGCGCAAGGTGGATGGGAGCGACAATTCTTTGACTAAAGATGACGATGTGGTCCTCCATGCACGATGCGAATCTATATTTGTGCTGGCCAATTCGGGAGATTAAGGGAGAGGATGGATACGGATGTGTGCTTTGCAACGTCTTTACCTTTCGCTCGGGGTATTGGTTTACATAGAGATGATTTTGGGTTGAAGGGCATCAGCGCGGATGCATTCCAATAATCTATAATATTCCTTCAACAGCAACTGCTAACGATGGATAACATCAACTCATTAGCCCAAGACCAGAGACTTCTCAAGGGCAATGCTTAGGATATTCTTGTTGAAAGCGGGACCCTCGTAGTAGCACCGTGCACCATGCACCACAATCTCTTTATATTTTGTTAGTCGACGTGGCTAACGGGAAGAACGTGGAGGGACGTAGTTACCGCTTATCAGCCTCGGAACGCTGATAGATACAGAACGCTCCCCACGGTCTCTGGTGATATTGAGAGGACTTCGGCACTGGGCTCGAGCACTGTTGTCAAGATCGGTTGGATACTGATGCACCATGTCTGAGAGGTTCGTTGGATTGCCCTCTTGCTGGTCGTATTGTTGTTGTTCCGTGAACACATCACCATAACATGCAGCAGAACCATACAGAGGTGTACGTTGTGTAGCAAAACGAGTGTACTGAGAAATCCTCGGAGTTATCCCTAATTCGACAAGCTCCTCTGTCACGTTAAGATCTATTCCCATCGATCGAAAATAGACATCGACACCGGACGAATATATCCAAACATTTGATTCTCCTCCATTCCACGTATTCTCCCCATCTCTTTCTGACGGCACTGAGAAGGAGCCATAAAAAGTTTTGTTCAATTGGTTTTGAAGACTGTTTCGGAAAAGTTCCCGAGTTGAACTGTCAAGAACGCAATTGAATACCCGACGGAAAATAAGTGAGCCTTCTCGAGCAGAATCTAGAAGTCTAAGCCCGGCGCTGAGTGTCTCCATCTGTAATCTTTGTGCGAAATTCAGCTTCAACACCCCGATGCTGGCTGGAGTTCGCGTCAAGTAGCTGAACGAATCCTGGAATAACGGCATGCGTTCGTCCGGTCCGTTCTGAAAACTTGTAAAAGGTTTATTTGCAGTCGAGTTGATTACATTTTGCGCGGTTGGAGTCACGATTTTGCCGTCTTCGACAGCTGTAGCTTTATAAAGCTTACTAGATAAAGAGACTGCATCGTGTGTCTGGTTGAAAATCCCTACGGAGCTAAACGTGGTCGTCGTCGACCCTTTTTGGGTCTCAAATGTGATTTTACCGTCGCATTTCCCAGCAAGTGGAGACCTTGTCTCCGATGTCATTGTGTTTTCATCCTTGGTGCAAGCACTGTTTTCGCTACGATTATGAGACTCTCGAGCAACAGAGACGAACCGCTCAATCGTTCTTTGGAGCGATTTTGCCAAGTTCTCGTCGCATTTAAGCAGTCCAGATGCAACCAAGTCGTCCGTAAACGTTAAAAAACATGTGTTCAAGGTCTCAATACTTTGTTGGAGCTCGTTGACTTCGGAGGTCAACGAGGCTATGGCGTCTTTGTTGCGCTGTCGAAACGCTCGTTGGGCCCGACAAGTTTGAATTCTTCTCCGCTACACGGAAAAATATTAGCTTTGTTTCCTTTGAGAATAACATGAAAGTGAGGCAGATTCACTTTAGCAGCGCTCTCGTCTAGCTCAGAGATTTTGCGCTTTGGCTTGTATCTCCTCGGTGCGTTGGCTTCATCGTTAGACGCCATCCTGCAAATTTATCCTCATGAGTCCTTTAACCTCCCAGAACCTCAAATCAGTTCAACCAGGATTTGTTTCTGAATCAGCATTCTCGGAGGCCTTAGTATATGCTCCGTCTCCGTGCCAAGAAAGGGGTGGAGTCGACGCTATCAATTCGAGATGATTACTGATCACACAATCGCAAATTGGTTTTGGATGGTGCATAGTTTTGAGCTACAGGATGCGAAGGAAGAACTTTCATTAACCAAGGATCACATAATATAATCACAAATTCCATACAAATCCAAGTGGACATGGACGCGGGAACAATTTTGGGACATCGCATCCACCACATATTTTATCCCATGAGCAAGAAACAAGATGTAACGCTGATTGGCTAAGCGCAATGTAAAAAAAGCGTGGATGACCTCGAGATGTTGACCTATGCCTCGTCATAGCAATCCTTTAGAACTTCTGGCAGCACCTTCGCCACGATTGATCTCTATTCCACTTATGGGTCTAGGTTGCTGCGGCAAGCGCTTCGTTAGTAAGGCTACCCGAAAAAGATTTGGCCTGGATTGGTTGATCATATCTGCTGGTTTTATGAGAGTGAATTTAAAGAAGCCTTGCAAGGGTCAACACCATTTGCAGAACATGCCTTACTAACGCTCCCGCTGCGGCTCGAAGCAACTACGCTATGCACGGGAGACACACCATATTGAATAGAGAATTCGTCCGTTAAAACTAGACTCGGTTCTGATTATATCCACTGCGTTATCGCTGCTCACTAATACTCTCTGGCCTGGGGAACGTGCAGTCTGAACTTCTACCTCTGCCTGTGCACATATATGAAGCGGCTCAAGGATGTGTAGGTTTATGGAAACCTGAGTTTATTTACGTGCTTTTGCCCTGGCTACGTTGTACACCACGGAGATTTCCTCTTTGCTTCTAAAAATTTTACTTCCACAATCACGATGGAGGAATTGGCCGCCGTACAAGTCGACCCAGCGGCTGTTTCCAAGAAATCCGAAAACGGGTTGAGTTTTAACCCTAGGAAGAACGTTCCGGCGTGGAAATGGATCCTCATGTGCGTTGCGCTGTATCTGGGCGCTCTCCTTTACGGTATGCACGCTCGCTGTCTGGTTCCAAGTTTGCCGCTGACGAAAACAATATCACTACAGGTCTCGACACCACGGTCGCCGCCGACGTCCAGGCCCAAGTTTATGAAGATCTGGGCCATATCGAAAACTTGCAATGGGTTGGACTGGGGTTTCCAATGGCATCAGCCGCGACTATTCTGCTTTTTACTCGAGCGTACGGCTTGTTCGACGTTAAAAGGCTGCTTCTGTCCAGCCTTCTGATCTTCGAGATCGGCAGCGCGATCTGCGGTGCTGCGCCTACTTCTGACGTCTTGATTGCCGGTCGGGTCATCGCAGGTGTTGGTGGCGCAGGAATGTACTTGGGGTGGGTGACTCCACTGGAAAGAAGAGTACGACATATAGCTTACTATTCTAGGGCGCTGACTTACATCTCTGCATTTACGACAAGGTCGGAGGCGCCTCTTTATAACGCCTTGATTGGGCTGAGTTGGGGCGTAGGCTCTATTCTCGGACCTATCGTTGGAGGTTTATTCTCTGTTAGCAGCGCGACTTGGCGTTGGGTACGACCAAGTCTGAAGCATTGGAGAAAACATAGACTAACTTTGTGTTCTTCAAGGCTTTCTACATCAATCTTCCACTGGCAGCTTTTCTGCTGCCCGTCTACGTATTCATCTTTCTCCCACGCAATCCTCGCCCGGATCTCACTTTAAAAGAGAAGCTCTCTATGATTGACTGGGTCGGAGCCACACTAAGCGCTGCTACTTTTGTGATATTCATCGTTGTTGTCTGCTTCAGTGGTTCAACCTATACATGGGGATCCAGAGAAGCCATAGCTCTCTGGGTTGTGTTCGGAGTTTGTCTGATCATGTTGACTGTTCAGCAAGCTTTCCACATGTTCACAACCGAGGAAAAGAGAATATTTCCTGTCCATTTCCTCAAGTCGCGCACGCTGGTTCTACTGTTCATTGCTACTGGCAGTGCGTCCGGAGCACAGGGTATCACGCTCTATTATACGCCACTTTTCTTTCAATTTACGAAGGGGGACTCAGCTTTACGAGCAGCTGTCCGTCTCCTACCTTTCATTTGCCTCTTCATTTTCTTTGTGATGGTTGCAGGGGCATCGCTACCGATCTTTGGCAGATATAATCTCTACTATCTTCTTGGCGGCGGCCTTATCACTGTTGGGTCCGCCTTGTTGTTCACAATCCATACAACTACGGCCAGCAGCAACATCTACGGTTACGAAATTATGATAGCAGCAGGTACAGGCTTGGCATGGCAGAATGCCTACGCGGTTGCTGTTTCCAAAGTCTCGGCAAAGGATGTGCCGAAGGCACTTGGCTTCATCAATTTTGCTCAACTCGGGAGCACCTCCATTTCGCTCGCAATCGCCGGATCAATATTCCAGAATATCGGATACCATAACCTCAAGAACGCGTTTGCAGGCTATCCTTATCCCGATGGTTACATACGCTCCGCTTTGGCTGGGCGCATTTCTCCGGTGTTCTCCTCAAATGATGAAACCGCCATCAACATTGCTATAGTTGCTGTTGCAGAGACTATTCGAAAAACATTCGCGCCACCCATGGCAGGTGGTGCGTTGATGATCATATGCTCTCTCCTTATGAAAGTCGAGAAACTAGATTTGAGCGTCGTCGCTGCAGGCTAGAAAGGTGTCGAGCCGTGCAAACCGTAATAATTGTTCAATGGAAGCTCTGCAAAGGACATGAACATGGAATATTACCTGAAGATATCATCATCTCAAGTGAACTAGAGGTCTCGAAAGAATCAGTCTGAAATACGGACCTCTTGCTCTCCCTATCTCACCCGCCTTGGATGGTCAGTGTCGTAACCCCTTGCTTCTCTGATCAATTTTGAGTCTCTCCAAATTCGCTTATCCTTTTCGGCAATAGAAATAGATTAGAATTCATTTCCGACAGAATAATTGTACCTTCTTCTATACAAGCACTCATGCCACTTGCAAAAGACTCATCTTATTCTTGTAATAGATATGACTTCGCGAGGGCAATTTACGAAGCGGAGAACGTAGACAGCATTCGATCGATACAGAGCATTATTTCGTCGCAACTGAAGAGCATCGTATGCGTGTATAACCTGCCTAAAGGGTATCTTAAAATCATGGCACTGCCAAAGTAGGAACGCCATTGCCCATCAATCGCTTAGCAAACGTCGCAATATCATTAGAAAGCTTACGCTTCCGACCCGCATTAACCAGCTCCTTGCTCGTGAAAAACTCGCAATCACTCAGTTCCTTCAACGTGGCTCCCATAATCGTTCCTAGCCTGTAGAATGCGCTCCTATCTGGGTAAGCTTGGCCACGCCCACGCATCACTGACATGGCCATACTGAACACTGTGCGCGGCGCTTGGTCATAATCGACGATTATTCTGTCCTGTTCCTTCACTATGCCAAGCAAGCCAAATATCTTGTCTCGGATGTCGCCGCAGTTAAGATGGCTGAAGCTAAAGAGAACAGAATCCAAAGGCCACTGAGGTGGGTAGAGGTATCCTTGCCAGCAAGAGTGTGGAAAGTCTGTATTCTTGCAAACAGCAGATGCCGGCCACACAGCGTTAAATTTGTGCTCTATATAACGATCTGCGGGACCAAAGATGGACTTTGTGAGAGCGTATTTCGGATCCTTAGAGATCATGCAGTCGATGAAGAACCGGTATAGACGGTAGAAAATCGCGAGCTCGACCCAGAATATTGCGTGGTTTCCACACATGATGAGCAGTTCGCCGGCTCGCAGAAATTCCTGCACAGTCCATATACGAGTCCAATAAGGTCGCTCAAACATGGCTATAACACTTTGTCGGGCTCGAACGTTGCAGATGCCGTCGCTATGAAAAAACTCGCATACTTGTCTCTTTTCCATAGAGCTAAGCTCGTACGGGTCGCCACTGAACAAGCTTGCGGCCAACATAATGACGGACAGTGCGCGGTCGCTATCGTGCTCCTCAGGTCCGAGCCACACAATGGCGCGCTTCGCATTCTCAAAGATGCGAGACATCATCTGCACTTGCTGGTTCTTCTCGGCTGGAAAGTTCTGATCGATACACAGCTGGTCTATCCAGAGCCAGCCAAATCGACGGAGGTGAACGTCGTGCTCATCCACAGAGCAGTTGTTCATCCTTGCGTGCTCCAGAAACCACCACAGGTTTTCGCGAACTTCGTACGGTCGGCCATTGAGTTCGATGGTCGCAGTTTCAAGGTCGGAGCCCCACACGTAGGACAATGCCTCATAAGGAGGACAGTCATTGAAGTCAAAGACATGCACTTCGCATGAGACGGAGTAGTCTCGAGATGGCAAAAGTCGGACTAGCCGAATCTGGGTTCTGTCCAGATCCAGCGCTTGGTGGACGAAGGACGCCATGAGCGAATGTCGTCAGCCATGAAGAAGAAAAATTGTTGAGCGCTGTGGGTTCCCATGATGAGGAATCGCACAGTTTTTCACTTCTCCCACGGCTTATGGTGCTTGTAAAAGCAATGGCTTCCATTGCCTTCTACAGAAGGCATAGAAGGTTCCAAAACACGTCGCAGGCTGTGCATATGCAAGATTATGAAAGCTCCTAGTTCTAATCTTGTGCTGCAGCACCAAGCCGGCGCTTGACTAACCGTCGCTTCGAGCAGCCTGCACGTGTTGGTGAATCGGCTTGATTTGCATGAAATTTGTCCGGCTCCAAGTCGTAATCCGGTACGGCATTTTGAGCCAGCCAATCTAAGTCAAAGAGAGGAGGTTCCAGAGATAGCATATCGTATTCGAGTGTTTGGATTTCAAAGCCGGAGTCACCGCGACCTCGTCAATTTCTTCGCCCAGGCCTTTGCATTAAGCAAATTCGCAGTCCGCTCATCACGGTTTCGATGCCGTTTATTTTCTTCACGCTGCATGTTCTTGCCAGGCTATCATCTAAGCTGAAGTCTGCCACAGCCAGCCTACACGGGCCATTAGTGTACTCCTGATGACTTCTCTTTAAGCAGCACATATGCCCGCACGCTTCCGGCCGCGACACCTATGATCCAGTTGATAAAATGCCAGGGCTCGCCATAGCTAACGATGCAGTAGCACAGATAGTCATATTCCAACATCTTTAGCGGTCCATCTAAATGTTACGTATCCTGCGCTCTCCAGCACGAAAGCTGCTGGTCCAGTCGTTGATCTCAAATAGATCGGTCGTTCGCGTAAGGAAATGATGCTCTCTGTCTCGGATGCAGCGTTGTAGTGCGTTGCTGTGTCCCAGATGTGCGCAAGAACGGCTCATGGTTTATATCCTGCACAGGCGCGTGGGCAGCATCTCATGAGTCGACGATGGAATGGATGTGCATAAAATCAAAGTGGCAGCTATTGTATGTCTCTCTCGTCTGTCGAAGCCATTGAGGAGATTATTTTTAGGATGGAAACTATGGCCTCGAAGGCGAAGCACATGCGATGTCACTCGCCTTCGGAACATTTCACAGTGAAGATCGTAGGAAAAGCGGCAACGCGACGCTTACGCACGCCATCAGAATGGCCGATTTCAAGCTCGAAATGTATATTACCAGCTCTTTGGCTCATCGGAACGTGTGTACACTTCGAGTCTCGTTGTTTGGGGTCGAATATTGAGTCCGGTAAAGCATGAGAAAAATATAGAACCACATCTTATCCCCCCAGCCGGATGTATTGAGTTTTTTTTTTCTTTAAAGAAAAAAGGGACGGTAACACCGTTTCATCAATACCATGGTAGAACTTCTGCTCAGCTCATAAGGATGACCTCAACTGAAGCAAGCTCCCTCATTTATACATTATGTGGGCATTAGCGTCGTGATTTGCTTTGACTTCATACGTCGTGAATCATGATTAAGCCCAACGACAGTCACACAACGCTCGTCTCTCCAATCCTAGAGCATCCCCGTCAATACCTGTGTACGAATTCTCAGCTGAGCTCACGCGACTGATTGAAAACTGCACGTTCCCAGACTAGTCACGCATGGCATTTATTCCTCAAAGCCATGCCTTGGCCGAGAGTGCATCACGTCTCATCCATGGCATCTCCATTTGCATCCTGCATTTTGGCGACAAGTTTCTGGATGTGAGCCTTCATCTCCTTGACGAGTTCTGCCTCCTTTGCCAGGCCCACGTCTCTTGTCCTGCTGTTAAGGTACCCCACGTCCAAGTTCCCCAGCCCCTCATTAGTTATGTGATCGCCTTCGAGACCTTTCTTTGGTTGCCGCGCAGGCACGAGTTTAGAGTTTACGAGCGCATCCGCCTCCTCATTCAAGCTGTTTGTGACCTCGGTGAGCAGCTGCAAGAATGATCCATAGTTGTCCTTGAAAACGGTCTTGTTTTTTGCGAGAGGCCCGTCTTCGTCTCTAGCCTCTGCGTCTTCTGGTAGTGGATTTCGCGTAAGCGCATTGACAGCTTGTCCAGCATGATGGAGCAGCTGTGGAATTTTCTGCAGACTATCAGCGATGTCGTCCTTCTAAAGGACACGAGCGATGACGGACCTTGCTGATCTCTGCAAGCGCTTGTATTCGCTCGGTAGTTTGTTTGGATGATTGGGATGTGTCACCAGTCTGCTGCTGGTCGTCCATTTCTCGCGCCGTCTGAGAGTTGATTACCGGAAGTGTCCTCGGCGGCCTCAAGGCATGTTTGTAGCCCGTCGCAAGCGATAATCGCCCTCACCTATGATCCGTAGATACGTTATAAATATCAAAGAACAAACAATTATCCTCTTGTTCGAAGCTAAGATCGAAGAAAAGGACACAGGAACGCAGGTGGTTGGGATAGATTGTTCTGCGGCTCTGCGGGATCTTGCATTGGTCGCATTTGGCGCGACTCTCCTCCAGCGCTGCCCCAACCTCATCTGCATCTCAACTTGGGTTCGCTCCGCCTGAACATCATCGCAAACATCAGGAGTTCCTCCCTTTGTCAGAGAAATCGTTTGGGATACGCGAAACCGTCTTTGTTTGACATATTTGGCGCGCGACAACGCTCGAGCTGCCATGCGAGAGCCCTTCGCTGGGAATTCTGAAGGCTGATCATATCAGAAAAGATATACAAGCAGACCATCGCCATCATGTCGCATCCTGGGCAGGTCCCATCCCGCGCAAACAGCGTCGTCAATGGTCCTCCAAGCGCTGGGTTGCCTCCTCCTCATGGTTCGCAGCCACCGCCAACTCCAGGAGCCGGCCAACCGTCTCAGCAAAACCTTAACCAGATTGTAAGTAGTGCCCGTATCTTTCTTCTAGCACATCATTCGAGGGAGAGCAGCGAGCGGGAGTCGAGTGGATAGTCCTTGACTGCCTACATCACTCGTTTTCCAAGCAATTATGACCAATGTTGGCCTTCCGCATGTTGTGGATGTCGACGAGGGAACTCATGTTGCCTTACTTGTCAAGTATATTGAACCACGGGGCCGTCAATGCATGCGTTTCCTCCATTTTCTATTCTGCTTTTGATGGTTGGATGGTGGATGCGCTGTCTTGCGCGGCAACTAGCAGCATTGCTGCAGCTAGCGTAATTCAGTATCTCTGAACCTTTCCACTCCACAACCAAGCTCGACCACGTCAGAAAGGATGACATGGTCAAACAGCAGACTCGTCAGCAAGAACGCTAGCGGACGGTCTCCAGACTCTTCATGTTCAACACCTCATTTCGCGCGGCTGTGCCAACCTGTAAACCGTCACTCTCTGGTCCTTGAGCTCACACCTGCGCAGGTCCTTGAATATCTAAACAAGAAAGGCTACAGCAAGACAGAAGCTACCCTGAGACGTGAGGTCGCGGATCGCGACGGTACACCCATTTCTCGAAAAGTGCAAGACAAAGGATGGGAGAAATACTCAGAATCGTACAGTGCGTTTTACGTCTGCCCCAAACGATCAAAACTAACTTGAAATCTAGCGCTCCTTGAAAACTATGTTGATGACACTCTCGAAGTGTACAGGCCTGAGTTGGTTAGGCTACTGTGGCCGATATTTGTGCAGTCATATTTCGGACTTGTAATTGATTTCTGCCCTCCAGAAGCACTCAGCGCATTTTTCAGAGAACACAGCCCACGCTTTCAGCGCGAGCACCAGGATGAACTGCGACAACTGCAAGTCATCACAGAGCCAGCGCATGTGCAGCAGTCGGCCATTGGAAAGATTTACCGAGGCGACAACAACAAATATCGACTCACGCTTTCGTCAATGGCTTGGGCATCCCTCATCCAATTTTTGGAGTCTAAGCAAGATCAAGGTGGTGTTGTCATACAAGGCCTTATCTCAAGCTATGTCTACATCGTTACAACAGAACGCGCCGCAACAGCGTCAGATCGAAGCCTAGCTGCTATGCTTGCACGTGGAGGTGAAGACTTTGACATTCCTGCCGAAGACGAAGGCATTCCAGGCCACAACCCAGGCTCTGCAAACACGGACCGTAATGCACCGACAGTCCTGCCGAATCTGAAGCTTGGACAGATGCCGATGGACCCCGATGCAATGGAGGATGTCCGAGCAGAGCTGAAGGAAGAGGATGAAAGGAACCCTCCTGCCAACGGTGAGAACTCTCTGCTCGAGGAGTTTGAACAACGCATTAAGCAAGAACCCGCGGATGATGCGCCGAGTCGGGAGCAGATACCACTACCTCCACCATTGATGAGGGATATCAAGTCAGAAGTCGGTAAGATTAGGGAATATAGGGACCGGTTCAAAATAGATCCAAAGACGAGCGGTGTGGGACCGGGTGTTAGTGTTTGCATGTACACGTTCCACAATACGCACGACAAGTAAGTTATCGACAGTTCTCTCGCTAGTTCGAAGACTAAGTATGTGAAAGCATCAACTGTCTCGACTTCTCCGGTGATCTCATGCTAGTTGCTGCTGGCACACAGCAATCATACATCCGGGTCTGGAGCTTGGACGGCAAGCCAATTCCCAACATGAACACAGGAGAAGTCAACGATCCGAATGCACAACCATCCAGCTCAAAGCGGCTTATTGGCCATTCAGGTCCAGTCTACGCTGTTCACTTCTCACCAGCGACACCAAACCCTTCGCGGGAACCACCCTCGACTGCGCCTCGCTACCTCCTCTCCTCCTCGGCCGATAAGACGGTTCGCCTGTGGTCGTGTGACACTTGGACTTGCCTGGTCGCCTACCGTGGCCATGACTCGCCCGTCTGGGACGTTCGTTGGGGTCCGCATGGGTACTATTTTCTCTCTGCAGGACACGACAAAGTGGCTCGTCTCTGGAACACAGAGAATATTGCACCATTGCGCATGTTCGTTGCGCACGACAACGACGTCGACGTTTGCGCCTTCCACCCGAACGGCGTCTACGTTTTTACTGCCGGCGATAAGAATGTACGTATGTGGGACATTAGTCGTGGCAATCCTGTGCGAATGTTTACAGGCCACACGGGGAACATCACAGCGATCGAGTGTTCGCCAAACGGGCAGACGCTAGCCAGCGCCGACGACCAAGGTAGCATCTTTTTGTGGGACCTTGCTTCGGGAACACGCATTAAGCGTATGCGCGGCCACGGCAAGGGTGGCATCTGGTCACTCTCTTGGTCTGTTGAATCATCAGTGCTGGTTTCGGGTGGTGCAGATCTGACGGTCAGAGTGTGGGACGTCATTCAGAAGCCCAGCGAGAAGGGCTCCGATGGTGCCACAGCCGTTAAAGCTGAGGGACCCTCAACTACCGCAGCGGGAACGACGACTGGCGCTGCCGGTGGAGTACAGAAGAAGAGCAAGAAGGACGTGGTGGTTACGCAAGATCAGATCAGTGCGTTTCCAACCAAGAAGAGCCCGGTTTACAAGGTGATGTTCACGAGGAGCAACTTGGTCATCGCAGGTAGTGCGTATCTGCCGGAGTTGTATTCATAGGTCAGGAACTAGGTTCGAACGTGCCGTCGCCGTTCCTAGCGGAGTTTGATTTGGAAGGGTACCAAAGCGCGATACCGAAGCAAAAAAGGGCTCTTTTGTATCGATAATTAACGTTGCTGACATACCAATATATATATCTCGTGAGGACATTTTCAAAAGATCATATTTGCTCAATCATGTAGGTGAGAGGCGTCGTTTAAAGGGTCTTCGGACAGGAGCGTAACAACGTCGCAGAGATACGCTCCGCTCGAGTAAACAAACTGGCGTGACATGAAGCGCTCAGAACAAGTCACCGACAGCATTCGTTTCCTCTCACTCATCCACCTCCATATTGGCGAATCTCGTCGCAACTCCACAGGCCTTCCGATCGACGCGTTCATTCGTCGATTGTCTTGAAGGTCGGCAAGGTCACAAAGGGATGCAGCAAAAACTCAATACCCACAAGCTATGAAACTACGAAGGTGCAGTCGAGGGATGGACCAACTCTCGTTTATTGTATGAGCTTACAATTCCTTCAAATTTCGGTGCGAAGAGATCCTCTTTTCGGGGCTCCGCAAGCTCACGAGACGGCAGATATAAGCACTGGTTCATCAAAGATCAGATGTGGGAGCGGTGACGTTATGGAGTCCTTAGTTTCTGCATTAATCCGCACATTTACTGTTCCTAAGCTTAAGGAAAGAACGCTTGCGCTTCGTATTTCACGCGCAGTAGCTAAACAACAGGCCGTAACTGAACAAAAGCAATCAGCAAGCCCGCGGTGAGGGAAATACCATATGTGTCCATTTCTTCGCGTCCGGTAGATCTTTTCTTGAGGATGACTAGACTCCAGAATCGGTCTGGAAGGTAGTTGTATTACATCCTGCAGCGCCGAACTTTGCGCACCATGTCTTCCATGCGTCGCAGAGGCAGCCTGCAGCATTTAACGCGGGAGAGTCTCCCGGCTTCCAAATCTCGTTTGCAGCCTCTCTGTCTTCCATGATCTGCAGAGCAAGACCTCCAGAGGCATGGTCTGCAATGTGGCAGTGCATCAGCCAAGGGCCAGGGTTATCCGACTTAAATGCGATGATGACGGTTCCAGGTTTTCCAGTTGCGGTGTCGACAGCGGGCAGGTTGACCACATCGCGTCGTGGGGGATTATTCAAGTTCAACTGACTGGGACCTGAGTAATTCGTTCCTTGATATAAGACGGCGAAGTCGTGTCCGTGTAGATGAATCTGGAAGATGATTAGATTGCTCTCCAAACACACACCACGAATCAGCAAATACCGGATGTGGTTCACCTGGGTTAGATAGTGTTAAGTAAACCTGTAGTGTCTTTGTTAGCTCCTGTGCAGATCCGGGTGAACTCATATACCCAGCTACTCGAGGTATAATCCTCAGGAAGAACGATCCAGGACGTTGGCCAGCCTCCGTCATTGTCCAGGTTGAGAAACGTAATGTTCTGCCAGTCGACGCGCAGCGGTAAAAATTCTTTCTCCTCAGATGTTTCAAGCGCGAAAATGGCATGTGGATATGGAGCGATGCTGGGAGGAGTGTGCATGAATTGAACGATACGCGTAGGTTCAGTTGGATTGCTTGGAGCATCTGGGAACCATTGCAGGACTGGGGATAGACCTTCGCCGGTCGGACCAGTCTCATCTCTGCATGTGTTGAAATCTATGTCCGCCCAAGGCTCGGTATTCGGGTCCGCCATATTTGACTCATCATATCGAATGATTCCTGTCTTCATGTAATTTTCTCTATCGATAATGTCTGGATTTCCTCTACAATCTTGCATAATGTAAGTTCTGATCCAGAAGTTGGACACGGAACTTTCCGTTAGATTTTGTGGGTTAGCTTCAACAATAACATTGTACCTTTGTCCGATCTGGACCACGGTTGAGTCTGTTGTGTAGTTGTTGATTGGTACGAAGTCAGCACTGACAACGTTGAGGAGATGGTTATCGATGGTAAACAGGAACGCTGAGTTATAAGCCGTATTAATGACTCTGAGCAGGTATTTCTTGCCACCGATGAAAGTCAAGTTAAACGGGTCATGGAATTCCGTTGGAATGGCAGTCGGGTAGTTTCTCGTGAGGTTGCCAATACCGCCAAGCAGGACAGTCGCATTTAAGTCACCTTTTCGAGCATTTGCATCGTTGTGGTCTGTTCGTCACCGTCAGCGGAGTCAAAATTAGCTAGCTGGACTGCTAATATTACTCCAGTCGCTAATGAAAAGCGGCTTTGCCGGTGCTTCGTCGTAAGGAGCTATGGACGGGCCATGTATGGTCTGTTTTCGAGAACGGAGTCGGTCAACTTTTCTTTGCAATCGCTGGGACCGAATACACTTACCAATGGCCCCAATAGTCCATTCGCGTATTGTAGAGAATAGTGCGAATGGTACCAAGAAGATCCATATTGCATGGCTGTAAAGTTATAGACAAAATAGCTGCCAGGGGCTATTGGGCACTGCGATATACCAGGCACTCCATCTACAAAGCTCCAGTGATTAGTAACAAAGTAGCCGACTTTAAAAAGCTGTTTAGGAAAAAAAAAACTCTAAACTTAAATCTTAGCGCTTAGACCCTTCGTGTGAGTGTGCCTGACTCACGACCCATATGAGTTGTGTTCAATTGTCTCAAACCATGCCAATGGATGCTCGTGCCCTCTGGGAAGTCTTCCGAAACGGATACGTTCACAACGATTCGGTCTCCCCAGCAGGCTTGAATCCAGGGCCCGGGGAACTTCCCGTCAAAGAGTTGTGCGTAGTCGAAGTCTTCACCGTCGACATTGATTGATGTGGGGCCACCAACGGTCATATTGTAGTATCTTGTTATGCCGAGAGGGGTCTCGTCGATTGACTCGTAATCTGAGTATATACTGAAGTTTGCACCCGTGGTGGGATTGTGAAGCCAGCATGTTCGATCTTGGGGAGTAGAACATGGCACCCATCCTTTCATCTTTGGGTATTCACAAGTGAATGTCTCGTTGGTTCCTCTCAGACGACCTGGAGCCTTGAAACTTGGACCGCGAACGCTAAGCACATCGTGATCGAGGAAGGGAATTTGTTGATTGCGAGCCGAGTCAGGATGAAATGGAGAGAACGTAATAATGTTCAAAAGACCCGTAACGGTCGTCCAAAACCTTTGCACCAGTTTCATTTGGGCAATTCGAGGCAGGTATTTCTTAACAGATCAAGATGGGAGGGAAAACTCAAAAATGCAGAAAAATGCCAAATCACACGAGGACAATCGCTTGGAATAAATCGGCAAACTGAACCTTTCTCACAGCTCTCGCTCTTCTTCAACCCCTGCCTCGACATACGAACTGTGACACTATTCGAGGGCTTGCAACCTACAAGCTTTGCGTGTGGCAACCGCCGCACATGTAGCCTTGGGTTACCAGCCTTGCTCGTCGATTCAGCCAGCTGATGGAGAGATCAGCATAGGCCATTTCCGTAAATGCAACATCGAAGCTTGGGTAACACAATAAATGGCATCAAGCTTGGTTATACGAGGCATCCAATCACATGTGCAGCCGAATTCATTCTCGCCGCTTTAGATATGCTGTATTAGGAGGCGGTGGAAAAGGCCGTGGTTCGCATTTGACCGCTGTACTTGCCGAGCATCGGCAGTGAACCTTCTCAAGGCTACGAACTCTCGATCTGGTGCTCTCGAGGCTCGTTTTTGATGAACGGCTACATAGTACACGAGGATTTGGATCATCGGGGATAGTTGGCATAACATGCGTACATGGAGAAGAGACGTATGATCCTCAGACGCCCACGTCGTTTGGGACCTGTTCTTTTGTCGTAGTCCTCAGCCGCGGCTGACCTGCATTTGGTCCTGGTCCAGACCTCTGGTCAACCAGTGGCCCAGTTGAAAGAGGCTGACCGCAGTGACGGAAAGGATTCTGCAAACGGCACGGCGCGGATCCTCCCGTGTCACAGTCTGGAGTAAGCTTGCCTTTTGGCGCCATATCCTTTATATACTTTTGCAGCAACCTGAACTTGGGTGAGGCATAAACAACTAGGTGTGTATATCCAGGCAGGAAGTCAAGCAGCAATACAGGTCGCATGTCGCATAGAAACAGAGTGGATGCAACAACCGAACACTTGTTGGAGCTGCCTGATAGACTTCTCACAATGGTCGACGTGAAATGCACAGGCAGAGAACAAGCGCATGCAAGGGGGGGAACGATTCTAGCTCAAAAAAGTGCGTCTCATGCATAAGAACTTCGAAAGCAAGTCTTTGCATGCCTGTGTTCTGCCACTGACTGTTCGATTTGATCACGATAGGTCCCACAGAGTGGATGTGGCCAGAATGAGGTTGGACTTTGGCTCGAGGTACGTGGTATTAACGAACACTCCTCGAGATCGCAGAACAAGAAATCGTCCGGGCTCTTTTCCGTGTCCAAATAGCGTTAGCGTTGCCGAGCGGCGGCGCCTTGCCTGCTGCCTTCCCGCCAAGAATGTCCCGCCTTCTTCGTCGTCATCGCTTCCGTACTATCACAATCGGTCCCAATGCTTACGGAAGCAATGTAAATAAGCCAACAAAGAAGTCCATATTCGCTAGACGGTGTATTGCCTACGCGTTTTTCTTCTCTTTCCAGCTTTCAGCTTCCGACCCGTCATGCGTTTTGCCAGCTTCGCGTGGCTGCTGTCTGCAGTTGCGGCTGCATCGGAAGACACACACGAGGGCCAGCCGGCGCCTGCAGCGAGCCCGAAGCGTGTCGCAATAATAGGTTCGAGACTGCTTCGCTTTGTTTCCCGCACGATCCGCGAGCGTACTAATGGCTTTTACTCGCCCCAGGCGCCGGCGCTGCTGGTGCGTCCACAGCCCACCATCTCCGCAAGTACGCCACGCAAGCCCACATGCCCCTCGAGATCACCATATTCGAGCGAAATGACTACATTGGTGGACGCAGTACCACAGTAGAGGCCTTTAACGACACACTGCTGGCCCCGATTGAGTTGGGCGCCAGCATCTTTGTCTCTGTCAACTATGTGCTTCAAGACGCCGTGAAAGAGTTTGGGCTGCAGCTCAAGGAGCCATACGAAGGACCGGTTGCCTTAAAAGATGTTCCTTTCATGGGCATATATGACGGCTCCAAGTTCGTCGTCACCATGCAGGATTCAGGGTGGTGGAGCAGTTTGAAGATGTTGTGGCGTTACCTGTACGCTCCAATCAAGGCAGAGCAGCTCATGAAGGAAACGGTGGGCAAATTCCTCAAAATTTACGAGGCGCCCTATTTCCCATTTCCAAGCCTCACGAAGAGGGTGTACGATTTGGGGTTGAAAGAAGCCGCAGGCATGACTGGACAACAGTTTCTGAAAGAAAACGGCATCAGGGACGATTTTGCCAATGAGGTCATACAAGCTATGACGAGGGTAAATTATGCGCAGAATCTTGGGGTCATCCATGGTCTAGAAACGATGTGTTCTATTGCTACGAATGGAGCCGTTGCGGTCGAAGGCGGCAATTGGCGCATCTTTGAAGCAATGGTGAATGCCAGCCAATCCATCCCACGACTTGGGAGAGCCGTCTTTGCCATCAAAAGACACGACGATGGCACCTTTACTGTGGCTTCAAAGAGCGAGCCCACATGTCCAACCTGCACCGTCTATGAGGAGAAGTTCGACAGCATCGTGCTCGCCGCGCCGTATCAGTACGCCAATATCGACGTAAAGCCAAAGCCACAGATTATCCCAGATGCAATACCTTATGTGGATTTGCACGTCACATTGTTCACGTCGCCCCACTACCTCCATTCTCCTGCCTTCGGTCTCAAGCCCGACGAAAAGGTCCCTAGTATGCTGCTGACCACTCTCCAATCCAACGAACAGCCGGGTTCAAATGCGACATACAAAGCGAAGGCTGGTTTCAATTCAATCTCGCTCCTGGGCACACGCTTCAACCGTAAAACGGGTGGAGACGAGTACCTCTACAAGATCTTCAGCATGGACCCAGTACCAGACGAATTCCTAGCCAAGATTCTCGGGCTCGACGAGAAGAAGCAGTTGAGCAAGGGCGATGTAAGCTGGGTGTATCGGAAGCTATGGCAGAGCTACCCGTATGAGTTCCCACGCGTAACGTTTGAGGAGCTTCGCCTTGACGAGAATTTCTGGTATACGGGTGGCATTGAAAGCTTCATCAGCACAATGGAAACAAGCGCGCTGATAGGCAAGAACGTGGCACACTTGCTGGTCGATGAGTGGAAGAGTCGGCAGAAGACTCACGTTCACGCCGACCAACGTCAGCCTGATGTGCATGCGGCACAGGAACCATTGCAAGCTGAGCTGTGAGCTTGTAGACTCAGGTTGCTCGTGAGAGACTGCGAATTGATCCCAGGAGTCATCCTAAGAGCTTTTCACAGCAGCATGGACCGGATCGGCGGTTCAGTGGTTGGATGAATTGCGAACATCGCACATCACACACCTTGTCCAAGCCCGGCGCCGGCCCAAAGAATAGGTGCGAAGTGCCGTGGCATGTTAAATCCAAAGAGGCTTATAATGTATAGAATGGCGATTACTGCTGTTGGCGCAAGGAGCAGCTCAGTATGCTGCAGGAAAGGCAGGGCTATACAATCATAACATATTAGCGTGCGATTTACGGTCAATCTTACAGTAAATAAAGAATCTAAGCAGCAAAAGAAAAAAGAATAAGCTCACCATTGTATCCCAAAAATGTGACGACCGTGTAGTAGACCAACGCAAGCACGTAAAGGGTATTGCCGACAAACAAGCTAACCCAATACTCCTTCGCGATTACTGGCATGAGCACAAACTGCGCCACATACAGAAACACCCAAACCGGGAAGAAGGCACGGATGGCGACGTCGAAGCAGTAGCCGAACTCGAGCTGGTCCGCTCCGTCGCCGGGCTGCTGAAACAGCCCACGCTGCCGTCTCCGCCCAAAGCTAGGCAAGCCCGCTACGCCGGGGCCCAGCAGCTTTCCGACAAGGACGTAAGCCGCTGTAGCTACAAGCAAGCTAGCCGCTAGGAAGTGACCTAGCACGAAAACCAAGGCGACCTTGAGTGTACGACCGAAGCCGTCCGCGTAGGCGAGTCCCCAGCCCAGGCTTGTGAGCAACATAAACAGGCCGAGCAGGTATGCGAAGGAAGGGTCGGGCCTGTGCCACGTTCGCTGGGTCTGCCGGTGATAGTGATAGTTCCTGAACACGCGCTTTGGGGCGACGAGCAGGGACGACATCTCCCAGACGGCGAGCTCGAAGTCCATCTGCGGAAACTTGAGGGCGCGCTTTAGGATGCGAGGCGTCTGGAGGGACGTCCGTCGGGAGGCGGACGAGAACGAGGAGGGCCCTGCATTGCTGCCATGTCGGGGAAGGGAGATGGATGGGTTCATGCTCGTCATCTGAAGTGGCGTGCTGTCTTGCCTCGCTTCGGGGGCAGTTCGATCGCTGGCTTCGTGACAGGCGTGCGTTTCCGTACTCCAAGCCCAAACTAGAGGCGGATTCGTATAGCGGTGGTGCGTGCGGGCCAGAAGGCTTCGGACCAGGACGGAAGAGGCCAGATAGGACGAAGAATTCGAATCGTCTGATCGTCTCCGCCACTGGTATAGCGGAGAGGTGTGTTTGTGGATGCGTGTGTGCCTGGCGAGCGTCTGACAGGATCTTCAAGGACACGAACGGGAAATCGGGCAAGCGACGTTGCTGCAACAGAGGCAGGGGGTGAATCTAATGCAAGATGACGTTGTGGTTGTGTGTGCTGTTGCTGGAAGACAATGAGGAGAGTAAGTACAGAGTTCCATGTACGCCAGCTCGATCTGGTTCAAGCGAGGATCCACGTCCGCGTCCGGGTTCCGCAGCCATGCTTAGTCATCCCGCCTTCACTCTAAGCCGTGTTTGTGCTTGCCCGGGCTCTTCGCCTTAACCTCCACCATCCTCGCCATCATCTTTTCTTCATCCACATCACCGCCTCTCCCCCCAATCTCCCCGCTCCAATCTATCTACCTGCCTCCGTAGAACTTCGCTTCCGTCCACCGTACCTCTCTAACGTTCCTTGCCGCCCGCTGCCCGCTGTCCGCTTCCCGCTGTCTCCGCGCGTTAGGACATCGCACGTTTTCTCCACCTGCACCCACGCCAGCCTCTTTTTTTTTTTCTCCCTAGCCCCTCGTCCATCCGTTGCTTTGCGCGTAGGCCTTGAGGAATCGATAGGTTGTGTCCGCGTGTCGTTTCCTTTTCCCTTTTCCCCTCCCATCTTTTGCGTCTCCTGTGCGCTCTCTATCGTTCAGGAATGGACGAGTCGGACGTGCAGCACCAGGGCGATGCCTACGATCCTACCAATATCGCCTCCTATACCGGACAGGGCATGCTGGAAGAAGACGATGACGATGACTATGATCCTTCTAACATGCAGTTCCAGGATGCACATTCGGCCAACCAGTCCGCAGGCGACAGCGGTGCAGGTGATGGCAGCTCATTGCACGCCGCTGCCTCTACGAAGCAACGGACGGTAGGTGGCTTCATCGAAGACGATGACGACGATGAAGATGCACCTGCGGTGACTGCAAACACGACAACGGCGGGGCAAGACATATCTGCGGCTGCTTTAAGCGCCGCTGGACAAGCACCGCGCTCTGTAACACAGACGCCGGTCAATGCTACACCAGATATTTCAAATGAGAAAGCTGCTACTACTGCTGCACAAGATCAGGGTTTTGCGCCCCCCCGCTCTTCCTCCTCCACAGGTGTCATTGCTACTACTGCTCCTGTTCCAATTATCAACATTGACCACAATCCTCCTGCTTCTGTTGCTTCTGCCACTTCTGCTGCTTCTGCTCCACTGTCTAACGGCGCTGCCGGTGTTCAGTCATCAGGCGTGACACCTTCTCAGAGTCCATTTCCTCAGTTGTCTGCTGTACATGTAGCTCCTGCTCAGAACGTTCCTTCGTCATCTTCTGTCCCTCTTCCTAAGGCGAGACTGCCGCAAGATAGGGTTGGCATACTTGAGGATAGAATAGCCGCGGATCCACGTGGTGATACTGACGCATGGTTGAGTCTCATTGAGGAGTATAAACAGCGCAACAAGATTGATGAAGTATACGAGACGTATGAGCGCTTTCTCAAAATCTTCCCTCAGGCGGTAAGCTGATCTCATCTCTACCTTGCTCCCTTCGTACTTTGCGCTCAAGAAGAATGCTAACATACATGCAGGGAGACCAGTGGGCGGCCTATATCCAAACCATGATGCAAAACGAAGATACTCGGAAGGCGGAAACATCGTTTAATAAAGTGCTTCTCAACGTTCCGCACGTGCGCTGCTGGTCCCTCTACATAGATCACATCCGCCGCATGAACAATCTCGCCACAGATCAGACCCAGCAGGCCCGCTCCGTTATTACTTCCGCTTTCGAATTCACATTCAAGCACGTTGGCAACGACCCTAACTCGATGCAGCTGTGGCAGGACTATATCAACTTTGTCAAGAGTGCACCGGGTAATGTGGCTGGCGATGGATGGCAGGACAAACAGAAGGTGGATGCGGTGAGAAAAGCGTATAGACAGGCGCTGAGCATTCCGCTGCCGAATTTACAGGGCTTGTGGAGCGAGTATTCGACCTTTGAGATGACGGCTAGTAGGGTCAATGTTAGTTCTTCCCATGCTGGCGACCTTTGACTTTCAACCTCCTTTCTTATTTTCCTTTTTATGTGCGGGTGTCGTTTTCTGCTTTAGATACGTCCCGAATCGTCTCTACGTTGGCTCCTGGAGATTGGAAGTCACAGCTAACTTACCTTTATGTAGGGACGAAAGTTCATGAACGAGCAGATGCCGGCATACATGACGGCCAAGCAAGCATACATTGCGCTGGAAAACAAGATACAGCTGCTAAACCGCTCAACGCTTCCTAGATTTCCCCCGCTTCCCGGCTACGAGGGCTACGAGGACTACCAAAACCAGCTGCGCATATGGCGAGACTGGATCGAGTGGGAGAAACAGGATCCGCTCGTACTTAAGGATGAAAAGCCCGACGGATCCGCGTTCAAGAATCGCGTTTTGTTCGTATATAAGATCGCGTTGATGACCCTCCGGTTTGAGCCGCAAATGTGGTTTGAGGCCGCACAGTTTTGCTTTGACAACGATCTCAAGGACGAGGGCGAGAAGCTGCTTGATGCTGGTATCAAGGCGAACCCAGAGAGCTGCTTGCTCGCTTTTGCACAGGCGGATCGTATCGAAACGCAGACCGTAGGCGACAACGACCCAGTGGCTCGCGGGGCTACCGTACGACAACCGTACAACAAGCTCATCGACGCCTTGTACGACTTACTAAAGCAAACGCGCGAACGCTCGGAACGCGAAGTGGCAGAGATTCAGGAGCGCTATACAAAGGAAGCCATGGAAGCGCAACAGTCGCGAGAGCAAAGTCGACGCTCTGACGATGACGATGACGACGACACAAATGGCAGCCAAGATCAGGCCAAACTAGTAGCAGCACGTCGTGACGCTGACATTAAAGCTGTGCAGGAAAAATATAATGCTCAATTGCACGAGCTTCGACGGATCATCACAGCGGCATGGGTGGCACTTATTCGCGCGATGCGCCGTATTCAAGGCAAGGGGAAGCCAGGGTCATCAGATCTCCCCGGCTCGCGAGGCATCCTCAGCGAGACACGGAAGAGAGGCAATATCACGAGTGATTTATACATTCAATGCGCTTTGACCGAGTGGTATTGTTACAAGGACCCTGCTGCGTTGAGGCTCTTCGATAAAGGAATGACGCTGTATCCCACAGACGAGAATTTTGCACTGGAGTACATTAAGCATCTAATCGCCCAGTCTGACTTAACCAACGCACGTACGGTGTTTGAGAAAGCAGTCAGCCGTCTTGAGAAGGAACCAAGCTTGGTGCACAAAGCCAAGCCACTGTACTATTACTTCCACACGTTCGAGTCCAAGTATGGCGAATTGGCTCAGATTCAAAAGTTGGAACAACGCATGCGAGACTTGTTCCCTGAGGACCCAACTCTCCGCGTCTTCGCTCATCGCTTCGAGTACGAGAATGCCCTTGCAAATAAGTTCGATCCGACTACCGTACAGCCTATCATTTCGCCAGGCACTCAGATGCGACCGGTAATTATGCAATCCATTGAACAAGACGCTCAGCCTGCATATCTCAATGCTGCCGGCATCGCGCAATCCACGTTCGGAACGAGCTCGCCGAAGCGACCTTTGGACGGCACCAGCAACATAGAAGGTCCTCCTCGAAAATTAGCCCGTGGCGAGTCACCACTCAAGGGTGCAGCAGGTCGTCGCCTGGCAAGCGCACGCACAAGTGGCAACACTCCTCTCCAAAGTGTCGCCACGCTTTCCACGGGCGGACTCTGGCCCATCCCGCACCATATCAACTTCCTCCTCTCATTATTGCCAAACGCACGATACGCAGCAAACATGACGCCCGCTCTCGACCCTGTCGGTGTCGTCAACATCATGCGAGGCGTGAATCTTCAGCCAAACATTTGGGCTGGAGCGAACCTCAAGGCGGCAGGTCCGGGACTTATGGACCCGCGTTATCACCAGCCTGTGCCCATTGGCATCGGTAATGCGATACAGCCCCCTCAGCAGCAACTCCCACGACCACCTCCACCAGTGTCTCAACATGCTCCGCCACCGCCAGTCGTGGGTGTGCCACCAGTCCCTGGCTATGGACACCCTCCTCCGGCGATTCCTCCACAACCATATCCGCAGTACGCTCCTCCCCCGAACACAGCTTACCAATATGCGGCCCCTGTGAATGGTACGTACGGTTCAATTTTTTACTTCAATACTTCTTCAAGCTTTCGATAAGCACTCGAAAGTAAGACGTACTACATCTAACATGAGCATCATGCTCCTCCAAAACGATCCGGTTTTCAGGAAGCTGATAATTACGGAACAACATCCAACACCATCGCCCTTGCCTTATCTCTCAACTTTTTTTTTGTTCTCGGGCAGGATGCTTACACATTAGCGATACAGCACCTTATCCCCCTGGATCATTACGGTAGTGTGACAGGCTTGTGTCCGAGCATCGACGGCTCACTATGAGTGTAAGCGCTCTACAAATGGTCAAACCTTCGAATGGCGGGCCATGCAGTGTTCTGTCACTTCACCGCCCCAAATTGTAATTGAATTTTGGACGACGATCATCCTCATCCTGCGACGACTGGTGGTCAGTCATTCGCTCGAGATACCCATTTCATAATTTTCGACGCCTTGCATGACGGTTATCTGGGCCACAGTCCATTGCAGATTCTACACTATACGCATCTCGATTAATACAACACAGTCGCATTCTGGCACAATCACGTGCCGAAAACCTTACTCCAGAGGGAGAACAAACCCAAAAACGGAGAAATAAGACGAAAAATTGTGAACCGCGGCCTAGTCAAGGAGAATCTCCATCGGCTTTTCTTGTGGCCGAGGGCATACTTGATGCACATCTAAACTTCCTGGATACAACGATGGCTATGGACGATAAGGAGGGTTGTCGTAAAGCTTCTTCGTCGTTCCATTCTCGTTTCTATTCGAATAAGAAACATAAAAAGTTATGCGTTTCAGGCATGAGCATGGGAAAGGCGTTCTGCAGTGCAAGTTGTTCATGGCCAACGAGCAAGCATTCGAGAATGGATTCGAAGAAAAAAAAACTTGTCTCCCATGCCCTATTAGGCATCAAAAAGAGTGTGATATACAGATCACGTGTATTATAGCGAGCACTGGTGTCGAACCATCAGTAAGACTCCACCAATAATTAATGCTTTCTTCTAATGGCACAGCACCCTCTGTTGTAAAGCCCATCGACGTGAAAACTGACCGTCGTTTTCGCACCCACGCGGCTTTTGCGTGCAGTCGAGATCCATTTACGCACCCTATCAGTCCCCATACTGAACTGGCCCGGGCACACACGCCTAGAAACTTGCTTACATTGTCTAGCATTTGTGCGCGTCCCGTCTTAACGGCTCAGCAGCATTTGGGTGACCACGGTCTCGAAGAGAAATATTGATACCTCTCCGTGTTCAAGGCGCTACTCCTCACTTGGCCCCCCCCTGCAACGCGATCTGCGTCGACACAATCTCACCCCTCTTCTTCTCCATTCCGTCCTGAAGATCTTTGATCAGGCCTTCCACGCGCTTAATCTCGCCCTGTATGTAGCCTAGCCGCGACTCGACGCTCATCTTGGCCTCCTCCTGGTCCTGCTTGAGCAGCACGGGCCCGATCAGCTTGTAGACGGTGTTGTGCTCCTTGAGCGTGGAGAACTCGGCCTGCACGGACAGGTTCTCCTGCTCTTGGCTGGAGAGCGTTTGACGGATCGAGATCTGGGTTTGGAGGTCTGCACGTCGTCGGCGTCGGCGTCGTCGTCAGCTTGTGGCGAGAGCTAAGAAAGAAAGGTGCCAGCGAAGGAGCGTGTCGTCGTACCTGATTGCAATTTGGAGAACTCGTCCGAAAGAGTCTGAAGCTTTGCTTGGAGGTCCGCCATGATTTCGTTTCGCTCTGCTTATGTTTGCTCGTCCAGATCCGCGACGGTCGCAGGATCGCTCAGTGAAGAGTTGAGATTTTGTCTCTTTTTTTCCCCTTCTTATTCCAAAGTGAATGTTGTAAGCTCGGGGCTGGTTCTCGCAAACGCGCTTTTCGTGGGAGGGTAAGATGTGGGGTTTTTTGGGGGTAGCCCTGGTCACCGCTGTGATGTCGTCGTTCTGACAACCACATTCGAGCACCATAAACAAGGCACACGGAAAAGTCTCGACAGCGCCGCTCACAGAATCTCGCGATCGCTGTGTTCTTCGGGGCCGTCGCTGGACCTCCCACTATTGCACTCGAGTCCCTCGTGCCGAAATCGCTTAACTACTGCCCCCGCCGCATCTGCCTCTTGCCCGCTCCAGTGACGCCCGTGTCGATATATACTTCCATCCTGGTTATCCTGCTGCCCTCTCTTTACTCCAGCTTATCAACGACACTTTTGGGGGCCAAATTGAGAAGAAATATTCCAGCATGAGTGGCCCAAGCGACTGGGTCGGCCGGGCCATTGATGCCGTTAAGAAGGCTATTGAGCTTGACGAAAAGGCCAACTACGAGGAAGCCTACAAACAATACATGACCGCACTCGAGCTCTTCATGCTGGCGATCAAATGGGAGAAGTCGGAGGCCTCGAAGCAGATCCTCAAGAAAAAGGCGGCCGAGTACATGGACCGCGCGGAGAAGCTGAAAAAGCACCTTAGCGCAAAGGATGGAGACGACAAGAAGAAGGCTGCTGCCATGGGCTCAAACGGGAAGACGGGCACGAACGGTGCGGGAGGCAACGACGACGAAGATGCAGACAGCAAGAAGCTGCGGGGTGCTCTGCAGGGTGCCATCTTGAGCGAGAAACCGAATGTAAGATGGGAGGACGTGGCGGGCCTGGATCAGGCAAAAGAGGCGCTCAAGGAGGCGGTGATTCTGCCCATAAAGTTCCCGCATCTGTTCCAAGGCAAGAGGCAGCCGTGGAAAGGCATCCTGCTGTATGGGCCCCCGGGAACAGGAAAGTCATATCTCGCAAAGGCGGTGGCTACGGAGGCGAACAGCACATTTTTCAGCGTGAGCAGCTCGGATTTGGTCAGTAAATGGATGGGTGAGAGTGAACGGTACGTGCTTTGTTTTCCTTCTTGTGCTTATCCCACACGCTTGCCTGTGTCTGCGTGGCTTTTGCGGAAAAGCTGACCACCAGATTTCGAACAGCTTGGTAAAACAGCTCTTCAACATGGCGCGCGAAAACAAGCCTTCCATCATCTTCATAGACGAAATAGACGCCCTGTGCGGTCCTCGCGGCGAAGGCGAATCCGAAGCATCTCGCCGCATAAAGACAGAGATGCTCGTTCAGATGGACGGTGTCGGCAAAGATTCGCGCGGCGTCCTGATCCTGGGCGCGACAAACATTCCCTGGCAGCTGGATGCGGCAATACGAAGACGGTTCCAGAGGAGAGTGCACATTTCGCTACCGGACCTCCCCGCGAGAATGAAGATGTTCGAACTGGCGGTAGGGAACACGCCATGCGAGCTTAAGACGGAGGACTACAAGCGCCTGGCTGCAATGAGCGAGGGATACTCGGGCAGCGATATTGCCATTGCGGTGCAAGATGCCCTCATGCAGCCCGTGCGAAAAATTCAGACGGCGACGCACTACAAGAAGGTAAATCATGCCACCCGTGATTCGCATTCTCTCTGAACACAAGCTTAACAAAGTGATTTTCAGGTCATAGTAAATGGGAAGGAAAAGCTCACACCATGTTCGCCCGGTGACCCTGGCGCGATGGAGATGGATTGGACGCAAGTCGAGAGCGACCAGCTAGAAGAACCCCCGCTTGTGCTGAAGGACTTCGAGAAGGCGATAAGGAATGCGAGGCCGACGGTCAGCGGAGAGGATCTCGCGAAGAACGCAGAGTGGACGAAGGAGTTCGGCAGCGAGGGTAATTAGGATTCGACTCGCGAAATTTGCTCAAACGTCCTTTTCCCCAACCCTCCCCAACTCACACCCTTGAGACCGTTGCGAAACCACGTCAGAGAGCAACAACGTAGGGCTCGTCGAGAAACGTACATATCTCCGCCCACGAACTTGGCTGTAAATTCTACAGGCGACCGAGAGCAGATCGTGGTGGCTTAAGTTCATAAACAAGAATCCCAACCTCGAAAGACAAGTTGTGCGACGTAAGCAAATGAAGACAGACAAAAGGGAAATGACGAGGACACATCACATCACGTCTAGTTGCGACGATGAGGCACGTGTTGCGCCAAAAGATTTTTCCAGTTCCACCTCCGTTCTCGATGCTTATAAGCAAGAGCGCAGCGAGGCGGCGCAATTCACGTCAGAAGGAAAAGATGAGCAGGTCGCGAATCGTATAGTCTATTTGCTTTGTCATGTGTCATTTACAATGAAATCGCACCGTGTTGTTCAAGTTTCCCATTGTTGGATCTACTGGCCAACTGAATTCGCGAGACCTGCCCGCCCTGTTCGTGTTCTTGGTTCCAAGACTCTGTATAAGCCCCAGCAAGCAACCCGCTGGGAGTACATCAACGCGAGCACAGGATTGGCAATAAGGTGCGTGCTCTCGGTAGAAGACCGGTCCTAGACAATGGCTGGATGAAAGATCAAGACAGCCGACACGGTACCGTGAACTATATGGTGGCAAACGATTCGTCAAATATGGTGGCCAGCCCTGCACGCTAGATTATCGTGAACTCCTCGAGCGTCGACTCGTCCGCACACTCGCCGACCTCTCCGTCCATGATGCCATGCACGTAGGACTCTCCGAGCCACTGGTAACAAGCTTCACCCTTGGGTCGCAGTACGATGGGACACTCATGAGGGGCGACAACGGCGACTATGTCGCCCTGCTGGGTCGCGGCTGGCCCAACACCAAGCAGCCCGCCATCCGTCACGAAGAACTTTCTGCCCCCGCTCCGATAAGCAAGGGCCTGCCAGTAGGCGCCTCCAAGCTTGAGCTTGGCATGACTTTGATCGCTGTAAAACTCGTGAGCGGGGATGGCGGCGCGGAGATAGCCGGAGCGATATATCTGATATCCGTCACGCATGGAAGCGGATGCCTTGTAGAAGGCGCGCTGCTTTATCTCTGCGTTGGTGATGGGCACACGCCAGACGGCTTCCAAAGTTCCTTCGTCACCTCCATACGCGCTGCCGCAGTGCTTTGACAGCGCCTCGATTTGCTCCAGCCACACTATCTGGAGATTGAAGTTGATGTCTTGGTCGGAAATCAATTCGTTCATGTGTGTTCTTGAGATCTTTGACATGGGCTCACCTACATGGGCGACAACGTCAACTCGGATTCCAGACAACTGTAGAGACAACAGCGTGCCGTTAATTTTCTTGCCAAGACGGGCCTTCTGTGGTCTGAGGCCTCGAGAAGCAGCATAGTCCAATGGAGGATACGTTTCATTGAGCGAATGGCCCTTTCGCGAGCTTAGAGGAAGTGGAAATGGTTGCGACCAGTCCGCTACCCAGGACGGAAGACTAGGATCAGGATTTGCTGAGTATCCGAAATTTGTCGTCCTCAAGACCGACATGCCAAGAAGCTTGAGAAGGACGACCGACGTCTCGGTATAAACTTGAGCCTTTGTTTTAGAATAGTCTGGCTTAATCCAATACTTGTGTGAATCCGTACACATGCCCAGCAAAGCGTAGATGAGATCACGGGGATCAGACGCCTTAAGTTGGCTATTATTAACATACTGTATGGCCAGCAATGTTGAGAGCGATGGTTTGATGTCTCTTTTCATCGCATGTACATGACCATTGAACAGACTAATACATTGCTCGACGTCTGGATCGTTTAAAAAGGCCGACAGGAGAGATGCATACGAATCTCGTCGGATTGCACCTAGACCTTGCGCCCCTAGCAGCAGAAGCTTTTTGCGAAGCCCTTGCAACGCAAATGACACTAGAGAAGCCAAAATGCGTTTTTTGCCGCAGTATATCATCACGACATCCGGTTTGTTATTTTGAAGCTCTTGTTGAACCCAAACACGGCGCCAGTAAGGGCGCTTGATCAAAGCCCAAAAGGCCCTAAGATCTATGGAGTCTTCTGGAGGAGTCCAGTATTCATGACGCGTCAGATGCTATTGGGAAGACTGCATGTTGATTCTTCCTACCTCACGCAACCTTCTTTCTGGCAGATCCATAAGCTGGTCAATCAGAAGCGCGCTGTTGTCAGCGGCAGGTCCAATCCAGGCCGCAACCCGCGTGGCCTTCTCGTAGATTTCGCGCATCATCTGCACTTGCCAGCTCTTTTCTTCGTTGTCGCTTTGATTGATGCACACAGCATCGATCCACCACAAGCCTTCCACTTGGATATTTCTCAAGGCATCACTAAGGCCATCCGTGATCATTAAATCAGCTTCTTTATCTCCAACTTCAACTATCATCCGCCTATTTCTCTTGCCATCCCCCCACATATACGACAGAGCCGGATACGTCAAGTCTTGTTTGTGAGAAACGTGATACATGATACAACGGATTGGAACGTCATCCTCTATGGATCGCCGAAGTTCTGGATTTTGAGCTAACTCGGGATTGTCTAGGATAACGTTGTTGAGCTCGAGAATGGCGTCCAAGTTTGTGAGTTTGATCAGCCGTATTTCCTTGGCAGAGCGGTCCAATGGGGAGTACACAAAATCCATACTATTTTGAGCTGAGAACAAAATGTCGTCAGAGGAGTAGAGGATTATTAGCTTGCTTGAAGAAAGAGAGAACAAGGCTGTATTAGCGGCGAACCAGAAGATGGACATGCCATTTATGAGGGGTGAAAAATCTCATGGCCAAGATTTATGCCTGTACGTGGCTGCAGATAGGCTGCGGTCTGGAATCAGTATGTGATCCAGAGACAAATTCTTCACCTGCAGTATCTTTCCTCTACCCTTGAAGAGGTGAGAGGACAATGTTTCGAAAAGAAAGACGCCGACTTGTGCCTAGGAGCCTATCGAAGTCGTTCAGTATCAGGCAGCTTGTTGGCTCGAGCCAACACTTCGCCAGCCGATTCTTGCGACACGACGCTGGGTCGGAATGCGCACAGCGAGTTTGTGACGACAATAAGTCTCGATAGGGAACTAGGCATTGCGTACTTGCGCATTCTCCTCTTCCAATGCCGAAGCTTGGTTTCCATCCAGTTTTTGTCTGGCCATCAGGTTGACAGTATCACAAGTGTAAGTTTGACGGCTCGGACAATTTTAGGTCAACCGTGTTTCGACTTGGCCGCTTCCAAACGCGCGGGATTCCGCCACTCTTTGCTCTCGCGAAGACCGCCCAATTTGCGAACAAAATTGTGGTGAAAACACGAGTTCAGCCTCGTCTATGTTTTCACGCCAAGGTCCTTGTACTCGATCCCACACGAGACTTTGTCTTGGTCTTGATGCATCACCTCCCCCACACTCTTGGCGGCTCAGGATAGAAGAGAGCACATCGAAGAAATGGGCTGCTCTCAGGACTCCTCGCTCCTTTCGTTGCTCACTCTCCTCGCAGTTCGGAATGGGTTGACGGTGCGGTCCATCGATTGGCCCTCAAAACATCAACCGCACGGAAAGAAGGCACTCAATCAGTTGGCGTGTGGTACGCAGCATTGTCAAAAAAAAAAAAAAAAAAAAAAAAAAAAGGAAATATCGGGCAGTCCGTGTTCCGGGAGTCAATCAATTTGGTGGTTTTGGAGGTAAGTGGAAAGTCACGTGAGGAGACTTGCTGATCTGGGTGAATGAGAACTTTTGAAGCATGTACCAGTACGAGTTTCTTCTCGTTCGCACGCAGGAATCCTCCTGTCACCAATAACCCACGCAGACGACGCAAGCCGAGCACAACTTGTCGCCATTCAGGCTTGCATGAACGAGGGCATTGGATTACCAGGCCAATGCTCAGAGGTGTTCAGCGCGAGCATGATACTGCCGTGTCGAGCCGGTGACGGGCCAGTCCCGCTGCTTCGGAGCTTCTGGAAGTCCGCAAAGCAAGACATGGGAAAAAGCAATGAAAGCCCGCGATAGGCCTTAGCCTGATATTAATCGTGTTCGAGCAACGTGTCATCGTATGGGCGTTTGTCGGTCAAGCTTGGTGATGCGCAGCGCCGGAGACCTTTTTTTTAAGTGGAAGGCTGGGACATTTCCTATTTGGGCATTAGCGCCGGGTACCTGCCGCACTGGCTTGCCACCCTGGAAGAGGCTCGGATTCGTGCAGCGCACACGAGACAACTTGACTTTCGGCTGGACAATGGCAGGCTGGATGTCACAGCCGCGCCAGGGGAATAGAGTTTCTGAGCCGAGCAACTGAGTTCTGAGAAGAGCGCTGGGCCGAAGGGAAGCGAGAGAGCGGCGTTCGGTGGTTGTTGCAGGCGTCTCAGGCCGGGCCGCGGGTGGTTGCTAAGTGGCAGGGGTGCAGCGTAAACATTGGTGCGTCATGGGCTCCGGACTCCTGCCAGCCTCGCCCAACCTTCTCTTCAACCACCGACTTTCTGCTGCCGTACATACTCTCTGGTACCGCCAGTCACCAGAAACCTTTCTTCGAGCTAAGCTACCTTCCTCGCCCTTACACCAAATCTCTCCTGCCTGCTCTCCGCATCCAGACTCAAGAGAACATCTTCACCTAACGATTGCAGACTTTCTTCTCGAGCCGCAATAGCTCGACTTGCTGCGACCTCTTCGAACGAATCCGTATCTGCCGCACAGTGTCGGCGCAGCCAGACTCCTCATCTCTGCCCTCTGTGATAGAGAAAACGAGGACAGGCTCGCCAGATTCTCCCTATCCTTCGAGATAAGTCCCGCGACACGGCCGAGACGAACGAGTTGAACGACAGCGAGCCTCTGTCCCGAGGAACGTTCGCTTTCTCTCAGAACAATTGCAACACCCTGCTCCGTGCAAGCTGCTGGCTGCGTCGAGAGTCCTCCCACACGCTCCTTCTCCCGGCCCTTCGGGAGCCGCTGGAGTCATCTTTCGATCTCTCTTCTCCGTGCACACAACGCTTCCGGACATTTGAAGGAGCTTTCCTCAGACACACAACATGGCGAACGCAAGATTCGCCATTAGCATGCAGCGTACGTATTTTCTCTCGCGCTCCTAAAGCCGGGCATCGACGGCAAGAAGATTGACCAGAACGCTAACGAACCATCTCCAGGGCTGATACCGTGGCTCGGCTACCATCATGTCCTCATGCTGCTGATCGCCGTTGCAATCATATTGCTGTCGCTCCTGCTCGCTGGTTGCTCGTCAAGTTCGCCGCTGATACCCGGCATCTTCTTGATATCCATCTTCTACCAGCCGTACACCCAGATCTTCAGCCCCGCTCAAGTCGACCCAGGCGTCACAGCGGCGATAAAAAACATTGTCGGCAACGCACAGCTCGAAGTTCGTGTTGGCTACTTCGGCATCTGCGTAACTCAGGACGGCTCCAGCTACCTGTGCTCGAACAATGCCACGGCCCTGGCCCAGAACGTCAACATCGACCAGGACCCCATGAACCTGATCTGGATCGCGAGCACCTTCAAGGACGCAGTCGTATTCCCATACCTTCTGTGAGTCTTCCCCTCTGGCTGTGAAGCCTCTTTTTGCACCCCGTTGCATAAGTCAAGAGTATGACTAACGACATGGACAGCATCGTCGCAATCATCCTCGCCTTCTTCTGCTTCATCCTCCTGGCCACCTTCCCTGGCTGGCACTATGAGCATGATGAAATCACCGGCTCCGATATCGATGTCAAGCCATTCCCTTCACGCCCTGTCTGCCAGGTCGCGCTTGCGCTCGTCTTCATTGCATCAATATTTGTGCTCGTCTCCGTGCTGTGGCAACACACGGCCTCGGTCGCTGCCTCCACGATAGCGCAGGACTTCGGAAACGGGTCCATAAAATCCGGCGTTGGCACATCTGCAATGATCCTTGGCTGGTTCGGCTTTTCCCTACTCATCATCGTGACAATCGGCCTGCTGGTCATGTTGTTGAGCATGAGCGTGCTAGACAAGTTGACGGGTGACTAGACGGAGCGATGGCTGGTGATGAATCTTCGTAGTCGTTTCCCAGCTATTTCATTTTGCGATTTATAACGGCGTTTTCCCTTCTTGAACTTTCAGCTTGACTAATGCATTTGCCTACCTTTCACCCGGGCAAGGCGCGACGCAAGCAATGCCTCTGACGGCGCATCTGGCTGACACTGTCGAGAGGCGATCTAGTCGCGGAAAATCGAGGATAAGACCGAGCTGCGGCACGGCATAGAGAGCTGGTGCGCTGTGCAAACGCAAAATTATAGCAGGCCCGGTTCTCGATCCAAGGTCGTGCGGCCTGGTCGGCTCAGCAACGTCGATACTTCTTCCTCACAAGGCTCGCAGCCTCAAGCCATGACGAACGAAGAGCCTCTAACCCGTTCTCCGCTCCAGGACACATTGTCTTGAGCGCCAAGTCACCCATTATCCCGCGGCTGCAACCTCCGACGTCTTGACTCTGCGTCTTTCCAACGGTGGCCCGGATGTCGGCTTTTTCTTTGCACCCTTTTGCCTCTTCGCCACTTGTATAGACACACGCACACACATTTTGGCTTCTTTTTCACCCTTTCAGCTTCATACCCCCTTCGAACCTATCCTTCCTCTCCCCGCTTTTCATGGAAAAATTGAGCATGAGGCACGTCTCGAAGACGCGCATCGATATATTGCATACACGGAGTTCTTCCTTTTTGAATCATGGCCACGCGATTGCGGGGGACGTCGGAAAGAATCAACGCTATAGTAAATGGTAAATGTGGAAAAAAAGGGGGATGGAGGGAGAGGGCTTGCCCACCAATCTATGTTCGGGTGGGTAAATGCCAAATGCGGGAAAAATGCGCGACCGAATATTATTGATGGAGAAACGCAGCGAAATGAGACGAAAGAGTGATTGGAATGTATTTATATAGGATGAACTTTTCGATGAATAAAACAGAATGATGAATGGATCCACGTACGCACCTCACTCTTTTTTTTTCTACTGCTATTGTTTCATGCCGCTCCTGTTTTCCCCATATTCGCTTTACAATCCGCGTGACGCTTTCGATTAATACAAGTTTGGGGGAGGTTATAGCAGTGGTGGTCAAGGACGTGTGAATTGCTTCGCGTCTATCATTTACCCATTATATATACTGGCCCTTTGGATCTATCTTGTCCATAATCTCCATGGACTTCTCGTACCTGCGTCGCCAGATCTGGTCAACATCGACTCGTGTTTGGACTCGGAAGGAGCAAAGAAAAAGGCGAAACAAAAGGGAAGAGAGCGCGAAGAGCCACAAGAGGCTTGGGGAGAGGTAAAAGGACTTACATGGCAAAAACGATGCCCCCGCTGAACACCAGCCTGCCCAATCTCGGCACCGCGCCCGCCCAAAACGTGAGGAGACCTTCGTTCCTGAATATCTTTGCCGCGCAGTCAAAGCTGTTCTTGTACTCTTTGCGGGCCTCGAGGCTCTGCATGCGGGTCTTGACGGTGTCGAGCGGCATGGTAGCGTAGACGGTGATGGTGCCGGCGGCGGCGCCGAGGCCGAACGTGCTGAGCACGCCGAGCTTCTCGCCCGGGGCGACGTAGCTCTGCGCCAGCTGCTTAAGGCTGGTGTAGCTGCTGAAGCGCACGGCCGAGTTGGCGGCCTGGCGCGCGGTGGTGGGCACGAGGCCCTGGAAGAAGCCGCGGACGCCCTTCTCGGCGAAGATGACCTGTGTTCCGTGGAGGAATCCGCGCATACGTGGCTGGGCGCGCTTGCGGTCGTCGATCAGCTGCGTCTTGATCGACTCGAACGGCGTGACGGCGAGAAGGGACTCGGTCGCGCCGGCGCCGAAGCCGGCGATCACGTTGGCCGGACCGGAGACGTTGCCTTGCGCGTCGGCGAGGAGCGACTTGTACGTGTCGAAGGCGACGAAGCCTGCATGCCTCGGCTTTGCGTTAGCGGTGACGTCGCGACGCCCGCGCCCGTGTTCTCTTTCTTGCCCGAAACCAGAAACAAGACGGGACTGCGAGGAGAGGAGAACGTACGTATGCCTGCTTTGATGGAGTTACCAATGACCAGCGTCGTGCAGCCGGCGTACCATTCGCGCCCGAACTTGGGCCATGGCAGCTTCTTGCTGTCCGGTAGTCGTAGATTGAGCTGTTGCCGAGTCTTTGCAACTGCAGCACTCAGTTAGCTGCGAAATCGTCACGACTCGTATCAAGACGGATATCGAGGCCAACGTCGAGTACACACATTCTGCGGGATATGTGATCGCTATCCAAGACGTTAGCTTGTCGTCGGAGCCAGAGAAGGTAGTCGACGTCATATACCAATCTCAATCGCGCCGGCTGTTGAGCCAGCAATGATCGACCTCAGAGCACTTGGCTGCCATGCAGTCAGTCTCTGCAGCAGATGCCATATATTGTATGGAGCACCACCTTCTTCTTTTCTGCGGTTGCCGAAGCCGGCACCGCGGCTGTCTTCACCGTCGCGGCCATTGTTCAGCGGCGGGGCCGAACCTCCAGCCTTCGATCGTCAGCAAAGGATTGAACGCGCCAGAGACGACGCAAGGAGCTCGAATATCAGCAACACGATTGGCCTCTGGGTATCATTGCTCGCGTGCTCGGAGCGTCGCAATTCCAGAGAGAGCCTGCGGTAGCGGAAGGAAAATGGTTAAGCCACACACGTGCGCCGCCCGACCAGGGGTCGCATCTCCAGCTCCGTCATCCGATGCGTCTTTCTCGTCCAAAAAGTTCGGGACAACAACCTTGACCAGAATTATTTTCTTCTTCTCCCTTCGTTTCCATCGCAACTCCCTGCCCTCCTCGTTCCATCAAATCGTATCGCAATGCTGTCGTTACGCACGTTTGCACGCTCTGCGCCTCGCTCCATTGCCCGTTTGGCCACTGTCTCAAGAAGTCCTGCTGTGTTTGGCGGTGCTATCAGAGCTGCGCCGTCTGTCGCCAGGTTCACTGCTCCATTCTCAACATCTTTTGTGAGAAGACAAGGCATGTAGAGATCCTCGTGCATCAGAGTTGCATTGATGCTAATGGATTCGAAGGCAATGAAGAGCTCGTGGCGAAGTTGACCTCCGAGTACGAAATTGAGACTAGCTCGAGAGAGGAGGACGCCGACTCCAGCGCAACCATCAAGGAGTATCTCGAGGACAGCCCATTCAAGGTCCGATAGGAAACGCTTCTCTGTTTAATGTCTGTTGTGCTGATTGTGCTCCAGCTTATTGACACTCCGGGCCAAGAAGAGGTCATCCTGACACGCAAGTACAACGACGAAGAGTGCGTCGACCACAATTACGTCTGCTCGTCATTGCTAACAGGAGCGCTTTAGGATCCGCGTAACCTTCTCTATTGCAGACCTCGCCAATGAATCTCTCCAAGACAGTTATGCCGAGTCCGACCATGCCATGTTCGACGAGGGCGCCGACCTAGACGGCAGTGCGAACTCCAAGGGTGCCATCAACGCAGGGGGCAGCTCAGGCAACATGCGCACCGCACCAGAAGACCGCATTGCTCCCTCTGACGAAGAGGGCTACGATGAGGATCTTGAGCCGGCTCCAGCGTTCCCTGCCCGTGTCAATGTGCGCGTGACCCGTGACGGCAAGCAGGGCGCCATCATGATCGAGGCCACGGCGCAAGACGGTGAGATAATCATTGACAACGTGTACTTCTTCAAGGATGTCGCGCAGGCCGACCCTGAGAACGCAGATGCCGAGTGGAAGAGGCGCTCTGTGTATGCGGGACCGCCGTTCGGCAATCTGGATGAGGAGCTGCAGATTCTGCTTGAGCGATACCTTGACGAGAGGGGTATTGATGTCAGGATGGCCAACTTCATTCCTGAGTTCATCGACTACAAGGAGCAGAAGGAGTACGTCAGGTGGTTGAACAGTAAGTTCCGAACGACCCCTGCTTGCCGCGTGCGAAGGACAAAACAGTGCTAACAAACATCGTAGACTTGAAGAACTTCTTCGAGTAGGCTCAACGTCAAAATTCAGCGACAGAATGCAAGCATGTAAAGGGAGAGGTGGCGTTTCGTGGAAAATGTCTTCAGAACGAAGAACTTGTAACAACAGAAACGGCGCGTTGCGCCACTCCATTGGGAGTCAAAATGGCTCTTGCGTGACTGGACAAGAGAGACCAAAAAAAAAGTAATATATTTTCTCCCCACTGCATTATATACACGCATGATTCTTGGGTATCTTCTCGTCTAAATGTGTCTCTTTCGTTTCAATGAACGGTGCTTCCATTTGAGCCCTACGTGTTGGCGTGTATGGCACATGAGGTTCCTTCGTCGCAGATCATGAATCTTCAGACGAAGACAGTTTTGCTCGTCGAGCATTGCAACATGCCGCTCCTTGGGGATATTTCGCGTCTAAATCCTCACATCACCATCGTGTAGTGTCGCTCAGCTCTGGCCCTTGGGAGGAAAACTACTCTCCCGCACCTCGCCCTTGCGATTGAGGCGAACAAACTTCATGACGTTGAGGCCGCTCCACTCGCCCTTCCAGTTGCGTAGACTGAAGAGCGTCTCCTCATCCCTCAGGTCCGGTATCCACAGCCCGGACTCGTATTCTTTGCTGTCCGCCTCCAGCTGCTGCTTGATCGCCAGCTCTCTTGTCGCAGGCGGCCTGCCTGGTCTGCGCTCGGCCTTGAGAGCCGCCAGCTCGTCGTCGAAGCGCGAAAGGAGGATTTTGATCAGCGATTGAATGGACTCGATGTCGTACGGCGTGACCTGTGCGGGGGCCTCGGGCAGGCAAGACTGAAAGAAGGATACTCTTTGCACTGCGCACAATCCATCAGCATTCAAAGACATGCGGCAACAGGGCAGCCGAGAGCCATACGGTGAGGTAGGTTCGCCTTCTCCCTCGCAGTGATCTTGGCCGCCAATTTCTCCTCTCGCGCGCTCGCCCGCTGCAGCCGCCGGGCATCTCTGCTGTGCTCGTGCAGAGCGGTGATTCTGCCGCCCTTTTTTTCCTTGATCTGCTTGGTGACTTTGGAGAACGATTTTACGGGCATTGTGGATACTCGACTGGTTTCTGCCTCGCTTTGGTGGGTGCACGATGTGAGTAGTTCTAGGCCGCGAGCGAAAAATAAAGTGGAGTCTTGCTTTGCTGGGGAATGGTTGGAGTCCGCCCACAGACAGGGCGCAAAGCTTAAGCGCTTGCCGCCGACGCGCCTCGACGCGTGAGCCAGCCGGAATCTCAGACCACGCTGACGGCAGTGAAGCGGTCACATACAAGTGAGACAGCACATCTCTCAAGGCAAAGGCGTCCTCGGTTCGGATTTCTTTGCCATGTCGGTTCGTTCACCGCAGCCTGTACGCGTGGACATCTAAGTGGGCAGCATGGGCATTCAAGGTACGCAAAGGTATACCCACCCACATCCAACCGCGTCTCTGACCCCAGACAGGCCTGTTGCCGCTTTTAAAGTCGATTCAAAAGCCATGTAGTCTCAAACAGTTCGCTGGGCAGACCATTGGCGTTGACGCCTATGGATGGCTCCACAGGGGAACAGTATCCTGCGCCGTCGAGCTGGCAACAGGCAAGCCCACGACAAAGTACGTGCCCTTCTCTGCTTTACGTGGGCAATATGAACTTACGTGTCGCCCAGGTATGTAGAGTTCGCCATGAGCAGAGTCCGGATGCTTAAGCACTTCGGCATTACCCCGTACCTGGTCTTCGACGGCGACTATCTGCCCAGCAAATCCAAGACCGAGAAGGAGCGCTCTGCGCGTCGCAAGGAGAGCAAAAAGCTCGGCCTGGAGCTCCTCAATTTGGGCAGAACTTCGCAGGCCTATCTCGAGCTTCAGAAAGCCGTCGATGTCACCCCGGAAATGGCTGGTCTGTTGATCGAGGAATTGAAGCGCGCAAGTGTTCCTTATGTTGTGGCGCCGTTTGAAGCAGATTCGCAGATGGTGTATCTTGAGAAGCAGGGTCTCATCGACGGCATTCTATCTGAGGATTCTGATCTACTGGTCTTTGGCGCGAGGAGACTTCTCACCAAGTTGGATCAATACGGCAATTGCATCATGATTCGACGCGATGACTTCACAGCGTGCCGGGAGGTCAGTTTTGCCGGCTGGTCAGACAGAGAGTTTCGCCAAATGGCCATCTTAAGCGGTTGCGACTACCTAAACAGCATTGAAAAGATGGGCTTGAAGACGGCGCATCGCTTGCTCCGTAAACACAGGACGGTCGACCGGGTAATTCGGGCTTTGCAGTTCGACGGAAAGTTCAAGGTTCCGACGGGCTATGCAGAAGCTTTCCACCAGGCTGAACTTACCTTCTTACACCAGTGGGTGTACTGCCCAAAGGCTAAAAGCTTGGTCCATTTCATGCCACTTGAGGACGGGATGAGCGCTGAGGACCTACCCTTCATTGGTGCTTTCGTAGATGCAGAGACTGCCTCAGGAGTTGCCCGCGGCGAATTGCATCCGCACTCAAAAGAGCCATTGAAGCTACCGGACGTACCGAAGAGATCTTGGATGAGCACATTGCAGCAAACAAAGCCAGCCATCGTCGAGACGCCGGCACTCAAGAGGCACAAATCGATCGATTCATTTTTCAAGCCAAAGCGGACACCCCTGGCCGAACTCGATGTCAATCTTTTTACAGGCTCACCAAGTCAACAGGAAATGGCTCGACGCGCTTCTGGCACGTCCTGGCCCGCCACACCTGTGGAAAACCATACGCCTACCACTAGCATATCAAGACCATCTGCCATACCATCCTCAGCGCCTGCCGCGGCACGACGTACCTTCTCAGGCATTACACCCTTGAGCACACGCTCTGAGCGTGCGCCCAAAAGGCAGCGACTTTGCGCGGATGGTTCATCTCCCGTTTCGCAGAGGAACGTAGAGAAGATAGAGTTTGGTACAAGCAAATTCTTTGGCGGTCCAAACGTGGCAGGAACGCCGTCCACAGGAAAGACAAATGCAAAGATTCTTGAGTCGGACTTTGCCCTTTGGTCTGACGATTCAATTGAGGAGGCTCTGAGTCAACTACCACTACCGGAAGGTTCCAGGACGAAGCCGAAGATGAGAGTGAAAAAGCTGGAGATTTTCAGCGACGAGGCTGCGCACAAACAGAGCGAGATGCCGAGAACGACAGCATCTCAGGATAAAGAAATGCAAACTGCAACTAAAATGGAAAAAGAGACACAGTCCACGACAATGTCTACCGTCTTTTCGCAAAGTCAACAGCAGAAAGACACACCGTCCAGCTCCATTGATGTCGAAGAATCAGAACGGCCATCAGAATCTCTGTTTGACGCGAACCTAAAGGTTGAAATATCGAACCTGCGCGCGAGATATTCGCTTGGCGCAGATCATCTCTCAAAGATGCCTTTGGACAAACCGCAGAAACGATCTTCAAGCCATGCGCATCTGTCCAAACTCCAGTTTGACGGAGCGTTCGATATCGTCGGCTCGAAGCTCGAGCGCTCAGCGGAGAAAGAGGTACGACACGCTCAGCTTCCGCGGGGCAACAATGATCAGAACCAGGCCGAGGACAAGGACGTGGTCGTTCCAGGAAGCGACTCGATCGAACCGTCGTCCCCAGAAAAGCCTTCTTACGACAACGTCCCGTCCGCACTGCTTGTGGGTGGAACGGAAGATCTTCTAGTATCCGAAAGCGAGGCTGAGGCCTCCGAGCCTGAGACGCCAAAGCAAAGTGTCTTCATGAATTTGGGACGATTTGCCTTTGGCGCCGTGTAGGTCACTTTTCTGACGACTTGCAGAGGTTTTTTTTTTTTTTTTTTTTTTGGTTCTCAGGCGACGATGTTGGTCTCAGCGGTTGTGGAGTTGTTTCTTTGGTTTCCTCTTCACGTCTCTTTTATTTCTTCATTTACATTCGGTCCGTTGAATCCCACCTTTTCTGAAGTCTCAGTTCCACTTGGCTTTTGCAAGACCCAAAAAAAATTGGGGTGTCGAAAGGACTCGCCAGGATGGAACCTGTTCTTCTAGCATGGAGTTGGGGAGTAGGGAGAGGGAGGCGCTTGAGAATACGGATTTTTTTTTTGGGCATTAGAGAATAACAGAGAACACAACACTCAGTTTTCGTCCCCGTGCTCTTGCGCCTTGAAAAAGAAAAGCCTATCGCGACTGATTTGGTATTCGGTGTTCGTTCTGCCACTCAAGGTCGCTTGCTCCACGCGAGACAGCTATTCCGGCGGTGAACTCGTTCGACCAAGTCCATCAACACCCCGGCTCAGTCACGTCGTGCACGCTTGCCCAGCTGGTTGATGGAAGAGCAAAATGGAGCGCTACCGTGCCTCGGCGGCGTCCGGACATCTGGCAATCGTCGCCGGCGAACAAGAAGACGCACGATCACGGTGGTTTTGCATATCTTTTCCCGACAGATTTATGGGCTGAGCCTGGCAGAAGCGCATGACGATTGCGACATCCCACTCTGTACTTTTTGACGCTCGCTTCCTTCGCTCCTAGTGTGGCGAGCGTGCTGCTCACAGATCGACCGTCTACGATCTTTGTTACGGCTGAAAACACGAATGCAAAGACAGCGTGAAAGTTGATCTCGTGGTGGCTTACGTAAAGAAGTTCCAATCAGTCGTAGGGTCAACACTCTCTAAACGTGATCAGCATCATATTATATATCATTATTCATCTCACAAAAATAGCCTAAAAGCCATTGTAAAGATATAGATACAGCAATTTTCATCCGATGGCCACCAGCAAAATGGCGTCTGCCACCATTGAAAGGTAAGAACAAAGTCAGGCATCTCGGCGTTGCCGTGTCAAGTTTGAGGCCAACCTTCACGGCATCAGTTAGCGTGAAAGTTTGAAAGGGCTATCGAATTCCTGACGGTCTATTTTCGATACGACGAAACTCGATATGACCTTTGATCTGATGCCTCCAAAATCCCGTTCTTGGAGATCAAAGTCATGCAAATAACGTCAGGGGGGAGGGTGGTGTGTGGTATGTGTGGAGAGGTTAAAAAAAACTCCCAAGAAATGCGACCAGAGCATAATGTCTGAGAGTATGCCGCGCGAGATGCCTGTTCGAGCTAGAATGATAATTGACCCGTGGAAGAAAGTTCGTGCCTGGTATCATGCGCCTATATAATTCGCCTTAAATCGAAAAAAAAAAAATTGCAGTCGTTGCCTTGGTATCCGTTCTAGGATGCGAGAACCCACGATGAATCAAGGTCCCCAGGAACAGGAATGAAATGTAGTGACGTGATATGCATCCGTTGATGAAGAGCGCCAACAGGGAGACACATCGAATGAAGCTAGGCAGGGAGTTGTGTATAAAGAGGGCTCCGTCCCCAAATCTCATCCCGAGCCCGACTCCTCATCAATCTTTGGTGGAATTCCCCCGCCGAGTCCAGCTACAGCGGGGGCTTCCATCCGTGCAACTTTTGCAGCATGGCTCTCTAGACTCGCTTCTTGCGCTGAATTGCGCCTCTCAGCGGGCGTGGCCGCGGTTGGAGTCACAGGCAGTGAATTTCCTCCTGTCATAGATGCGATGTTGGGCTGGTCACCTGCGGTGACGTGATCGCTGAGTGGCGACGCACTTGCCTTCGAGGCCTTGTCGGTGTGTCCAGATTTCGCGCTCTGTTGCGAGGACGTGCGTGGAGAGACGCGGCCGTTCTACTTACCAACGTCAGCGCCGTGCGATCAATGGAAACGACAAGCCCACATATGAGACTCATACCTGTTTGGCCCACCTCAGACCACAGCTGTTACATAGATCTCGCTGCCCACTAGGTCCCCGCCTCCACTCCGGAGTGTTTTTGGTGTGACAATTTGCGCAGTCTTTTTGCAGACTTCCCGCTCCTCGTCTTCGCTTTCTCTTCTTTTTCGCTGCAATCAGGCTTTGTACTTCCTCAGCCAGCATCCTGTTCCTCTTCTCCATCTGCCTTAGTTCGAATTGCCAGGACGAGGAACGGACTGTTTTCAGCTCATCGAACATGTTATCCTCTGAGGCGAGCGACATATCCTGACGACCAATGGCGAGTCCTGCTTGTCCAGCGTGCGTGACAGCGTAACCTTCTGCAGAGCGATACATCGACGTGTCGACGGTCTGAGCGCTCGAACTGTGATTTGTGTATGGCGTCGCATTGCCAGCGGTGACCAAACTTGAGGTACGTGTCAATGCATCACCCCTGGGGCCTTGGTCGCCTTTCACAGATTGTCTGTTTCCTCCCCCACTATGATACCTGATTAGCCGAGTCTGCACAACCAAGAAAGTCGGCTTGTTCCCTTCCGTAGCATCGCCAGGATAGATCCACGAGAACGCCTGAAGCACCTGCCCCCTCTTGTTCGTGACCTCGTGCCGCACACTCGTGTTTTTGCCCGTTAAAGCGATCGTAAGCACTCTTCCAAACTCCTCTTTCGAGTCAGGACGCATGAGCGCCTGAATGTTCGTGCCAACTAGCTCCTCTGGTTGCCGATCTAGCAGCTGGCGCACATTGCTCGACACAAAGAGGAACATGCCCGTGGTGGACATCTTGGCCCACAGCTCGTTTTCTCCAATGCCACCGCCTTCCATGAGCACGGATTTATTGAGAGTATACACAGGCCTCTCCCGCCCCACGAGGATGATACACTTACGACCTTTGCCTTGCTCCGTGTGAAGCGAACCATGAGATTCAAACCACATGTAACCGCTGTTTTTCCTGCGAATTCGGAACACAACGCTCAGCGAGGGACCGCTGGATGGGTCTTTAAGCTCGCGAGTGACAGGGACGATATCCGAGGGGTGGCACACCGATGAAAGAGGGGTACCGACAAGTTCGCTGGGATCGTATTCGAGAACATTACGACACGAGGGCGATAAGTATAAGAACAAGCCTTTGAGTGAGAGCACGTGGATGACATCGTCAGCGTTCTCAAGGAGCACTTTATCCATTAGGCGACGCGAAAGTTCGTTTTCACCAGCACCTGTGATTGTTCCGAGAACAGTGGACACTTCGTCTCTCGGAAGGGTCTGTGAGATCTCAGCACTCAGTCCTTCGCCGGGAGGCGCGAGGAAGTAGCTTGGCAAGCTTTCGTGTCTTTGATAGTTGATCGAGTACGTTCCGTCTAAACGCCATCTTAGCTTCCGAGTTTACGGAGCGCAAATCAGCGACGGAAAAACTCACCTGGATTCCTCGCATTGATGGCCGTGGGGTTTTCGACGAGATCAACCTGAAACCCTACGAAATGCGACGTCTCCCCATTATCGTCCATAAGAGGAATCATCGTGAGCAAATTCATGAAAGGTTGCCCTCCTTTCCTGTAATTGATCAGGCTGATCTGGGCCTCTGTTCGCGTGTTGATGCAATTTTTCAGATACAACACTGCGTCATCGTCGCAATACTTTCTTTTGACACCGGGTGTGACTCTACCGTCAGGCGACTGCAAGAACCGGCAGTTCTGGCCAATGATTTCATGCTTGGAATAGCCAGTAAGGCGCTCAAAGGATTCTGAAGCGTATTCTATTGGCGCGTCGTGCGCTTTCGTGTTGCAGACGACGAAAGCACAGGAGAGGTCTACGGCGCCGATGTTGATTTGAGGTTTGGGTCTGTTGGCAACGCGGATCTACGTGGGACGTCAATCTATCTGTCGATGCTGGCGGCGTTGTCTGAAACATTCTTACCAGAATACTCATCAGATCGTACCCGCTAGGCGCGTAAGCGTCCTTGAACTGAGTATCCATGTGCGTCCGACCCCTCTGAGAAGACGGCCAACCGTCTACAGCATAAGTTAGCAAACAAACTAGGCAACATACAACTGCCCTGTGCACGCTTACCTGGAGGTGCCGTCCACGGCAGCGGATTCCCGTTGACCATCTCTGGAGGTCCTGGCGGATTTTGCGCCATCCTCTTCGGGCTGAAAGCGGACGCGACGGACTGCTGCAAATTGTTCGTCGGCTGTGTTGACACGCTACCCTGCTGCGAGGTGCTCTGGCTTGACGAATCGTTGTTACTGCTCGTTCTTGAAGTACTTTGCCTCGGATCTGGGATCGCGTTGTTGCTTGAATGAGATGCTCGCCTCGTCGCCCCCGGTGCCGTGCCGCCGCCCGGGTCTTGGAGCGATGGGGCTAGCATCGATGAAGCGTACGCCGGGTGAATTGGAGATTGGACCATGGGCGAATTGTACTGCTCCGGGTTGAACGTGTTTGCCTGTGGCATCTCTGGGCTCATCATATTCATTTCGTTGCTCATGGGCATGCTCGTCGGAAACGCGGATGTGAGATACGGGCTTGTCATGTCCATATCCAACGGACGAGCTCCTGCCATGGCCGAGTCGAAACCGTGCGAGTGCTGGCTCATCGAGCCGAAGCCGTCCGGCTGCGATGTCGCAAATCTGGCGTTGACGGACAAGCTGTTTGCGTGACCGTTCGACCGCTGTCTCGAGGCGGCGTCGTCGTCCTGCGGCGACATGTCGACCATGGCTGAGTCGAAGCCCGAGTGGTCAAAGTTGAAGTGGGCCATGTCTGGAGAGCCAGCAGAAAAATCCATCATGTCGACCATGCTCGCCCTGCGCATCGAGTCGTCGATTTCGTTGGCTGCGGGGTTCTGATACGTTCCTACGGGCATGCTCCGCCTCCTCATCTCCTTTGCATTCTGGTTCACAATCTCGTCCAAGCTCTGCGCGGCCGGTATGTTCGATCCCATACCGGCCATGTCCATCATGTGTTGAGCATCAGGCTCGTTGAGGGTGACGGCGTATTGCTGCGCCGCATCGTCGGCGGTGTACCGGCGCTGGTAGTAGCCATTCATACTGCAACGCGAGCGTCCAACATCCGCAGTCAAGCTACCGGGATGCGTCGTAAGGCGTTATTCGGCACGCAGCCGGGAGGTTGTGTGGGCGAACGTACCGGCACACCGGGGTGAAGGTGCAAATATGGGGATTTCGCAGATTCCGATGATGTCAAGGGCCTGTCGCAGCGGAGAAGAGCTCGGCGAAATGGCTCAGGCCGCACACAGACGAGCCTCCACGGCGGTGGCGGCTGTTGAATTCAGGAATTCGGGCCGAGACGAGGCATCAGAGAGGAGTTTTGCGCGGTGATACTGGTCGAGCTGCAGGGCCAGGATGGCAATGAGAACATCTCGCACAGCCGTGGCGACAAAGTCGATATCGCTTCTAAGCTGCCTTGGGTTTAGTGCGCGCGGCCTGGGCCATCCGTCGAGCACGCTCGTCGTCGTCCTGAAAACAGGTCGCGCCGATCCCCAAGAAACACTGTCGACGCTCTAGTCATCATGCTCAGACCGCCCTCGTTGTTGACTCACGGTACGTTGATCGCCCAATCGATGTGGTGACGTGTGCAGCTGATGATTGTCCCTCTTGTAGCCCGGGTCGGCGTGCCCAGGTGCGCCGTGCAGGCCGCGCGACGGTGGCAGACGACGGAGGCGACGACGCAGGCGACAGCCTTTGCATCACGACTGGGAAACAGCACGCCCGTTGAAGCCGTTCGAGGCCCAGAGAATGCAGCCCCAGGGAGCGAAGAGCCGCACCAGGGGACACAAGCCCCGGCACAGCGCAAGAAGACCGACCTAGACGTCGCCGAGGAATTCTTGGAGTACCAGCGTCAAAGTATACCGCCGCTCTCTCCCTGCCCGCAATTCACCTTGATGGCTGACATTCAAACCCTGCAGAGGCTCTTTTCAAAGACATTGGCGGCTCAAAGACACCCACCTACGCCCCCCACCAACTCATCTCCAATCCTCCTCGCCCGTCAGACATCACCTTGGAGCTGCTGCTCGCGTCACAGTCGCACATGGGCCACATCACCTCGCGGTGGAACCCGGCAAACGCAGCCTACATCTTCGGCGTCCGCGACAACACGCATATCATCTCGCTCGAAGTCACGGCCGCGCACCTGCGCCGAGCTGCCAAAGTGGTGTCCGCGGTGTCCGCCAGAGGCGGGCTCATCCTCTTCGTCGGCACCCGTGAGGGCCAGGAACGCATCGTGGTGAGGGCTGCCGAGCTGGCCGGCGGCTACCATCTGTTTGATCGATGGGTGCCCGGCAGTCTGACGAACAGCACTCAGATCCTTGGGCAGTGCAGGTTGAAGGTCGTCAATGAATTCGACGAGGAGGTGCCTGGCTACGAGAGCCAACTGGATGGAATGGCGCCCCTAAAGCCCGATCTGGTGGTCTGCCTGAACCCTCTGGAGAATCAGACGTTGCTGCGCGAGTGTGCACATCACAACGTGCCAACGATAGGCATCATCGACACAGATGCGAACCCGCTGTTGGTCACCTACCCGATCCCGGCCAACGACGACAGGTATGTCCCGGAATTTGTGCGTCGGTGGATGGTCATCGGCAAGCTAACATTTGAGGTTCATAGTCTTCGGTGCACCGCAGTTATAGCCGGAGTGTTGGGCCGTGCAGGCGAAGAAGGACGCAACTACCGCCTCGAGCAGGCGAAGCAAGGCCGAATCACGACGAGAAGCACGCGCAGTCTCACACCAAAACGATCGCATAGACGATGAGCACATCTGACCGTTCTTTCCCCTCAGTGTTCGGATTCTTTCCTTGCATGTAAATCAAGGAGCATGGAGCATTTGCGTCACAAAAAAAAAGAGAGAAAAGGGAGGGTCATCACATCAGGGCAAAGCAACTCTTCTGCTATAAAGGCAGGGTCTTTCAAGAGAAACGCTTCAGTGTATCAACATTGTGCAGAATAATAGACGTCCAGCACCATTGTGTCCTGGCCAATGATTCATCAGCATTTCTACCAACCTGCGTGTGAATTGTGTCGTCTTAGGGAATTTCTGACATCGGCCGCGTGCTTGTACATGCATATTCTCTGCGCGCCTTTGCTCGATTTTCCTTCGATTGCTTGAGGGCCTGGGGCCGGAGAAATGTAACGAGTATCGCAATGAGATCGAGAGCTGCCAGAGCTGCTGGAACCAGGCCATTGATTGGGCAATGTTTTACAGCTCCCATTTCACTTCAAGTCAAGACTACATGTACAGTACGTAAACTCGACTCTGCGATGAAAGCAAGCCGTTCCGATGCATGGCACTCCTCTCTCTTCGTATGATCGAAGTACGAAGGGGACGGACAGACACATTGGGCTTTTGAAGTCCCACGAACGAGCTTCCGAGTCACTTTCTCGCCCGCGTGCCCAGACATGTCTTCTCAGCGCACTCGACTGGCCGCAGGACAAAGATGCGGCACAGTTCCCGTTGGATTGTCCAGCGGAACGGTAAGCCGAAACCGGCAGGGTCTCGGCAAAAGCACGCAATGCAAGTGGCGCTTGGCATCAAATGGAATTTGTTTCCAGCCTCGCAAAACGTACAAGATCCTTCTGCCGGACCTTTCTGTTGCAAGCTCCTGCTTTGCACCTGATCTGCCTTGAGAAAATTGCAGAGCTGCGCGGGGGAGACACGCCGTTGACAGCGAAAGATGACGGTCGCCGAGGAAATGGAGGTCGAGGGGCAGGGAATGAAGCAGACGTTGAAGGACTTGTTTTCAGGTGCTTGCGGCGGCATCGCTCAGGTCTTGCTAGGTGCGTGCGCGATTGAGCTTTTCTTGTCGAGAAATTCGTCCAAAGCGTGCTACGTCTCGACACGTGTACAGTTGATCGAGCCGCAGTTCGAAGCGATGTGCAATCAGCTCGGGTCACATGTTGACATGAGGTCACAACGCTCGAGTCGACACCACTTGCCTTGAGCAAGGTCTTCTCGTCGGCCCATACGCAGAGTTTTACAGCGCATGTACCGGCATTCTCACTGACTCGAGCTCCAGGCCAGCCTTTTGACATCGTCAAAGTCCGGCTCCAGACCACATCCCAGTACTCGGGCGCGCTCGACGCCGCGACCCAGATCTGGAAGAACGAAGGCCCTCTGGCCTTCTACAAAGGCACGCTGACGCCGCTGATCGGGATTGGTGCCTGCGTTTCTGTTCAATTCGGCGGCTTCCACTTCGCGCGCCGAGCATTCGAGCAGCGCAACGTCGAGAGAAACGGAAATGCTCATCTGTCTTACGGGCAGTACTACCTTTCCGGCGCGTTCGCCGGCATTACCAACACCTTTCTCTCCGCACCCATAGAGCACGTCCGCATTCGATTGCAGACACAGCCGCATGGTGCGGCGAGGCTTTACTCAGGACCTCTGGACTGCATGCGCAAGCTCTCAGCCCACAATGGTGTGCTCTCCGGCCTGTACCGTGGATCTGTCGTTACGGTTTTGCGCGAGGCTCAGGCGTACGGCGTGTGGTTCCTTACGTACGAGTACCTGATGAACGCGGATGCGCGGCGCAACAACATCTCGCGCGATCAGATTAGTACCCCCAAAATTGCATTCTACGGTGGCCTTGCAGGAGAGATGCTGTGGTTGGCCAGTTATCCATTTGATGTTGTCAAGAGCAAGATGCAAACGGATGGGTTTGGAGAGAATCAGCGGTACAAGGTGCGTATTTAGTCGCGATCCATGGCGCGTATGGCCTGGGGCGCCAGCTGAGTTCTCTGCGTTCTTTTCGAGAGGAACATGCAGTGTTCCTTACCACAAAGAGTTTTCAGCGGGCTGAACGTGACTAACATTGATGGTTCTTACATAGACGATGCGAAGTTGCTTTGCACAGACGTGGAGAGCTGAAGGCATGCGAGGGTTTTGGAAAGGGATTGGCCCGACTCTGCTGCGAGCCATGCCTGTTTCAGCCGGTACCTTTGCTACGTAAGCTTTTTGGCTCCGAAGGAGATGCTGAAACAGAACGCTGATTTGATGGACCAGTGCCGAAATCACTATGAGGCTTATCAGCTGAGTTCGTATTGCATGCGAGGAAGTGTCAAAGCAGACGGCCTCCATGGTCTGAAGCTAGTAGTCACGCGACTTGACGATATCAAACTCGCTGCGCCATGCAATGCGAGACGTGTGGACAGATTTTTTGTTTTCGTGCTGTAGACGCAGCGCGTATGCACGAGCGGCTGAGTCCCTGCATTGCTGGAATTACCACTGTCCACAACGACATCATCTCAAATGGCAGTATTTACCCAGAGGGCTGTGAGCGGAGGCTCGTGGACAGATGGCTACACTGGCCTCTGTATGATATGGGATACCATATCTTGTTAGTTTTGTTTAATGAGACGCCAAGTTTGGTCCAGACTCCTTTAGATAGGCCTTTCAGACAACGATGGTACTGTATTCGATCTGGCTGGACTCGGGACAATTAGACTACGCAATTGTGGCGCTGTCAAGCAGAATCCTCCATGCAGGGTGACGTGGGACCTCGTTTTAGAGCGGGAGACTGAAAGTCAAAAAGGCTTCGCAGATCGAAAGATCGAAAAGTCGAAATCCCCACTGTGTCTTTTTTGCATTGCGTATCCCAGACTCGGCCGATCACAACTGTGAGGATGGGGCGCAAGCAGAAAGACAAGGCGAACGTGAGCTGCGCGTCACAAAGCATTGAATTTGATCGACAGACCGCATCTGCTCTTGGACAAAAATTTGGCTCAACTCGTGTGACATCCGCATGCTACGGAAGCGTTTCCTGACAAGAAGTCAACATACCCGATTTGGATGTGCTTCGCTTAGCTGCATTAGCCGTTGTTCATCTTTTTTTTCCCTCGCAAAGCCACTGCAGTACGCTCAAGCAAGGGACATATTCCAAATCCCGACGTCAACGTCTGTACTCAGTGCCTTGGTGCACCGGGTCCCGACGGAATTTTAGACGTAACGCTGCCTGATGGCTTCAGTCGAGAAGCGCAAGGCAGACGCGAGCGCGGGTGAAGGAACCGGGCGAAAGAAAGCCAAGGTGAGCGAAGCATTTCTACATGTCCACACCGGGTAGCCGTTTTATTCGGGATTGCGACTGGTGAGCTACAAAGCAAAAGAAAAGTTATCAACCAGTGGACGACGAATTTCAGCGAGTTTGCCCTTTGCGTCCGCGAGTGGTGCGGTGGTTGTGCTTCTTCCCGTCGTCTGGATTTGGATCGTCCAAAGGCTTACTGGGCGACTGTGCAGAAACTGTGGACGACACCAAAACAAGGCAAGGGTTGGCAGCCAAGGGAAAGTCATGTGAAGAAGGAGATTGAGCCAGGAGACGTCGGCATCTGGGCGACGTGCAACAGAGGAAGGGAAGCAAAATGTGTTGCCGAACTGAAAGATCTGTTCCAAGAGGTGAGTACCGCCTCAGTCGTCCGTGGCACTGACTGTCGCCAAGACTGAAATGGTACGTAGTACGCTGAGACGATGTACGGCGTCAACGATGCGCCGGCCAAGGCGAAAGAAGCTTTACCGGATGGTCTAGACGTGGATGCGGAGCTCGAGGAGGAGCTGCGCGAGCTGCGGAAAGCGGAGACGAAACAGCTCTTCACCTCCGTCAAGCTCGACACGCAGTGCCGTGAGTTACTCGAGAGACATCGCTTCCGCATACCAGGCTTGCTTACCATGGACACAGTCGTGTTCTTCAAAGTGCTGCCACCCGTAGAACCTGTGTCTTTCGTACACAGAATATGTCGAGACGCAGCGTCCAGCGCCTCGAGAAAGCAGAGTCGGTCGGTTCAGCGGCTCACGCCCATGACGCTTATGGGAAAGGCGACGCGGACAGGCCTTGACGAGGTTGCACGGAAAGTGCTTGCACCGCACTTTCACGGCACGCCGGCGGCGTCTAAGAAGGTACGGACGACCAGGCCGTTCGTCTGTCCTCCGGGTCTTTCGCTAACGTGATTCTGCTCGGAATTGTGACAGTTTGCGATTCGTCCAAGCATCCGTAACAACCAGACCCTTACGCGGGACGACGTGATCAAGCAGGTGGCTGAAGTCGTCGGCCCGAGTCACTCGGTTGACCTCAGGGCCTACGATCTACTCATTCTCGTGGAGATCTACAAGGTGCGTACGCCCATCAGCACGAGCGGCAGCCGACTCGAACGTCTGTGAACACTTGCTGACGCGGCAGATGTGTGCGGCTTTCAGAACGTCTGTGGTATGAGTGTCGTTCAGAGCGATTTTGACGAGCTAAAGAGGTACAACCTCGCGGAGATCTATGCACCCACGCCAAGAGCTGCAGGACGGGATGGCGCGGCGATGGAAGGCTGACTTCATTTTGGAGCACGAGGCTGAGCAACCCGGAAGAAGAAGAAAAGAAAAAGTCGTCGTCATCTACGACCACGGGGTTTGCGACTACTACTACTGCTACTACTAGGTGCAGCTATAGCTGTCAATACACGGAACCATGTAGAGGCCTGTGGCCGACGGTTTCAGCTATTTCGGAAACATTGCGTTATGAGCGTGGCTTGCGTTAGTCTTGCCACGCACAACCGAGACACTGGTTGCAAAGATCCGTTCCGCGTTCGATGAAGCGATCCACGGCGGATGGATCGTTCCCTTAGATGGCGGACAAACTGCGTCGTGGACCCCGCGGAAAAACGGGTCAGGATGAAAGTCAAAGCAGCACAGCGTCGAGATTGGCGGTAGTAGGGTAGGAAGAAAAGAAGAATAGAAACATAAAAAAAAATAAGAAGAAAAAACCCGACATGGCCGCGATCTCGGCCGAGCCCTGTCCGCTGATCAACGCAAGCTATGCAAGGCCACGGTATATATAGTGCAATCTGACTTGGCGGTCTGGAGAAGCGAAGCTGGCAAGCATCACGGTGCTACCTCGTACTATGAAGCGAGAGGTTTCATCGTGTCAGACGCCCTTTCGATCGAGTCCTTGGTCGAAATTCCCGGTCTCGTGGTTCACAGCAAGTTTAAGGTTGAGGGGCCCGTTAAGCGAGTGGCTGACCAATTGTCGTCGTCCATTGGCGAGTCTTTCGCTAACGATTATGCCAGACTTGAACTCCTGTACCACGACCCTTCATCTTATGGATCTCCACGGACAGGTTCATGATACGGAGCACAGGAAGGGCCTGACGGCAACCTCGGGCCAGACCCGCCTGGGACGACATGGCGTCAGATTATGATGTGGTTGTCGCGGCGCCTCGCAACACTAGAGTTGCGTGACAAATTCGTTGGCTCCCTCAACGTGCAGACATCGATTCTGCAGGATGCTTCCTGCGCGATCCAATCGGAGGGTTCTGTTAACGAACTTTTGGCGAGCAATGTCTTTTGCTGCAGGGCCAACATGTTCCAGAAAGCGTACCGTCGAGGTCGAGCGTCTCTACAGCAGCGGGCCCCAAGGGCAGGCTGCATATGTGCTATGACGATCCACTTCTTGAAATGGTCCTTCGCTATCTCCCCAGGCAAAGCTCGTCCGTCTGCACATTAGGCGAATGTAGACGCGGGCGCAAGCCCAATGGTCTTCTTGTGGTTCTACCTGTCACCGCTACGAACTTTCTCGAAATTGCCTAAACACTACTTTGATCCATCAGATCCCTAGCCTCATGATTGCGCTCTGTGATCTTCGCATCCCTCTTGGAACCCATCTGACGCCATCGTCGTGTGCAAAGAACAAGCCGCACAGAGGAAATATACGTCTTCTTGGTGCAACTGCGCATGCTTCCTGTCGCCCCCTCGGAAGTTGCCTTTGCGCGTCTTTGCATAAACGACCGGCCAATCTAATTCTGTAAGGCTTGCTCGCTCCACTGCTACTTGCAGGCGCTCACCTGCTCTTGAAGCTCCTAAGCCAGCCTCCCGTGCCTTGTTCAAAGCTATCTCTTCTGCTTGCGGCCCGAGAATTAAAACGAGTCGTCCTTATCAAGACGTCGTCTCATGCCGAGCCGAAACGAGCTGATCACATAAAGGAGTACATCATGTGTGGCATGGAAGTCCTCCCACCTGACGTTGCCGTGGTGGCCTTTCGTTCCACGAACAATGGTATCCGGCAATTTCAGACATCAATGACTACTTCGTCCTCGTCGCCCGAGTTCAGCGCTTTCCAGAAGCTGTTACGCCAAGTGTACCGCGATCCGACCATCTCGCTCCAACAGGTCGAGCGACTGAGAGCACACCTGCATCGCTTGTTCATCCTGCGAACCATCGACAACACCACCTTTCTGCTCAAGTGCTCACCGGCTCGAGACACGCGCTTGCTGCGTCATGAATACAAAAGCCTAGAAACCGAGGCCCGCGTGCTAGATCTCATTTCATCGAAGACACATGTTCCGGTCCCACGACGACTGACGCTTGATTCATCGAGTAGCAACACCATTCGCACCGCGTACCTGCTGCGAAGTTACATTACCGGATCCACTCTGTCCGACATATTGCCCTTCCTGAGCGCCAGCGAGCGTGCCGACATCGACCGTTCCGTGGGCGCGTACTTTCACTCCCTGACCGAGATCCAGCTCCGCAGCTTCGGCTCGACAAGCAAAGTCTACGAAAACCAAGGATCCGACACATGGAGCCAGGCGTTTAGAATGATGCTGGAAAGCGCATTACGAGATGCAGAGGACCTGCTGATCAGCTTACCGTATGACACAATCCGATACTGGGCCGCAGCACACAAGGGGGTGCTAGACGAGGTTGCGGAGCCGAGAATGGTGCCAATGGATGCAGGAAAACCAAGCAAGATTGTCCTGGACGAAAGGAGGAAACACGTAGTGGGCCTGTTAGGCTTCTCTAACGTTGTCTGGGGCGATCCATTGCTTGCGGGGGTCTTTGCATCCGCAAGTGAGGCGTTCTGGGAAGGTTATGGAGGTCAACCGACAGACAACAGAGGCTACAGAATTCGCCGTCTTCTGTAAGCCCCTTGCATAGCGCCCGCAAGAACTGGGTGCAGACCGCTAATGTCGATCAGGTACTACGTCTATCGGTCCGTCGTGTCTGTCGCAACGCAGTACTATCGGCCAAGCACCGAAGAAGAGGACTTCGAAGCCCGTCGGACGTTGACATGGGCTCTCGGGCAACTGGCCGGCCAGTAACATCGTCTCGTTTGACGCCGACTTGGCACAGGGGTTAAAAGTCTTAGCTAGTCTAGAAGTTGGCACCTGTTATGCATGTCTTCGGAGCAAATGAGAAGCATTTGGAACGGGAAGGTCAACATGGTTTAGCAATTAGCGACGGCGTTCAGGAAGAGATTGTGCAAGTCTTGAGAAAAAAAAAAGAGGTTCCAAGCACCGTGGCTTCTACGCTTGACCGAGATTGGATATGATCGGCGAGCAGTTCTGTACCACGACCACGATCCGCACGAATGTGAGATGAAGGTTTCGTGCTGAGGCGGGATCCGTAAAGGTCTCGACGCAAAATCGCATCTGTCAAATTACACATGCATCGTTATCGATTGCTCAGCCTCGACAGTGTTCGCCCGCGATCAGGAAAACTCGGCTCGACGGCTTTTGTCACCCTGGTGGTGATGCCACAGCGCACGTGATGTCTTTTTGCAGCCACTTTTCGTGATCGAACCCAACCTCTTTTCGTCGGTCCATTGTGAACGTGGACCATCTTCCGTTATGCTTCTTGCCAGAACGGCACTTGTGTCGACCAAGCCTGTCTGTCTGTCTGCTGTTCACTGCGCTTGGGCCCTTTGGAATTTAAAATTGTGCGTTTGACTTCAAGGCTCCTGGGGTAAAACGTACTCGGATCCAGGTCTAGAATACTAAATTTCATCACGTTCGTACTATAAGAGGAATTTCTGTCTTACAATGCCGTGTGTCCACGGTTGTCTCGCAAATGAGCTTCGAGTTTGGATTCTGTTTGCGCATGCATCAAAAAATGAGTTTGCGTGTTGCTGCTCCGAACCTCCAGCAGCCCTATCAACGACAAGTCTGATTGAAGCGTACGGCACTGTGTGGCTGTTGCTACGAGATGATACACATAACTTCTTGATTCCCAATGTAAACTTAACCGTCCCTTAAACGCCGTGTCGCCAATTGGGCCAGCATGAGCGTTCCGTGACCGACAGTTTCCTTCTTACCTGCCACCACGGAATCCTCCTCGTCCTCTCGAGGCACCTCGTGACGACCCGCCAAAGCCACCTCGTGCGCCGCCTCTCGATGCTTGGAAACTTCCACCGCGACCTCCGCCAAAGCCACCTCGGCTTCCGCCACGACCACCGCGGCCTCTCTGTGCCCCTCTACCGCCTTTCGCGCCGCCTCTAGCCCCGCCGCGGCCTCCTGCCGCCGACTTCTTGACCTTCGGAGCACCCGGTGGCGGCTTTGGCTTTGGCAAAAACTTCTCCAGCGGTAGGAGCTTGTCGCTGCCAATGTAGAATTTATCACCGCTCTTGAAGCTGGTCGGGACTATGCCCTCTTGCGGCTTGATCGTGAAGTATACTTGGTTCAGGGGGCCGAGGATCTCGTCAACCTTTCCAATAGGTGTCTTGTTCTCCAGGTAGATCGGGGCGTTGAAGTATGGGATCTTGGTGTTGGTTGACTCGCAGACGATTTCATTTTCGCAAGCGTGAAGAAACGTCCCCATCTCTAGCATAATGTGAGCACAAATGTTTTTTCTGGCGTGCCGAACGTGGCCATGTTCATACCCAACTGTGTAGCTGGCGGTCCGGACTGTTGGAGACCTCCGCGACCTCCGCCAAATCCTAACCTGTTTGTTAGCATCCGTCTATGTAGCAGCGCAGAAACCCATGCGCACCTCCTCTGTTCTGGAAACCACCCCTGCCTCCGCCTCCGCGACCTCGGTCTCCGCCTCTGAACGACATTGTAAGGTGCGATAATGTCGTTGCGTCGGGCAATTGTGAGTTCGTCAACGTCGGGTCGCCAGTCTCGAAATTTTGCTGGAGCTTTTTGAGCTCGGACCAGGTCCACGGCTGCCAAGACCACACGTTCACAATCCCTGTCGCATTCTGATACTCATTCCAGAACACCACTTGACTCACAGGTGGTTGCACTCAAGGACGTCATTTTCTTGTGTTTGCGCTTGCATTGGCTCAGTATACGATACTCTGTGAGTCGGAGCGGTCCGGGCGAACTCTGTCGTGACTCCTGGTCCCACTTACTCATCCCTGGCGAATGATTCTGGGCTCGACAATACCAACAGTTCGAGCTTGTAACTGACGTGCATAAACTGGGAAAAATCCTACTTTCTGACATATTCAAATTCCGAGAACCACATCAATATGGCTGAAACTGTGAAGCAAGCCGTCGAGGCTGCGAAAGAGGGACTTGAAAACCTCAACCTCACCGGTCAGTCTAAGCAAAAGCAGCAACAAGCTGGTCAGGGCAAAAAGAAGGAGAAGAAGGCTGGTGCTGGTCCAGCGCAGTCTGAAGAACTTCAGCCACCCCCGAAATACATCCAGGACAGACTTGATCTGTACGAGTCGTTGAAGCAGGAGTACTTGGAGTCTTTGGCGAAGAAACCACATGACCCGATCACCATTACCCTCCGGGACGGCAGCACTCGCATGGGTGAAGCCTGGAAGACCACCCCGGGTGAAATAGCTCGCAGTATTGCAAAGAGCGTGTACGAGAACAATTTCATCGCACGCGTGGACGGTCAATTGTGGGACTTTGAGCGTGTCCTTGAAAAATCCTGCACCCTTGAATTCCTGAACTTCGACGACGACGAGGCGAAGATGGTGTACTGGCATTCATCTGCACACGTCCTGGGTGAGTGTTCCGAGAGACGCTGGGGTTGTGACCTGTGCATTGGTCCTCCGCTTGAGGAGGGAGGCTTTTACTACGAAATGCGTCTACCTGACGCTGCGCCGGTGTATGAGAGTGACTGGAAACCCTTGGAGAATATTGCAAACAAGGCGATCAAGGAAAAGCAAGTCTTCGAACGTTTGGAAGTTTCGAAAGAAAACCTGCTCAAGCTATTCGCGTACAACAAGTACAAGCAACACATCATTAATGACAAGATTCCGGACGGTACCAGCACTACCATCTACAGAAATGGACCGTTCATTGATCTATGCCGTGGTCCTCACATCCCACACACGTCAGTGTCTCTCTTCAATTCCTCAGGTGTCACACTAACGGTTCATGAAGCGGTCGTATCAAGACCTTCAAGATTATGAAGAGCAGCGCGTCGTACTTCCTTGGCGACGCAGCGAATGACACTTTGCAGCGCATCTATGGAATTTCGTTTCCAGACAAGCAGTTGATGGCAGACCATCTTCATTATCTCGAGGAAGCCGCTAAGCGTGATCATCGCAAGATCGGCACAGAACAGGAGCTATGGTGGTATGTCCAAATGCCAACTTTCACAGTGAAATGTACTGACCTGCTTTCCAGAGTAATAGATTCTTATGGGCCAATTCTGGCAGCACCAGAAGGGGCGAACCATTTTAAGTGAGCCCTGAGGCTAACATGTACTAGGTTCTTCCACCAGATGTCACCAGGTTCATGCTTCTTCATGTATGTATCAGCTCGCACTCTATATTAGCATTCTCTTTCTAATTCTAAATAGGCCGAAGGGTATGGTTATCTACAACAATCTACTTTCCTATATCCGGGAGGAGTATTGGAAGCGTGGTTATCAAGAAGTGCAGACACCAAACTTGTTCAACGCTGATTTGTGTAAGGACACAAGCTGCCTGAGGGCTGATCCGAAAAAAAAAACTTGCTAATATAATCCTAGGGCGGCAGAGTGGTCATTGGGATCATTGTCAGTCTCAACCGCTTCAGTTTTTGCAGTACGCGCTGACAAGCCGTTAGACAAGGATGACATGTTCACCATGGAGATTGAGAAACAGACATGGGCATTGAAACCTATGAGTCAGTATCATCCTAATTTTCTTGTCGCTGATTGCTGATCCCATCAGACTGCCCTTCTCATTGCTTGATCTTTGGTCACCGCGAACGTAGCTATAGGGAATTACCAATTCGCATGGCAGATTTCGGTGTGCTACACCGTAATGAGGCTTCTGGCGCACTTAGCGGGCTGACAAGGGTTCGAAGGTTCCAGTAGGTCTACATAACATTGATTCTGTATCTGCACAGATGCTAAAGCGGCAACAGACAAGACGATACTCATATTTTCTGTACTCAAGATCAGATCACTGAGGAGCTGTCCGGATTGTTTGATTTCCTGGCCACTGTGTACGGCAAGTTTGGGTTCTCATTTAAGATGAAGCTCTCTACCCGCCCAGAGAAGTTTTTGGGTGAAATTGCTGATTGGGACCGAGCGGAGTCACGTCTGAAGCAGGCTCTAGACGAGTTCATGGGCGAGGGCAAGTGGGAGCTCAATCCTGGCGATGGCGCATTCTATGGGCCTAAGATCGACATCACCATTGCTGATGCTTTACGAAGAGAGCATCAGTGCGCCACCATCCAGCTTGACTTCCAGCTGCCACAACGATTCCAGCTTGAGTACATGACTGCTGAGGCGGCTACAGTAGATGCTAGTGTGCCTCGTGCAGAGGGTGCGCCGAAACCGGGTTTCGCCAGGCCAGTCATGCTGCACCGTGCTATCTACGGCAGCTTAGAGCGCTTCATTTCGATCTTGACTGAGCATACTGCAGGACGATGGCCTTTCTGGCTTTCACCCAGGCAGGTTCTGATTGTTCCTGTAGCTCCTGCTGTCAATGAATATTGCGAGGTACGGAGACAATGGCCTGACGATGAAGAAGGCGCTGACAGAAATTCTAGACGGTGCAAAAGGAACTGCGAGCTCAAGGCTTCCATGCAGACGCTGACCTTAGCGGAAACACAGTGAGTGTCTCTGTCAGACGTGGTACCATGCTTCGCAACTAAGTAGAAACAGCTGCAAAAGAAGATTCGTACTGGCCAGCTTGCTCTGTACAACTTTATCTTCGTTCTCGGTGCTCAGGAGCGCGACTCTGGCACTGTCAACATCCGCAACCGTGACGATCCTGAAACCCAGAAGATGGGCGAGCTGGTGCCGCTAAAGGATGCGATTGCAAAGTTAAAGAGCCTTAGAGATGAGAGACGATTCGAAAATAAGATGATTTAAGTCTTACGGTGCGTAGAAAAGGCATTTTTAAACTGGGCATATGCAGCACGCGCAATGATTCAACGGAGATATGATGGTAACAAAGAGGCATTAGAACCGGCATTTTCCGCCACAGAATTTACTACAGACAAAGTGATAGCAAACGTGAAAATCCGACGTTGTAGCCAGATCCTGCTGCGAGTCTCTTAACAAAGAGTTCGAGTATCACGAGCCAGCCGTTATGTTTTGCCAACCCCATGTCATTGGTCGATTGCAGAGCTGCCATGCCCAGTAACAACGCAATGCAATTCGATTGAAGCAGGTCAACCTGCGTAAGCTGTATGCAGGTTTGAGGCCCTCAACACGCTGGCCAGCCCAGTCGCCCATGCTGTGAAGCTCACAGCGCCAGCTGTCGCGTATATTTCAGCAACGCGTTTCCGCGGTCAGAAAAAGCGGACCGTCCGCATCACAATCTGCCTTCAAACGCTCCAGACGCACTTTCACATAGTCTTAGCAGTCATTGTCAAAAGACCTGACGCACTAAACGCCTGCCAGAAGAGCGGATATCTCCTTTCGAATGGGGGACACGAACGACAACGGACTCGTCATCTTCGTTCGACGAGTCCCCGCGCAATTCGGAGAGGCGGTTCTACGCAGTTATCTCGAGCCGCACCTAGCCGCTTACGGTATTCTGGCCGGCGATTATGAGCTTCAAAAGCCGAGCGATAAGGGTGTCGCGAGTCTACACATTGCAAGCACGCCGAAAGGCGAGAGATTTCTGGCCGCCATGGAGCAGCGGCCCGTGAAGATGAGTATTTCGCGATTTCCCTTTGTCTTTGAGCGCCATAAGATACAAGACGGCGGAGCGACGATTCGAGATCACGAGTTCATCGCTAGGGCCGTGGCGGATGCTTCCAGGAAGCCCGATTTGGCTGATCAAATGAAGTGTAAGTGAGGACGGCAAAATGGATTATGAAAGCGTTTGGTTTACAATGATATGAGCAGCTTTGGACCTCGACAATCAGCCTCAGCAGCAGTTGCAACTACCAGAAGGTGAGAAGACATTCCTGATAAGCACCATCCGCTGTGGTTATTGGTGGTATGAGAAGACTGGTTCTCCCGTCTTCGTGTCGGAGTATAGCAGCAGCCAGCCTGGCAAAATTTTAGTAGGCCATCGCGCCATAGTCGTTGTCCTTAGTCAAGCGACTTCACCGAGGTTGTGGGTTCGCCGCATCGACTTTGAATGGGACTTCATCGACATGATTTACACGCAAAGAGGGGATGAAGACAGCATACTTATCACCTGCAAATATGCGCCCAGGATGTTCTCGAGGAACGAAATGGACGTGCTCATGTCGTTCCTGTCGTCCAAGAACCAAAACTCACGCAACAAGATGCGGATCTCAATGCTTGACCCAGCGCACGGTAAGGTTGCCGGTACATGTCTTACGTATGAATTGGTTCTGCAAACATCAAAGTCGATACACACGATCCGAAAGCTCATCGAGCACATGCCCAATAGGCTGGCCACGATGCGCACCAGAGTCAAAACTGTCGTTTCAAAAGCAAAATACAATGATTCGCTGGCGATCCTCGACCAGCAGCTGTCAAAGAGTCAACTCCCATTCGTCGTCAAATTTCAGGCCATGAAGCTAGCTCTGAACGGCCATCTGCCGCCCCATACGATATGCAACGAAATTATAGGAATTGCTAAGCAAGCACTGGCCAAGGGTCGCAGCAACATACATGTTGCTGAGGCGCTGCGCCAATTAGATCGTGACCTTCCGTGGCCGGGACCACAGACGCCGTACGTCGAGTTAAAGCAACAAGCCGTCGAGGGACTGCTTCAAAAGCTGATGTATGGGAGTCTGACAAACTCGCCGACTTACTGGTCGATCAAGAAAAACGACAATCTGGCACTAATCCACCACGTATCGCTCACTCCAGCAGGCGTGTATCTAGACGGACCGGATCCTGAGGTAGGTTCACCTGTACTTTGTTTTTGAGGCTGTGCTTATAGTGCTCCAGGTCATCAACCGCGTGCTTCGCAGCTACCAGGGCCACACGGACAACTTCATGCGCGTCACATTCAGCGACGAGGATGGCGACCCGTTGCAGTTCCGCTTCGACGTTGCCAACGATCTCGTATACGAAAAGTTTCAGCAGGTGCTCGACAACAGCATCCCGCTGTGCGGCAAGAGCTTCGAGTTTCTCGGGTTCTCCCAGTCGTCGCTTCGCTCGCACACGGCCTGGTTCATGTCTCCATTTCCCCTCTCCAAGCACGGCGACGTCCTCACTCCGAAAGAAGCTATCAGAAGACTGGGCGACTTCTCGCATTTTCGATCTCCGGCCAAATGCGCCGCTCGGATCGGGCAAGCATTCACGGACACGAGCAATTTCCTCACCGTCCGAGCGGCGGCCGAGGTCGAGATACCAGACGTGGAGCGCAACGGCCGTGTCTTCAGCGACGGGTGTGGCACACTGTCCGAGGACCTGGCCTACGAGATTTTCCTCAAGTACGACTCTCACGTGATGCGCGTGCCTCCGACCGTCTTCCAGATCCGCTTTCGAGGCTGCAAGGGCGTCCTTTCGGTCGACCCGAACCTGGGGGAGAGTCAGCTCCGTGTAAGACCATCGATGCGCAAGTTTCAGACGCCCGACGACGACACGCACAACCTGGAGATCTGCGGAATGGCGGACAAAGTGCGACCCCTAAGCCTCAACAGGGGTCTCATAAAAGTGCTCGAGGACCTGGACGTGCCGCACGAGGGCTTCCTCCAGCTGGCCGAGGAAGAGTTGGAGCGGCTCCGCCTCTCGATCAGAACCGTTGAGGCAGCAGCGAGGCTGCTGGAAGACGAGCAGGTCGGGACTTCGGCCGGCTTTCCGGACTTGCTAAGACGCATGAAGCAGATTGGCATCGATCTACGCAAGGACAGGACGTTGTGCGCGGTTGTGGAGATGGCAGCCTTCTGTCGGCTGCGCGCTATGAAGTACAAAGGTCGGATACGTGTGCGAAAAGGGGTCAAGCTGATGGGCATCATGGACGAGACGGGACTGCTGAAGGAAGGCGAGATCCACGTGGCCTGGATCGACGACGATGATGTTCGAGTGATCCACACTGGCCTGGTCGCGGTAACTCGCTCACCGACGATCCACCCAGGCGACGTACAGTTGGCAAAAGCAGTGGATGTGCCTTTGGACTCGCCGCTAAGGAAACTGTACAACTGCGTCATCTTCTCTCAACACGGCGACCGGGACCTTCCCAGCCAGCTGGGCGGAGGTGGTGAGTGGATTTTGTCCACGTCTGCGAGTCCAGCTCGAAGCTAACGCATCTCAGACCTGGACGGCGACTTGTACGACGTTTTTTGGGACCCGCGAATCTTGCCTCGGACGGTGGCCCGGCCGGCCGAATACGCTCGCCCAAGGCCTGTGGACGTTGGCCGTGAAATCGTCACGGGGGATATCACAAAGCACTTTGTGGACTTCATGAAGAACAACAACGTCGGGATACTGGCCAACCATCTCCTGGCCTTGTCGGACAGGACGGACGGGGGTACGCGGGCCAAGGACTGCGTCGGCATTTGCGAGCTCATCTCGACAGCGCTCGACTATCCTAAGACAGGCGTCGTCGCCAACATGAAGAGCATGCCTCGCATCGACAAGACGTGGCGACCCGACTTCATGGCGCCCAGTCCCAAAGTCAAGATAGAAAAGGCGCAGGACCCGCTGGCGATTGCGTTTGACGACGCGAAGGACCCCAACAACCAATACGGAGGTGAGCGAGCGGCACTCGAGGATCCGGTCGCGGCGTTAGATCCAAACGAGCGCAAGACACGGTACTACAAGAGCACCCGGATCCTTGGCAAACTGTACCGGATGGTGGACGAGCAGGGCTTCTACAAGGAGCTGCAGTCGCAGACGGCGGGCAAGCACAGGGGCGAATCCGTGCTGCTGGCGGTGCTGAAGTACGCAAAGCGGGCCACGGTTGGAATCGCTTATGAGCAGCATCTTCAGGCTGCGCGAGAGGTGCGGGAGATGTACGAGGGGTGCGTGCACGACGTGGCGAAGCAGTGTACCGTGCACACGGCGCAATCGCTGCACGAGCTGGAGGTGGTGACGGGTGCGGTGCTCGGCTCAGTGTGCGACCAGCGACTGCGCGAGCGGGCTATGGAGATGCGGGAGCGGGTCAGGCGCGATTTGGCGTATGTGCGCGAGCAGATCCGCGGCGATGGCGAGGATGGCAACGCAGAGAGCGTGCCGCGCAGCTTGGCGTGCCTGACTGTGGCGCTGGAGGATGGCGGAGGCCGGAAGAGGAAGGGGACAATGTGCAGCTTTGGATATGTTGCTGCGGGAGTGTGCCTCGAGGAGATTGCAAACTGGTACGGAGGGAGGCTGCCTGCTGTGTGAAGTCGTTTGGTAGGCCTGATTGGAGAAAAAGGCGGAAGATGACGAAGGAGAGGAAGACTGTAAGAGCACAATGTACGACGAGAGACTACAACAGAGACTAGACTACGAAAGAGACGATGACCAAGAGTACGGGAAAGACCATTGGGCAACTCCCCCAGCGGAAGACGGTGACTGCGGGAGGCAAGATAAGAAAGACAGAGGATGAGACCACAGAGCCGGAGAGGGATTGAACTATTACGAAAGAGCACGCGACTCTTGACGACGAATCAAATTGGAATATTGTCTGAAAATTACGCATGATGCCAATCGCCAATGACGTGTTTTTAGCAATGTGTGAGATCGTGATGGTATATTTGCTCCGGTTACCCGGCGCATACGATGGCAACGGCAAAGCGGAGAGTTGCTTTTTGATGTCGCCCTTTCTTTAGTCAGCAATGCCGGGGCTAACTGAACTCAACTTATACGATTGCTGTGTCCGTTGTGTTCGCGTCCTCACGTGCGAGAGTCAAATTATGCCCATGATTGATCGGCGTTTGCAAACGCGCACTCAGACACACACACACACACTCTCTCTCTCTCTCTCTCTGTCGCGTTCGTCGCATACGGGTTTAGTGCACATGTTTGTTAGTGTGTGTATGAGCAGTCGGAAGCAGCAGCAGTAGCAGTAGCAGCAGCGACGCCAACGTCCTGTACAACAAGGCCGAGGACGAGGACGACGTCGTGGACACCAAGTCGAGCAGTCCGCAAACGACGGAAGTACGGTGAAGGCGATCGACGGCCCGTTTTGGGCACGTCCTGGGCACGTCCAACCCGGGGTGGCTTTTTTGAGTCTCGCGTCCAGAAACGGCGCCCGTTCGAATGCGCGCGGCACATCACGTCGAGATCGAGGTGCCGGGATGAGCAACCATCCCCGCGTGCGGAGTTCGCCCTCGATCGTCGCCCCGTCGTCATGGGCGACGAAATGCCGTGGAAGCGTCGCGCACAAGGGGAAGGCAGTGCAAAGCGCCGTGTGCGCGTCGCCACCCATCTGGCTGCCCTCGCAAAAGGTGCACGCTCGGTGCCGCCCAGGCTTGGATGCCCAGTCTGCAGGAAGCGCAGTGCCGCGGTGCGTGGCCCTTTTGGGCGAACAGACAGTCGTCGTCTTCGTCTTCGACCTCGACGTCCTCGCGCTGCCGAGCCAGGCTGGTCTGCCTCTGACCCAACGTCATGGCCCCGTTGGCGCCCGCAGGGCAGATGAGCCCGAAACGAGAGAGAGAGAGAGAGAGGGAGGGAGGGAGCAGAAAAAGGAAGAGGGGCGAAAACAGGGCACAGAGTAGACTTGCTCGGTACGGACAGCTTTAAGACAGATTCGGGCGCGGAGCCGCGCTAGAGATCGAACGCAGGTTGGCCTGGTCTGATCCGCAGCTCGTCCTGGGACGAGACAGGCCGCTGCCTGTAGCACAAGACCGTCATCGGGCCGACTCGCGGGCGTGCGGCGGGTTGAGGGTGAGGGCTGGAGCGGTGCGGAGACGGCGACTGGTGGAGCCGGCGGCGGGCTGGAGGCGAGTCGGGGGCGCCGTGCGGGCTGCTCGTGCCTGTCTGCCTGTGCCGGCTACGTCATTGTGCTTCGCGAGCCGGCTGCGCGCGTGCAATCTGCGTCTGGGCCAGCCGAGCCGGCGGCGTCGTCGATGGTCGATGCCGGTTCGTTCGCCTCCTAGCGACGCAGCGGGCGTGCGACGCAGCCACATGCGTGCGGAGCGTGGTTGTGCGTGTGTCCGGCTGTCTGGGTGGGCGCGCGCATCATCGTCAGCGTCATCGTCGTCATCATCACCCGCCGCAACCTCCAGCTTCGTCATGCCAACCGAATCCCGTCGATGATCCATTTAACGTAGCCCGCAGCGAGACCTCCCCGCGCCCGTCGCTTTTCCTCTCTCCACTCCCCGCCCCCCCTATTCACCTCGCTGCCTGTCGGTCCTCGCCCGACGCTTTCCACACAGCGCTTGTGCTCGCTCCGCCTGCGACTCCCGTTCCCTTCCGCATCGTGCCGTCCTCTCCTCTTGTTCCCGTCTCCTGCTTCTGCCTGCGACGCCGCCCTCGTCTTCTCGCCGCCGCCTCCTCCACTGCGCTGACGTAAGCTGCGTCAACCGAGCGCTCACGCCGGCAATTCGTCCGCCCCTGTTGTGGTGCGTAGCAGCGCCGCCGACCCGCCTGAGCTGTGCCCGACTGCGCGCCCACAGCGTTCCCAGATGGCAGCGCGCTCGCAGACGCCCAACTACGGCACGTACGATGCTCTCAACAGTAAGCAAGATCCAAGCATCCTCGGCGCTGCAATTGGCTTCGTGGCCTTGCATCTCCGTCTGCCGTTGAGCTCTCGCCGCCGCGGCGTCTGGCCGGAGCTCCGTACCATGACGTAGTAAACGTGCTAAGCTGACGGCTGGAGCAGACGGCATCACGACCGGCAAGGCTAGCGAGCCTTCGCCCCTAGCCAACGCAACGGGCGGTGTGCGGCCCACGAGCGCTGCCTACTCGTACGTACCTGGCGACGACATCGACGGCACCGGGCCGACCATCCAACAGCTCGAAGGCGCAGGCCTGCACCGCACCGCCTCCGGCAGCTCGCGCGCCGGCGGCGTGTCGAGGAGCAACACGCTCACCAAGAAGACCAATACCCTCAGCCGGCGCTCCAGCTTGAAGAGGAGCGGCAGCAGGAAGAGCCTGGCAGCGGGCAGCATAAAGGGCGTGCAGATCGAAGACCCCAACGCACCGCTGGGCGAAGACTACAACAGCGTGTTCTACTGCCCTGTGCCCACGACGGGAAGCCCGACTGAGATTCTAGCAAATCGATTCCAAGGTACGTTGCTATACGGCCGTCGCATTCGCAAAACAAATGAGGGGCCGCGAAGATACCAGGAGGGAAAGAAAATAAGCGTCCTGCCGCCGCAACGATGACGAGCTGGACGAAGGTCATGCAAAGATCGGCCGCTGACAGTACTCGCAGCATGGCGCAAGTTCCTCAAGGACCTGGTCGCCTATTTCAAGGAGGTGCAGAACTCGTACGAGCAGCGGTCCAAGGCGCTGCTCAAGGTCGCCAATGTCATCAACAACACCCAACCACCCTCCATATTCATGTCCGAGGGCGGCCTCAACGACGCGAACCGCATTCTGCGTGACTACCACCGCCAGGCCGTTGCCGAGGCCAACAAGGCGCGCGAGATTGAGGACGACGTGATAACGCAGCTGTCCGGCCTGCGTGCCGACCTGGGTCAGAAGATCAAGGAGATCAAGTCCCTGGCCGGCGACTTCAAGAACTCGGTCGACAAGGAGCGCGAGCACACTCGCAGGGCCGTCAATGGCCTGCAGGAGGCCCTGAGCATTGTCGATCGCGATCCGAATGCGCTCGTTGGTAAGGAGGATCCTTACATCATCCGACTAGGCGTCGACAGGCAAATCGAGCGCCAGCTCGACGAGGAGAACTATCTGCATAGAGTAAGTCGTCTCCTTTGCTCCCCTCCCTTTCCTTTCGGCCCTTCGCCTTTGGTTTCCTACGTGTGTGTGTTTGTGTGTGTGTGTGTGTGTGTGTAGACGACGTGTCGCTCAATGGCCAATTTTCTTTCTCTAGGCATATCTGAACCTCGAGGGCTCCGGTCGCGAGCTCGAGTCAATCGTTGTAGGCGAGGTTCAGAAGGCGTACAACGCGCTCGCAACCATCATGAAGCGCGAGGCGGACGAGGCCTACAACACCGTCGACGCGCTGCGGTCTGGCCCGGTCACCTTGCCAAAGGACCTCGAATGGAGGCATTTTATCGACTCTGACCCCCACTTCATCAGCCCTGACACGCCGCTACGCAAGATCGAAGACATCCAATACCCCGGTAAGATGCATCCCGCCGCGGCAGAGGTCCGCGCAGGCATGCTCGAGCGAAAGAGCAAGTATCTGAAAAGCTACACGCCGGGATGGTACGTCGTCGTTTTTCTAAACATGCGGTTTCCCTCCCTACCGCAAAAAAAAAAAAAAAAAAAAAAGTCTCGCCATGCTTACGAATTGGAATCGTTTAGGTACGTGCTGTCGCCGACGCACCTCCACGAATTCAAGTCAGCGGACCACATCTACTCTCAGTCGCCCGTCATGTCGCTGCTACTCGCCGACCAGAAGCTGGGCTCGCACTCGCAACCCGGATCCAGCTCGCACAAGTTCATGCTCAAGGGCCGGCAGACAGGTTCCATGCATAGAGGCCACTCCTGGGTGTTCCGCGCCGAAACGTACGAAACCATGCTCGCGTGGTACGACGACATCCGCGCCCTCACCGAGAAGACGGGCGAAGAGCGCAACGCGTTCGTGCGCAAGCACGCGCGTAGCTTCAGTGCTGGCAGCCAGCACCGCCCCAGCTCCGTCAGCGGCGACAGCGCCCTGGATGAGGACGAGGCGGACGAGGTGCCGTTCAGCGCAATGGCGTCGGCGCAGGACGGAGGATCGTCGGTCGAGCGCGATGGTGTTGTCAAGTCAGCTGAGGCTGGCGCGCAGCAGCCCCGGAAGAGGCCAGAACCAGGTGGGCGATTTCCGTCGGATCTCAATATCAACCGTCACTTACAGGCCACTCTTTCTCACAGTAGCGGGAGCTCCTCGGCGGGTGCGGACCAGCAGCAGCAACGCGACTCACACGGCCACGGTCCCGGCGAACAACCTCGTCACGATCTAGGCAGCTTGGCCGGCGGGCCGCGGCCTGAGACGGCGGATTCTACTACGGCGACGGCGACGTATCCAACTGCATCGACGGCTTATCCGATGGCGGCAGCAACGGTGAGGAGAGAGCAGGCTGAGCCACAGCCAACGTACGAGAACACGGCCGCGTATCAGAACACGCCCACGAACCTGGTGACGGCGCCGTACGTGGCGACGAGCACGGCCTCCAACGTCCCCATCATCACCGGCCCCGCGCCACCCACTTCGCAAGACCTTTCTGGGGAGGTTAACCAGCCCCGAATGGAGGGCTACCCATCTGGCCACGCAAATTGGGTCGCTCCCGCGGCTGCGGGTGCGGTCATGGGTGCCGGAGCGGTCGGCGCGGAGGAGCACTGGCGCACCAAGAGGGAGGAGGCTGCTCAAAGACAGGCCGAAGCTACCGCGCAGAATGTCGGCGTCGCAGACACGGGCAAGTCACCAGGAGCTGCGGAACCGGACTCTCTCTCTCGCTCTCTACTCCCCCTGCCTGTGACGACCACAGCGGGGGCCGGCGTGACCGAACAGGCACTGTACTCGCCCGCGAGTGCGAGCGGAGGCGGCCAGTCCGACACAGTCATGTCCGTCGTGTCTCAAAGCACGGCGGCCACGGAGCTCACGGAGAGCCCGACGGCGAGCCAGGTTGCGCTCAGCCACACGGCGTACGACACCGCGCGCGACGGCACGGTGAATGCGACACCGACGGGCAAGCTTTTCCCTGCCGTGCTGAGGCACGACACAAACACCAGCATCAGCAACCTCCATGTGCCCGGCGAGTACAATTGACCTAGACTGGGTGTGGGTGGGACTCGTGGGGAGCCTAGATTGTCTTTGCGACCATCGATCCAAGGGCGAGCGGGGAAGCACGACAAAAAGAAGAAAAAAAAAAACGACTGCCCGAGTGTTTAGTTGATACGGCGTTTGAGTGACTGCGGCTCTGCCCTCGCTTATTCTGCTTTTACCCCCCCCCATTTGTTTTTCTTATCTCAATCCCTTCGTTCTTGTCGAACTACCTCAGTGATACCGTACATGACGAATCTTGGATGAAAGTCTTATTCTCTTACACGGCCTTTTTATTGTACATAAACTCATTCTATCTTTACCTCCCGTGTGCGGACTGGCGTGCACAAACTGAAACAATATTTTTTTTTTTTTTTTGAAATCCATTCGGTCCTGTGACGAGTCGTGCCTGTCCTGCAGAGAATGATGTCGAAACAGAGGCGCGGGTCCCACGAGAAGAGAGCGACCGCCATCAACGGTGAGCGGCAGCCGTGTCGCTCGTGTACTTTACGTCCTTCCTGTTAGCGACGTTGACGGCGGCAAAAGCTGCTGCGCGTGCATAACGAGAGGTTTATCCCCCCCCCCCCCCTTTGCGGGCACAGGAATAGAGTAACTGCTGGCCGCGTGAACGTCCCGGCGTGGAACGATGGGGCTAAAGAGGGAGCATGCACACCGTCAAAACGCAAGCAAAAAGGACGCCGGAGAAAGGAGAGAGGAGCGAGCGCTGGTGTGGGAGCGACGGGAGGAGAGGGAGAGTCCGCGTAAAGCGTGTCCTCTCTCGCTACTGTCTCTCTCTGTCTCGCTATACCTCTCGCGAACGATCACGGTCCGTTTCCTCCCAACGGCCGTCCGCTTCTTATCTTTACTCTTCCTCTCTCACCTCGTCTGCTGCAAGCGAACCTTCCGGCCGCCGAGGCGGGTGCGAGCACGGCTGTCGCGGAAGCACAAGCAGTGCACGACGCAACGCGAGAGTCCGGCCTTGTTTGACGTCTCTTGTGCTTGAGGGAGCCGACCCCAACGCACACGCACACGCACACGCACACGCGCGCTCGCCAAACCGCCTGTCCGTGATACAAAGCCAGTCGAAACGCCAGTTGGACGGGAATCTGCCTCGCGACTACACGTCCCTTTCGCCTTTGGCTTATTCCCGAAAACGCCGTGGGGCGGCTCTCGCTCCGGTCTGAGGCCGGGCGACAGGCGCGCGCTCGTCCATGTGTGCCGCGAGCGGGTGGTGCGAGCGGGCGAACGAATGATTCGAGAGGGAGAGAGAAAAAGAAAAGAAAAAAAAAAAAAAACTTTGGTATTCAACTGTGACTCAGAAGATGTACGTGCCGCTGTCAGATCGTATCGTTGTGCTCCACATCACCGGAAAGGCGGCTGGGTAGAACAGCGACCCGAGGGAGCGCGAGTAGGTACAGCGCGAGGCGAACATGATTACGTTTGGCGTCTCCAGCCAAACCAGGCCTTCGCGAGAGGTTCCAACGTGCAGCCGGTGCTCTGCCATGTCGATCACGCATTCCACAGTTCTGCTTGTGGTCCGCTGTTCAACGCGCCGGACCAAAGTCTCCGCAACCCGCTGGACGCTGCTCGCTCGGCCATCCTCGCCGTCCGCTTCGTCTTTGATGGGTCTTGTTCTCGGCTGCGCAGTCTCGCTTCAAAGGCGCGGAAACGTGCCAGCGAGCAGGCTGGCGTGAACGGCTCAAACATCGATCTCTCCTCCGTTTCTCATCGCCTATCCCCTTGCCGTCGTGGATGACGCGCAGGCTCAGCGCGGGCTGCGATTCGCCCGCTCCGTGGCGACGTGGGCAACAATCCCTCCATAGCGACCCACCTTGTGCGGTGCGTTCTCGGCCTTAACGTTAGCTGCGTCCCCGTTCGGCGGTCTTGAACCGGAGCTTAAGACAAATCGTTCCAACCGTTGTGCATAATGCACGACGACCTGTATGCCCTTGTGGGGGTTTGACTGTGGGAAGGTGACGCCAGAGTATATAGAAGTATGGATAGCGCCCCCTTCCTCCCGTCACTTCCGTACCAGTCCACCGATTTTCCCATCGACGAGGCGCATCGTGCAACACCTCGAGCCTTTCACGTCGAGCACAAGTCCATCTGATCATAGTCACCTCCGCTAGCTCTGCAGGCATCTTGATATTGGACGAGTCACCCCGTGCCGAGCCCGTGCCTAGCCCGTGCCTGGTGCCAAAGCCTCATCCAGACGACTACGGCTCAGAACATACGCCATCATCACCACCCAGTAGGACTCTTCCAACAGCCATGTCCGGCACTCGACAGGTCTACATCACCAACCTGGTGGGCGGGCAAGCCCTCATAATCAAGCAAACGGAAGACGAGGACCTACTCGAACTGAAGCAGGCCGTTTCCCGCTCGCTTGCCAAGGAGATCATAGAAACCCCCAGCCTGACACCGTCAACAACGGCTGCATCAACGCCGGTGACGACGCCGTCCTCCTCGCGAAGATCGAGCAGCTCCCGCCCCTTCAGCTACATTCCAGAAGACGCTTTCTAAACCACGACTCCTCCCCCCCCCCTTCCCCTTACCGGGCAATGTCAATGATGCATGCCCTCTCGAAATAGGCGGTCAACGGCAATGAACACACCCCACCCTCCTCCCTTCCTCTTCCCAGGAAAACCAGCCCGCTGGAAGAGAGCTGGGGAAGCAACTTATTAGTGAAGGAAACGAAGCGTGCGCCAATGAGGTGCCCACACGCGCGTGATAGCAGACGCGAGAGCCGGGAGATGCTGCATGTGCATCAGGACCTTTTTTTTTATATTTTTTTTAAAGGAAAAAAAATTCTTTCCCACCCAAACAAACCCCCACGAGTTCGACAGAGAACGGAACGTCAGCCCCAGCTCGACAATCCCCGCTCGACGCATCGCAAACTGCATGCGATCGGGCTCCCAGTTGCCTGACAATATCTGTGCGTTCATGCATGGAGTTTTCGAGGACGAGCAGCAGGGGGCAAACCGATGATATGTCCAACGCATGTGTGGGGGGTCAAGACACGCGAGAACGCCGAATCCTCTGCCGCAAAACGCGTGGGGTCGTTAGACTTCCTACATATGTTTGGGCATTTTCTTTTCCCCCTCCTCTTTCCCCCTTGCTTTGATTTTCCAATCAAGAGACAGAAAGGAATCCCCACGTGCTCTTTGGACAAAACGCGAAGACAGCCGCGAACTGGTATACCTCTGCGTGGTTAGAAAGGAGTGGGCTTGCGAAGAACAGAATGGAAGCATCAACGAACACAATACGAAATTGTGATACCAAGACATTTGCATGCTATAGCACTAATGATAATGAACTGACGATTCTTCTTTTTTTTTTGTGTATCATCATACCTCCTCGATTTTTTCCTTTGCTCTTGGTATTCGATTTGCGCTCCACTTTTATTCTCGATGCATCAGCTTATGTCTGATCCTAACAGGGCGTCCCGTCTTCGGTTTTTCCCTTCGTTCAGACCGATACTCCTCCCGTTCGAGTGCAAAATGACACGTCCTTATCTTGAAATGCATTTTTTTGATCAAAGTCAAACGTGGCATCTCGTTACGCGCGAGCTTTGGCGCAGACGCATACGCCATCCCAAGCTTGTCAGCTTTCTGGTCCCGTGAGACCCAACCTGCACTTTCGGTATGCCGGCCGATCCGACCATTCACAGCAAAGTCCTCGTGTAGATGGCGTGCCTCTCAACGTCTGGAGGCTTTCTTGCGGTCTGTTGTCGATCACTGCTTGAAACATCGTTGGGCTCCTTTGCTGCTCAGCGTGCATGTTGCAATACAACGGCCATGATTTGCTCCTCTCAGGTCTCACGGGCGATGAGGACATAATGTGCATGAACGAGTCGCACTGCAAAGCGTGGTCTGTCAAAGGTTTAAATTGTGGAGCTACGAATGAAAACGACCTTCTCTTATCGCCCTTATCCTCTCGGACAGCAACCCTTTTTGCACCCTTTCGTTCACACTTTAGTCCAACCCGATCGCTGATCAAGACCAGAGCAGAGTAGAACTGGGGAGAAGTAGTTCTCGTGATCGGAGCCGCAGTCCATTCTCTCCCTATTATGGTAGCCACATCCGTATCTCCACACATTCATACCGTTGCTTGGCTGATCACCACACTCCTTGGCTGGGTTCTTGCATTCAACGCCCCACAGTTCGCCTGCAGGGCCGGTCCCACGCTTCACCAGTTGACATTCTTTGATGCATGCGTGCTTGTCCCAAGACAATAACTTGTTTCCTGGTAGCTTATTTGGCATATAGTCGGGCTGGGGTCGAGGCGGGTCCCCCAGCCAAACAACATCAATGTAGTACTTGAGTGTCCATTTCTTCTTCCAAGATGAAGTTTGATCTAGGGGCTGTTCTATGAAGCCGAATGCATCCCCTGGCTTGGCATTGAAGAAATCACAGTGTTCCAGCGTAGGCCCGTGCCCGTCATAGAGATTATAAACGTAGAGCTGTGCCATGCCAGAACCTGCGTTTTTATTGTAGTTTGATTTCGTCCATTGGTACACAAAGGAAATGTTGAGTTCCTCGAACACCGGCTTAGACCAATGAGGAGTTACAGGTATGAGTGGCGACGGCGTAGACACTGGAGTAGGCGTGGTCACAACAGATGGAACGGTTGTTGTAGAGGATGGAGGTCTGATAGAAGATGTGACCATGGTTGAAGATACAGAAGATGATATACAATTAGGGGGGAGCTGATCACCCGCTGATATCAGCTTATACACGTTATATCCATAGCTAATCAAGAGATATTAGCGCCTGCCAGGAGACAAAGGTTCACCCAGGGACTAACCCGAAGCAATTCTGATCATAAACGTTTCCGGAGATTCTACTATTTTCACTTGAACCATCAGCAGCGAAGCATTTGTCTGAAACCTTGGTGAGCTGAAGTTTGCAGTCGAGTTCTGTAAATTTTGACAATGTACATGTGGGATTCGCGACAACAACTAATTCAAGGACGTCCTGCGAAGTTTCATTATTGCCAAAGAGGCATTGGTATGACCACCAAGCGTACAGGGTTGAAGTTGAATTCCAATTCTCATCCGCTACCGGATCGAGAAGCATGCCTTCCCCCGGATTTTTGCAAAAGTTCTCGATTTGCGGCTTGAGAATTGTGTCAAAAGGTACGCTGGCATCGGTAACGCTGGAATCATCACATATGGGATCAGGACCACCAAATGTTGGCGGAATTTCATCAAATTCATCTCCAACTTCTTGTGGATCTTGAGGTAGGCCATCAAGTTGCGTTGGGCATGCGGAGACGTAGGAAGTCGTTTCCGTCGCTGAGACGTCGCATCCAGACACTATAGTTGAACTGACCGCGCTAGTTGAGACGCAGCTGCCGGACAAAGAAGATTGCGCACAATACACGGTACGCTCAGTGACTGTTGAGATGGAACACCATTCGGTGGTCACACTTCCGCGTACAGAACAGCCACTCGTTGTCCGAGAGCTCAAGGTCGAGCAGGATGTTGTTTGTGTGTTAGTTGAGCACGAAACATATGTGATATATGCAGTAGACTCCGAACAGCTTGATGAAGAAGAGGACGAAGTTACTTCCGTCGAGCTGGGCGACTTTGTTCCACGTGATATAGACATTTTTGTTGATGGCGACGGGTTGCTGGACGGATTTGACGACGGATGTGGCTTTGTAGGATCCTCCGTTGGCCATACTCCACTGCCTCCAAGGCCGCAAGGCGGGAAACACTTGGGTGGGCAAAGAACGCCGTGAAAAAATCCTCCTATTACAGGAGTCTGGTCAATGATACCACATGGACCTCCGCAGCCATCCTTTCCACAGCCACCGTCACAGCCAAATATCCCACATGTGCAATCCACTTGGCGGGGATTAATATGAGAAAATACTGAGATAGAAATACCGACTTACAGGAAGATAAGAACGGCCCAACGTTATTGGAAGAACCTTTCGGTTTACAGGATCCAAAGATGGTTTCAATGTCCAGATTTGAGTCTCCTTCATCTCCAGCATCGTTTGGTGGAGGCATACCAATACAACCTTCGTTACCCTGAGCTACTACCATCAATATCAGCTGCGCAAGCCATCCACGTGAAGACTTACTGCAACCGACATCTGCATTAGGAATTAGAGTAACAGGCACAGCAGAGCACCGAACAGATTGCGTTGGTTGAGGCTGAATGATCCATTTTGACGAGGGATCACATACACCGACGGAAACTTCGGATGGATCACCCGATGGACTTCCTTTCATGTGCATGGGGTTTTGCCACACTTCACCCTTTTGCAGAGATGCAGTGATGCGGGGCGGTAAATAAACTTGCACAGAGCAAGGATCGATCGTCCATGTCGTTGGTGTTTCCTGCAGTTGACTACAGATGGGACGAAAAGCTAAAGCAGTCAGTGTCTTTGGTGGAATGGTGATTACCGTTGGCTTCGGAACCATCATTTGCTTGCTTTGGTAGGAGCACATCGTATACTTGCCACCAGCTTCATTCGGAAGCTGCCAAGTGGTAGCACTTTTAAAATCACCTTTTCCCGTTAGTGACCAAACGTAGGTGCTGAGGGGTGTATAAGATATTATCTGGGGCGACGTATAAGTTGACGCTGGAAGACTGATACAGCAAGCTCGTCCTTGAGGACAGCCAATCGTTTGAGCCTGAGTACGGTTCCAAAAATTTGACGGCATATAGATTGTATCCCATGGTACACTTGGATTTTCTGACAAGCTTGGTACGCTGGCAAATGTAGACGGTGTTATCGATGGAGCTCCCAAGGCACTGGTCGTAGGACTAGCAGCAGGGGCGTTTGACCAAGATCCCAAAGGATGAGTAGAAGAAGAAGAAGCGGCAGCGTCCGAAGCTGATACTGAACTTGGTTGTTGCGAGTCAACGTGACTTGGGCTAAAGCTGAGCGAGCGATCACCAACACCATCGTTTGGCTCAATTGCAGTACCACCCTGCGCGATGCTTGACGGAGAAGAAGCGAAACTGCCTAGCCCCGGCTGGAAAATAGAGCCAGGGAAACGAGAACTTGTCACGCTCACCGTTTCGGAACCACTTCTAAGAGACCCTATGGTTACAGGCGCAACATTGTTTGGGCTCTCTGTAGCCGATGTTCTTGTCCGTGCAAAAGTTGAAAGGCGACTAGTAGAGGAAGTAGTTCTGGAAGTTGCTATTTTCGAAGAAGAGCTGGAACGAATAGAACCAGCAGGTTCCGATGGACGTGTGTCCGGTCCCAGTGCACTGAGACTACTCGCCTTTGTTGACGCGTCGCTAGCACCTAGTAGTGCTGTATTCTGACCAAGAGTCACACCCAGTGGGGAGTTGCTGGCTGGACGAAAGGATGACGCAGCATCAGTGGAAGACGAGAAAGCATCCGGTATTTGAGAAGACCTCTCAGTCGCACCTGCACTTGACGGAATAGAGCTGGTTGGACCTGCTCCTGCTCCGGCTCCGGCTCCCTGCTCGAGTGTTGCTTCGACGCCAGAGGGAGAAGGGGCAGGTTTGCTTTCTGTCGCACTTGCCGGCACGACGGTAGTGCCCGTCTTTGTGCCACTCGGGTTCTGTAGGTCGATGGCCTCGTTGGTGACCGTTGATGCTGCGATGGATGCAGAGCTATGGGGTCTCTGCGTCACAGTGACAACACCCGATTGCGTGATGCATGAACTAGACGTTGTCATGTGGTGCAGGGGGCAATCGGTCTTGCCGGATGGACATGACACGACGGTGGTCCAAGTCGTGGCGTAGGCGGTCTGGGTGACAACAAACTTGGCTTCTCCGCCTTGCTTCGCAGCCAGAGTCAGAGCACTGGCTGAGCAGAACAGTGCTGCTAGAGAACGTCTCATTTCGAGACAACGAACGTATGGAAACCAGAAGAAGGAGGATGGGTCGCTCGGATCTGTGATGCCGACAGCTCCAGATGATTTGAGCGGGCGAGAGAGAGAAGAAGAAGAAGAAGAAGAAGAAGAAGAAGAAGAAGAAGAAGAAGAAGAAGAAGAAGACGGAAAGCCGTGCTCGGCTGATGCATGGAGAGACGCGAGAGAAGGAGGGAAGGCGAGAAGGAGAAGGAGCGTGCTTGAGAGTGTGCGCGATCGTCCAACATTTGAGGAAGGCGCTGGTTTGCCTTCGTGGAAAAAAGGCAGCCGCATGCTATGGAAGGCACTAGCGAACGTGGGAACGAAGAAGCCCGTCCTGCTCCAAGCCATCCGTCGGGTCGAGTCAAAGAGAGTAGTTCTCAGGCAATGGTGATAATCGAACAGGCGTCACCGGAACGCAGCACCCAACCAAGCCCTCTGCCTGTTCGCGGCAGATTCACTGAGGATGAGAGCAGCCCAGAACTTGCACGGAAGCGATGAGCTAGATGCCATAGCAAAACTTTACGGCGTCGTGCAGCTGTCGACTGCGGAGATCATGAACCCGCTGCAACGTGTAGGGCTGCAAACCGGTCCACACCTGGCCGGCGGACTCGCAGAGTACGGCAAGAAGCTACACTGCTCGGTACAGATCAGACTTAAGACAAATGAGAAGCTGATTGATTGCCCAATATGAGGTTGTCTTACGTGCTTGTGGAACTAGTTCCACGATTCTACACCTAGCGACGAGCGCTCCTCGAGTCGACATTGGATCTCGTTCACATGTTGCCGAGCACCAAATTGTCTGGTGCAACGAGGCTGATCCATTTGGTTCGTGCCTTCGTTAGATTCTTTTTCCCGGTGAAGATTCTACAAAGCCTTTTTTTTGTCGTGCTGGTGGTGGAAATCAACGGTTCGTCGGTTCCCCATTTTTCACTTGGACAGAGCTTCGAGGTCAATTTCTGCCTGAGGCACAAACGCCAAGCATGCCCACACTGAAGCCCGAAAATGATCGCGAACTTTTTTGACGAAGCGACAATCACACCTAAGTACGTCCAAGCAAGCCACCAAAAATGTCTTCGAAGCGCGGGTATGCTCAAGCAATCACTCAAACGTTGTCAAGTGCTAATTGCTGTCCAGACGAGGCTCGACCTCTGGTAACAAGCTCAAGATGACGCTCGGTCTGCCTGTGTATGTATCTTCCGCTTTACGCGATAGCCTGGTGATGAGATGGAAGCTGAGGACTAATAATCGCATAGCGGCGCCGTCGTCAACTGTGCCGATAACTCGGGAGCTCGCAACATCTACATCATCTCAGTCAAGGGTATTGGTGCGCGCCTGAACCGCCTGCCAGCTGCTGGTGTCGGTAAGACATGCTGTGATGGAATGCGCAATCAAGTACAACATGCTGAAGGGGTTCTCAGGTGATATGGTCATGTCAACAGTCAAGAAGGGCAAGCCAGAACTGAGAAAGAAGGTCATGCCTTCCGTCATCGTCAGACAGAGCAAACCCTGGCGGAGAGCAGACGGCACATATCTGTACTTCGAGGACAGCGCCGCCGTCGTACGTCACATTACTCTTAGGCGTCAAGGCTGTCAAAACGAACTCTGAACTAACATGAGTGTAGATTGTCAATCCCAAGGGTGAAATGAAGGGCTCCGCTATCACCGGTCCAGTCGGAAAGGAGGCTGCAGAGCTATGGCCACGTATTGCTTCCAACTCGGGTGTTGTGATGTAAAAGAGCTAGAATGAGAATAGGAAGGCTCGCGGGTGAAGAGCAGGAGACTTTCACGGACATCGAGCCTCACGATGGGCTTTGCACAAGACGGAGTTATACCAGGCTTCATGGCGATTAACGGTTGACAAATCAAGACGTCAATTCTCATTGCAGACGACCTATTTGCTGTATCATTTTGACCGCTCGCCTTCGAAAATAAGCATATCACGTGACATAGCCTCCTTCGCCTGCTTTTCCCTTCAACTTCTTAGCTTGCACTTGGCAACGACTATGGTTGATTATATTTACGAGATGATAGGCGCGATTTCTATTTATATATAGAGAGAGAGGGAGAGGCCTGTCCTATGCACTTGGGAATGGCATTTCTCCAAACCAAGCGCTCAGAAAAGGTAGTCATAACCTGGACGTCCAATCATCAGCCTTAGATATAGCCATGGCATGTCGTACCAAAATGTTATATGCTGAGCCCTTGGCAGAAACGTGATCTCTTCGGTCGAAGCCATTAGTTTGATCATGGCTTTACGGTCTAATGGAGACTCAGCAAAAGCTTGGGTTCGCAAGTATATAGCGTGCAGATTCGTCCTCGCTCGTCGATCCATGCAACTACGACATAGCTTGAATCCCGACACATCAACTTTGTGTGTCTTGCTTTCACTCCTTTCCCAAATCATTCTTAGCATTCCATCATGCACTCTTTCGGAAAGCTGCTAAAGGCACTTCCGCATCAAAGCCGAGACGGGAGCAAGGTCCGAGACCGCTGGAGGTCTTCAGGTCAAGATGGCACCGTTGAAAGCAAAGTATTTGAACTCTCATCCTCATAATATAGGGCGGGCTAACCCTGTTCAGTTCGGCACGACCACATCAGGTCGTCCCAAGTGGAATTTGGCCTCGCAGCCGTCCACGGATCCGACAATCATTGTGAAGCGGGTAGAAGCATCTTATCAAACTGGTAGGACAAGATCTATAGAAATCTCGTGCCCGAAGCTTGGCTACCGGGACATTATCGAGATGTCTGACATAATGGCCCCGGAATTAAGTGAGGACATCCGATGGACAATTGAAGACTTCTCACGACGGAACGTTCTTGACAGAGAAAGGGCTCTGAAGACTCTTCTTGCAGTCCGTACGGTCTGCGGGCAATTCGTTAAAATTCTTAAGCTCGACGCGCTTGTCGAGAAGCTAGTGAGCGACATGGCGAATCTCGCGTCGACGATCATAGTGCAAGTCGAAGACGACCTATCTAGGAGAGATTCGTTGTATGAATTTCCGTGGGAGATTCTTGAGCATCCAAGCTTTTGGCCCGAGGGCACCAGATACGACGTCAAAAGTGCGAAAAGGCTCGGTTTCGAGATTTACGTGAAGAGAAAGGCAATTGCGACAAGACTACCCTCGTCGGCGCGCAGACCTAGACGAGATGAAGGTGTCTACAAATTTGAAGTCTCTATATCGCTAGATTCTGTGAAGGACTCTGCTCCAAGTTACAATATCTTAATTGTTTCAAACAGGGATTCGAACGATCAGGATGATCAGGACAGTCATTTCATGATTGCCAGACCACTCTACGCCGCGATTTCTGGTATTGACGAGAACATTCACGTCAATATCGAAGTTTGTCGGCCAGGCTCATGGGATGCATTTTCAAAGCATTTGCAATGTAGGCGGAGAGGATACTGGAATGTGGTGCACATAGACCTACCTGTCGGACAAAGGTATGTGGTTAACATCCGAGTCACAGCAAAGTCAATTGACCATCTGACAGTTTCTTCCATTTCCACGACGGAAATTTTGGCGATTACGATCCCGTGCCAGATTATGAAGTTGCAGAACTCCTCTGCAAACACGACGTCCGTACTGTGTTCCTGACATGTAACGAGGCCAGGATAAACTCGACCACTCCGTCCACTCGCTTGGCCGCTGCCTTCGTTGCGGAGAACATCCCCATCGTGGCCTCCGCTCCGTTCCGCCTTCCTAAAATCTATCTCATGTTAATGAGCAGTGCCTTCTATCAGTCTATCCTACTGCTGCACCGTAAAGGCCCTTCCTATGCCGCGCACGTGGCGCGAAAAGCGATGCAGTCACAGGACATCGATCATCTTGGACGATATCACATTCCCGTCAGGAACACAATCGAGGGTGTCGGCCTAATTGTCTACGACAATGGAAATACAGACGGACTAGACGCTCGACGATTTTGCTATCCTACGACCGAAAAGACGCCTCGTAGATTTGGTTCTGTCAACTACCAGGACGTGTGGCTGTTTGGCCGAGATCTGGATGTGATGCGCCTCGAGAATCAATTACTTTCAAATCCAGATACTTCCAACATCTTGTGGTTGACGGGTAAAAGGTCCGTGGGCAAGTCCGCGCTCCTCTCCTATCTTACCTTCTGGTGGGCTCTCACAAAGTTCGTCGAAACGAGTGTCTATATCGACCTCGGCCAATGTCTGGATAGCTTCGACGGTGTCCTGGCACAGTTTGCCACTGTACTTCCGCAAGTAGGACTCGGTGAAGCGTACGCAGAGAAGTATCTGAATGATTTGAAAACAAGTAGCGATATCAAACGTACAAGGATCTACAAAGATCTGATCAAACTTTTGAGGGACCATAGAATTTATCTGTACTTTGAAAATATCGACCATTGGCGTCCAAGAAGCCTGGAGAAGTCGCCTCGAAACGAGGAGATGTGGGCAACCCAGAAGAAGCTCTTTCTGGAATTTATAGAGCAGTTGAGGGGTGGTCGGAGTTTTGCCGTCCTTGAGTGCCCGTACAACGATCAGCGAATCCGAGGAAGTAATGCAGTTTTTGATCTCAAATCTTTGAAGAAGTAAGTTTGCATCTATGCTCTTATGTTGTTCAAGCGCCGACACGAACTGCAGTCATGACGTCCAGCAGATGTTTGGAATCACGGAATGGGATAGATGGGTCGAAGGCACAAGCAACATCTTGATTCGGCAGTCCAACTTCCAGCGAGAGAAATCACGCGAAATAACTGAATTTTATGACGCCATTTTGGACTGCTCTCAAGGCCTCATGGCAGCTAAACAAAATTTTGTGTACGTGCTTGCGTGATCACGGAGTATTTTACGGAGCATAGAGACAGGACTAAGTACTGACTCTGTTCTAGGTACAATTTACCCTTCAATCCCGAGCAACGAACAAGAGATGTATTTGTACTATTGCACACGAACCATCCCGGTACTGCAGGACCATACAATATGGAAGCAAACGCCTCGGTGGCGCTTATCGAGCAGCTTTACGATCTCGTAATTAGGGATCGTGACGATATCGAAGACAAGAACCCTGAAGCAAACATGAATGTCCTACGGCTAATGTTCGCATTAAGCACTTTCTTCGAGCGTATACCGAAAGACATCAAATTCTACCTTGTACTCCTGTGGTACTACGGTATCTTCACGCCTGAATGGAGCTTACCTGGAAAACCGTATGATTATGAGAACGAAGAAACGCAAACCTTGGTGACCGAGAATGATCTTAAGGAAGCAGTCGTGGCACTAGAGGACTCGACAATCAACAGGGAATGGGATCATCTGCTCCGACATCTCATCAAATACGACTTTGTCTCGCCAGACCCTGATCATGAAGAAGATTATTATCTTTTGAACCCGACTGTAACGTTTTGCATGCGCAAAATTGTTTACGCGAGCCACGGCCCTCTTACCTCACCCATTCTGCCTCTCGCAATTCGCCTCGCTTCGCAAGACTACTACATTCACCGTTTTCAAACTGTGAACTACGCCGCTCAAAATGGCAATTGAGGCGATGGCGGCAAGTGACAATCGCATTTCTCTTTATATCGCGGAACATGTCACAAAGGCTTTTGACTCATGGACGACATCACCTACCGTCGCAGCTGAGACGTTCGATACGGTCGAATTCTACGAATTCTGGCGCGTCGCCTATATGTGCGGTCATCAAATGGCTATTTATCACAACGAAATGTCAAATTTGGCAGACGCATTTAACACCTCTGTGCTCTTCATGAAAAGATGTAAAGCGTTTGGCTTAAGATACGACGAGACGAGAAAGGAAGACGATGGTATGATGGCATACGACGAACACTTGAAGAATGCGGAGGAGGTGAGACAAGAATTGATCAACATGGGAGTCCTGGAGGATCATATCACGACAAACGATCTAGAAGTTCCGCCTGCTTATACTTCAGCCCAGGAAGGGAACACAGTCTGACGTAACCCAATATTTATTCGGCAGGGATTTGTAAATATAAATTTTCTTTCTCTAAATGCTAATGTTAGTCCGACACCAGTTTCGCTATTGCTGTTCTCCCGATATGCAAATGTGTTTCCCTCCCTTTCTCTCCCTTAGCTCGGCTCTTCCTCCCAGCAATCTCTCCTCCTCAACCATCCATGTCGTCATTTACAAAAAGGTTATAGTCCTTGATCTCAAAGGTCTCTAAGATTCGTTGACGAATCTTCACACCGTCTTCCGTCAGCTTTCCCAGCTTCCGATTTTCAAAGTCAATCTCGTCCTTGTTGTACTGGCCAGGTAGATGAGGGACATTCACCACGAGCAATATATCTGTCTTTTGCTTTTCGAGTCGCACCAACGTCAGCAGCGTTGCCGTGAAGTCTTCTTTGGACTGGCGGCCTGGCGCGTTCCTGTCCACGTGCTGCGAGGTGAACAGCGTGTATGCTGGAGTTTCGCTGTCGACAAGTGTCAGATCCCACTGATTTATTTCCTACTTCGTTACATACGGTAGCTTTGACAAATGCGCGGCTTCGCCGCCCCAGAACCTGGTCTCGTCGGTTTCAGTAGACACGATGTCGTTGAGGTGGTATTTGGTGGCGTCCTCGTCCGTCGGCGCTTTGTCCTTGTCCACTCGTTCCAGGATTTCGATGATCACATTAGTATATCCTTCAGCATCTAAATAGACTTCTTGATGATCTGGGACCTCCCGGATGGTGCTGTTACAGCCATGTTAGCAATGGCTGTGACATGAACATGAAGTTTCGAAAACTGACCTGACGTCTGCAAATGTTGCGGGAAGTTCCAGCGCAAGCGCCCCCCCAAAGAGTGAAACTGGCTTGAAATCCATTGTTTCCCTTTTTATATTTTGTGTTCGCGCTCTGGACGGCAGTTTGGGGTCAAGCTGTATCTGCTCGTCTAATATACGTGAGCAAAAGTTGCCCTTCGCAGGCAGCTTCAAGGCAACCAGTTCACAGTGGCCTAATCTTCTAGGCTGCAGTGAGTTGCAATCTATTTCAGAGGGGCCAAATGGCAATAGTCGGGAATGAATTTATTTATTCTTTATGCGGGTTTATGAAGGTTTTCATGCTCTGGCAATATGTAAAGATTTGGTATTTGCCTAAAGCGGATCGCGCTTAGCGCAACAAAGCTCCCTTACCCGACCCGTCACATCATCATCATGATCAAGGACAACAGGATGCAGGTAAATGAAACTGAGGACTTGGAGATAGGATTTCATGTTGAATCATAAATGAATAGACTACCAGTAAGGATCATTTAAAATCTTTCTGGGCCTTGTAACAAGGCGGCTCGCTATCTTTTCGAGATCCTGTCTACCTTGTTCTACTTAACTCGGACTGCAACCTCCAATGCAAAGTTCGTCTGCACTGGTTACTATCTTTCCACCTCAACGGTGAAAATGTGGCTCATGATCCACCAATGTGATTCATCATAAGATTCCATGTTCATGAGCATGCCGAAAGCACTGAACTGTTCATTCTTTTGCTTTATGGGCTTGAACGTTCTCTTTCCTTCTTTGTGCAACATCCCAATTATAGACTCTTGCAGTAGCAACCTCGAGAGTCGTGATCTGCTCACGCAGAAAGTCCAAATCTTCTTCGCAATTGTCCAAACTCTGCTGTGCTGCCGAGTGCTTCGATCTCAAAAGCTCTACTGCCTCGTCCAAAGGATATGCTAACATAACATTTGCACCTAGCCAAAGGTACACCTCGTCTGTTGGAGGGACCTCGGCTTTGGCGTACAACGTATCGTTGAGCTCGAAAATCGACTCAAGAGGTTCTGCGTCCGGCTGTCCATCACGTTAGCTGCCGTGATCACGCGCACATGCACGTCATCACTAAAAGAAACGTACGCCTCTCGCCTTCAAAAATTGTACTGTTTCAAGTGTCTTTTGAATATCTGGTATCTTCTCGCGCAATCCAACAGCTCTCCTTTCGGTGTTGACCTGCATGAATTGGTATTTGCTGAATCATTTTTTTTAGAAACGTCCCTCACGAGATTCTGAGGATCGAACCACGCACGATATCATCTCTTGAAAGTTCTTAAGGACACCTTCCACCTCTGCTCTGCTCGAGACATAGTCCTCGACTTTGTCAACGAAGGGCGCAACCGGGATACCACGCGGGTTTGTGGCTGCATCGCGAGTTCAAAGCGCAAGTCAGTATGTTAGAGCTCAGCGATTATGCGCATACCACCTACTTTGTAGTCGCAGATGTTGAAGCCATAGCTATGATCCGCGGTGCGCGTTGACTCAGAATATTTCCAGAAAACAGGTCAAGCTGAATGTTGGCCTCAGGCAGAATAGTGGACTTTGAGGCTATAAGGCTTTAAGGCGACAAAGACGTTAATGCGGGGTAACTTAGTCAGTGACTATCACGTGACTATGGAACAGCTTGTGCGAGCGACCACCGGACTATCCCTCCATCCCTTCCACCTAGTCTTGATTCCGTTTCTAGACGATGCAATCTTTGCTGACGGTGAGGCTGCAATGCCAGTGTTTGCATTCGAATGCAGAATCGAAGCATGAAGAGCATGGTCACATATCTTCACATGCAGCCTCGAGTGCCCTGCAGAATGCGCCCACGCTGAACTATCATTGTCCTGGCAGCTCCGCTGCAGTCCCGCGCGCTGTTTCGATAGCGCTGGTCCCAAAAATAGACATCTGAACCAATCAGCCTCACGTTTCCGATTATTCGTGACCTCATGGGCTCACCACTGGAGGCATGCAACATCCTGTTACCTTTTCAGCAGATTGGACGGACTGAGTCCATGTGTGCTGCGAGTACGCTGCGAGGACGGCGATGACCATTGTGCATAGCGACGGTGCACCCCGGAATGATCATCGTATGACACTCACCGGCGATCTTTGAACCTCCGTTAGCATTCAGCTGAGGAATGTTATCTGCCAAAGGCCTCGTAGAGGGGTTTAACGACGCATCAAGCGAATTGTGGCAATGGTGATGGGATTGAACGATGTTGGGGTCAACTAGTTGCAGGCAGCAAAAATCCTGTGCGTCGGTGCAGGACAGCACTTGCATCCGCGTCTAGCAAGTCTCCCATCTTTTTGCCTAGCAAAGATCCTATTCCCTGTCAAAAAGCCTTGTTTGACAAGGGTCAAATCTTGAACGATGCGTGTACAATTACCGTGTGAACCTTGTTGATACGATCTCAAAGCTTAATGCGGAACAGAGATGCGACGAGGGAAAGACTTCCTTGACACGACCTTTGCTGCGGTATCTTCCATATGACGGGAATAACCTCGTATTCAACATGCACATCTTAAACTGAATTTGTGCATTCGCTACGGCTTCTTGCGGCTTTGGCATGCAAAGGCTGAAGAGGAGATAAAGACCCTGAACACGGCTTGCCTTTCACATCTCATTTGGTATTGCTTGGATCGAATATACACATCGCTTAAACTTTGGATCCCGAGAGAATTACTTGGCTATGGAAGACTTTTTGAGGACCAAGTTTGCTGGCAGGCGCCAATCCTTCCACAAACAGAAGTGCTTAAATCTTGGCAAGCAGTCCTTGTCCCGTTCGGTCGATCCACCGTTTTTCTTCAGCCCTGCAAAACTCGGCAGTCAGCCCATCATAGAGGCAGGAGGCTGCGGCCCGATAAGTGCCTCAGCATTTAGTAGCTACTTCGTAATTCTCACGGCCAACTACCAGCGATCACCGGTGAGTTGGATCGGCGGGACCGTGGATTTGTGGCCGTCATGCATTCACCAAGCTCGACGGGCGGAAGTGGAACTTCATGCAAAGCGCCTTTCGCTCAATGTCACTAGCTTCTGGCAAGGGCATGTACAGTACGGTAATGAAAGTTACTTTTGGTAGTATATTACCAGATTTTTTGGAGAAGGCGGTGACGAAATCCGATCAGATCATGTGAAGACTTTGAAAATGCTGAAATCGACGGGTAGTATATATCTATTGAAATTATGTACAGTCAAGTCGCTGAAGAGTCGATAGCCGTCAAGCAAGTAAGATATCAAAATCCAACAAAAAACTAGTGCTATACAGAACGTCTATGAAATTGTCCCCATCCAGAATGGTCATTCGAATCCTCAAGTCCTTTCAAAGCTAGAGTGAAACACATGTAGTCCAAACACCATCAAGCAGCACCAGCACAAAAGAGACCTTGGGATGGAACCAACATCTCAAGGCCTTGAGCTGCATACAAAACCTGTGAAATGTTTGAACAGTTGCGTCCTTCAGCCTAAATAAGTCCCATAGCATTATAAAGTGGCCTTTTACCAAACAATTCTCACCCTAAGACGCCTGCAAGGCCCATTGATAAACGTAAAACCGAGCCTCTGGGATGCGATGGATTTAAGAATACTCTAAAGCGCTTATACCTCGTAGCCAAGACCCTGCCTCATGAACTTGCCAAGAACCTGAGCCTATAAACTTTGTGAGAGACGATTCGATAATTATGTTTAATTCGAACTTACGTGAGGCTCCTTCATCATAGTGAAGTGATTGCCACCCATGACGTAGAACTCCATGTTGTCCTCGTCAACCAGCTGGCCCCAGCCGTTGTGACCGAAATCAGTGCGGTTGTTGAGCAGCCATTTCATTGGCAGAGGATCCTCACCTTCAGCTGGTGGAGGGCGTGGATCATCGGGATTCGGGCACACGCCGTCAGTGCACCATATAGCGACAGTGCGAGGCGCTTTCCCCTTGGGGAATGGAACAGGCTCGTACGCGCTCAAGGAGGCGATTGCGGCAGCGAAGTGAGGAAGCAACCAGCCTGGAGTTCCTCCAGCCTTGCCCGTGCCAAGGAGACCAATCTGGTCAAAGAAAACGTGGAGGCGGGCTGGTAGTGGATCTAGCTGCAGAGGGCAAGGAGAATCAAGCAGGAGGAGGCGTTCGACCTCTTCGCCATTCTGGATCAGCTGCATAGCAGTCTCATATGCAATCACGCCTCCAGCTGACCAACCACCGATCATGTATGGACCGTGGGGTTGGCGGCGCTTGATCTCCTTCAGGTACAAGCCGGTCACAACCTCAATTCCGCACTTCCACTGTTCAGGCTTCTTCATGAACGGACAGTTCAGACCGTAGACGGCCATGTCCGGGGAGATGTTGGGGATGGAAACATAGGATGTAGCAGATCCAGAACCATCAGGAAGTAGGAAAAGCCGCTTGGTAGCAATCTTTGCATTACCCTGGAGAAGGACTGAGTTTGCCGGTGGCAACCCTTGCATCTCACGCTGAATCATAGCAAGCTTCGCTGCGACTTCAGCTTCCGTCGGAATGTCCGGGATCTTGTCCGCCAACTTAAACGCGCCAGCGTACCCAGGGCGGTTTTCAGTGGGGGCTGGCTGAGCTTTTAAAGCCTGCGATGGCTTTGATGGCTTCGAGGGCTTTGGGGCAGCAGGTCCAGCAGGTTCAGCCGCTTTTGGTCGCATGCCAAGTGCGTCTTCGATGTCCTTGATGCAGCCATTGGTGACTAGGAAAGTGGATGGCAGATCTATGTTTGTGGCCTCACGAAGAGCACCGAGGATAGTCAAGCTCATGAGAGAGTCCATGCCCATTTCAGCGAGGTCAGCGTCATCAGTGATCTCAGAAACATCAACTCCCATCTCTTCGGCCACAATCTTGCGTGCCAAAGAAGGGCCAGAGCCAGAAGGGGCCGCAGCTGGAGCGGCAGCCTTCTTCTCACCCGTGATTGATGGAGCGGAGCTTGGCGCGGAGCTCGCTGGCGTAGACACCTCATCATCAGACGGCACTTCGGCTTCAGAATCGACATCCGAGTCGTCTTCATCAACAGGAGCAGCACCACCATCTAGGGCAGCAAAGTATTTCTTCATTTCACCAACTGTTGGGTAGTCGGTGAACAGACTCGAAGGAATGTCCAGGTCTAGATCCTCACGGAAGATGGCGGAAATGGTGAGCGATAGAAGAGAGTCAACACCCAGATTTTCAAAGGCGGCGTCGTCGACAAGCTCAGACATGTCAACCTCAGTTTCTTTCGCAACAATGTCCATAACCTTGGCGACGATACCACCAGTGGATTTATGTGCCTTCGGCGCCTTTGGAGCTTTCTTGGGTTTCTCGGCCTTGACTGGAGCAGCCTTGACAGGCTTAGTCGTCTTGGTTGTCACTGGAGCACTCTTGTTTACCTTAACTGGAGGAGCTGCGACCTTCGGAGCAGCAGGAGCAGCAGCAACGGATTTGGACGGGACGCCCTTCTTGACTGGTGGAACCATGACGTTCAGTGCGCGGCGAGGCACGTTCTGGAACTTAAGCTGGGTGACCATACCAATGATTTCATCGCCCTCAAAGATGTAGACGTCACCCGTCGAGATGGTTGGGTTGCTTGCCAGTGGCTGCATGCGGACATAGGAGCGGTACTCCTTGTCAGCCGAGAGTGCACGGGAAATACGAATCTCACCCCAGCCGTGAGAGATGTAGACAGACTCGGAGGAGTCAACAACATCGGACGCGTTGACGATGAAACCAGAGATGTGGGCGAGAGCATCGATCCAGAATGGAGAGCAGAAAAACTCGCCATCCTTGTCAGTAGTTGGGAAATGGACCTTTGAAGTAGCCTCCGTTTGCTTTCCATCGAGGATGACCTCCTCCATACCTCGGTATGGTGGAGAATAGGTAACGAGGGCCTTGAAAAGCTTGTAAGCCATGCCCCGAAGGACCTTGTGAGCAGCGCCTGTTTGTAGCTTGTGGTGGAGAAGATCGATCTGGCTCTGGACCATGTAACCAATGCGGTTCCACTCGGTGTGCCACTTCTCAGTGTCTTCGTACTTCACCTTGCCGGTACCAAGTTCAGTAATGAGTGTACCATCGGCCTTCACATGACGCCATGTCATGTACACGCAGCCTTCCTCAAGATCAGCTGCAGCTTCGAGTTGCAGATGTTGACCCTCTGGAGGGGGTGGCATGATGGCAACGAAAGGTTTGTGAACCTCCATTTCACAGACATTGTAGCCAACCGCTCCAGCACCTGGTCGAAGCTCCTTGTATAGGTAATCAGCAGCAGTCATGGCCATATCAGCATAGAGCGAAGATGGGCAAAGAGGAGCATCATTGACTTGATGGCCGGTTACTGCGGCATACAGCTTGGGTTCAGTGATGTCGGACTGGATGACGATGGTGCCAGAGTTGGCATGGAGCTCCTCCTTTATAATCTTCTGGCAAGAAGTAGTATGCAGTTTGCTCTTGATCTCAGGTACCGGCTTAACGATTTCGACTGGGGCAGCAACAGGTGCTTCACCTTTGGTAAGGGTCCAGTTGTGATGGTAATCGAGCCAGTACCTCTTATCGTCAAAGCTCATCGTCGGCAGTGTCAGAAGCTCCTGGGCATCGTTGAACTCACGGTGGAATTCATTAAAATCGATATTCACACCAGCCAGGTAGAGAGAAACCAGGGAGGCAGAAAGTGTCTTCCAGGGGTCCTCATTGCGGCGTAGAGATGGAGCAGTGACTGGAGAGCCACCCAGGGAAGCGCGGACCATGCCAGAGCACACTGGGTGAGCACCAACCTCAATCCAAGCAGTCTTCTCGTCGAAGACCTTCTCCTCCTGACCGGTGGCAAGCGCAGACCAGAAGTTGACAGTCTCTCGAGCGTGACGAGCAAGGTAGTCTGGGCCGATGATCCCAGCCTCGCGGATGACTTCACCAGTGAGAGGAGATAGAACAGGAACCTGAGGCTTGTTGAAGGTAACAGCAGCCGCAGCCTGCTTGAATGCCTCAAGAATAGGATCGACTTGAGCAGAGTGGAAGGCAAACGGTACGTTCAGTTTGGTGTTCTTGAAGCCCTTGGCCGCGACGATGTCGCTGATGCCTGCAATGACTTCAGTGGTACCGCAAAGAACGGTCTCTTCAGGACCGTTGATGCAAGCTACCTCTGTCATCTTGTCTCCAAGAAGCTGCTCCATGGTCTCGACATTGGACTTAACCGCCAACATACCATGAGTATACTTGGTGCAGTCGCGCTCGAGAAGCTGGGCACGGCGGCCGACGAGAAGGATCATGTCGCTGGCAGATATAACGCCAGCAACGTGCAGAGCAGCATACTCGCCAAGAGAGTGACCAATCACTGCAGTTGGCCTAATGCCCCAAGAAGCCCACATTCTAGAGAGCGCAATTTGGATGCAGGCCATTCCAAGCTGCACAACCACTGGGGACAGGGTGGCAACGTCGGTGCCGTCAAGGAGAGGAATGAAGGATGGGAAGCCTTGGAGACGAGCCATGTTGTCGAGCTGGTCAATATCCTCTCGGAACGAAGAGAGATCCTTGTAAAGCGCCTGAGCAAGGCCGGTGTACTGAGAGCCCTGGCCAGTGAAGCAGAAGGCAACTTTGGTGGGAACCATGGCAATTGGGTTGTAGGTATCCTTAATCTGTGCCTGTAGGCCATCACGGACCTTGCTGATGTCGGATACGGTAAAGGCAACACGGTAGTTGTGTTGGATACGACGAGCAGTGGTCGTGTACGCCAAAGATGTCAATGTTGCCGAGGGGTGCTTGGCGACCCAATCGCTCAAACGCTGGATGTTACGCTTGATAGAAGCAATTGAGCGAGCTGATACCGTAATCACGTGGGTGCTTCGGGGATCCACACCAGTCGGTGGCTTGTACAGAGGTCCCTCCTCCAGGATGGCGGAAGTGTTGCCACCAGCTGCAGAAAAGTTGTTGAGGAAGATCTTGCGGCACTCCTCTCCCTTGCGGGGAGGGAGCGGAGTGTTCACCGTCGGGATGTTCACCATACGTTGCGCCAAGTCTTTAGGGAACGTCTGATTGATAATGCCCTTGATACCAACGTTGGCTGGGATCATGTTGTGCTGCCACATTTGGAGAACCTTGCACAATGCGTTTATGCCAGAGGAAGCCTCACCGTGTCCGATATTAGCCTTGATGGCACCAAGATACAATGGCTGATCAGGACGCCGCTGACGATCGCGAGGAGCGAAAGCATTCGTGACGGAAGTCATTTCGATACCGTCACCAGCCTGCGTACCAGTGCCGTGCATTTCGACGTATGTGACATCGAGAGGATCAACACCAGCTGTGGCACATACACGCTTGAACAGGAATTCCTGAGCACCAGCGTGCGGGTGGGTGATGGATACAGCCTCGGCGGAGTGATTGGTTGCAATGCCAAGAATGCTACCAAGAATGTTATCCTTATCAGCAATGGCGTCCTCGTAACGCTTGAGGATAACGGAGGCGCAACCATCACCACGGCAATAGCCATCAGCCGCGTTGTCATACGTCTTGCAAGACCCTGTCTTGCTCAGGAACTGACCCTTGGACAAGCCAGCAAAAATATCTGGGTTGGTCAAGACGTTAAGACCACCTGCAACTGCAGTGTCGCAGTCACCGGCCCAGAGGGACGTGCAAGCAAGCTGAATGGCAGCCATGGATGACGAGCAAGCCGTATCAATAGAGAACGACGGGCCGCTAAACTTGAAATAATAGTTTATGCGACCCGGTGCAAAAGCACGCACACCTCCGGTAATGAAATAGGTGTCAACGTTCTCGGCTGCGTTAATCTCACGCCAATCGTCAGAGGTCTGGCCATAGAATGTACCAATCCTGTCGAGTTTGGTGGAAGGAGTGCGATTTGGAACGTAACCGCTCATTTCCAACGCTTCATATGCTGTTACGAGCGCAAGTCGACCCATCGGATCGGTCTGGGCAGCCTCGCGAGGAGACATGTTGAAAAATCGAGGGTCAAACAGACCGGGCTCATCGATAAAGCAACCATACGGAGTGTGTGATTTGTTCTTACCCTTGCCAGATGGGTCGCAGTGAGCATCAGCGTCGAAACGATCGGCGGGAACCTTGCGGTGAACGTCCAGTCCCTTCATGAGGAGATCCCACAGCGCTTCATGGCTTGCAGCCCCTGGGAAACGGCCAGCCATACCAACGATTGCAATCTTGTCGTTTTGAGTGCGGCCAAATGTCTTGGATGGCGCGCCCCAGGAGGTGTGGTCCTTGACAACAACATTAGGTTGTCCACCAGCCTTGAGCGCGGAAACCAAGCTGTTGGTGACGTTGGTAATACCGAAGGACGTAATATACGCTTCAGATGCGTTGGTAGCTGTAATCTGCGAAACTGTCTCCTCGAGCAGATGGTCCCAGCGTACCGGAAACTCGAGGATCTCCTCCGCGACGAGGGTGAATAGCTCAGCGGCGCTGGTGGCAGAGATACACTTGCCAGTCGCAGCTGAGTGCACGAGAGCTGACGGACGGAAGAATCGCAAGTTCTTGATTGTGTCATTGTCAAATATCTTCGCGCGTTCATTCTCGCCATATAGATGAGCGGCGTGGTACGGAGCATAGACTGGAATGGGCACTCTGTGGTTCTTTGCCAGCTCTGTCTCTTCAAAAAGCCTCTTTGTGATCGAGGGCGGACCAGAAATCGTCAGGGCCATGACGCTCACAGCACTAACGTACGCCTGGCTCGCAGGCTGAATTCCATTGGCGGCATGGAAGTCGGCCAAAATAGCATTTGCAGTCTCCTCGTTGGTATTCGTGACAATGGTCGACCAAGGCTCCTGGCCATTGGCCACCGGTTCGAGAGCGATCTTGGCATTCGCAGTTGTGTTGCCAATTCTGAAGGAAATACGGACGGCTTCCACTGCAAGAGGTAGCAAATCACTGAGGGACTTCGCACATGCAATTGCGGCGGCGGCGACAAGACCGGTGCAAAGACCAACAAGTCGCACATTTGAGGCATTGGGCAGTTCGGTCGGGTTTTCGCTGAAGTATCTGTGTATTTGGTTAGCTTCATTCCTTGGTAATGTGATTACATCCGCAAGAAACATGTAGCATACCCGATGAAGTGCGCCAACTGAGCAATTGTCAACAGAGCGGACTCGATTTGAGGAACTTTAACACCCTTCTCATGGTAGGCTTCCGTGAGATGGTTCAGAGTGAGAAAATTCGGGATTGTGTCTCGCTGTGTCTTTGGGAGCTTCTGGACTTCCTCTCTCAATGCGAGAGCCGCGCGCTCTAGAAACGAAGCCAGTAGAGTGTTGTTCTTCCTCGTCACCAGACTTCGCAAAAACGCGATCTGGGACGCCGTCTGGTCGCCAAGCACAAACGTGTTCATGGTGATAAATAAAAAAGAGAGGATTATATATTAGAATGCAACGCAGACGGACAGAAGAAGAGAGTCCTTATGGAGAGATCCGTCTCGGCTGGAACTTGAATTTCGACGAAAAATTGCAGTACTATCGAAATGGTCCTTCAAGTTCTGGCGCGAGAAGGGGAGATGAGGGGGAAGGGATCCGCCGGAAAGGTTGGGAAGGGGTATGAGGGCCGGCGTGAGAGAAACTCTGGATGTTCCCAATTACGTCGATACAGGATAGATTGAGAAAAATACTTTGTCGACGGTGCCCTCGGAAGAATAGAAAAGTACTAGAAAGCACGAAAGTCTATGTTTGCCAGGGCGTCGGAGGGGAGAGCGGGATGCTTTTGAACAAGAAACGCGAGCACCTGGTACTAAATAGGGATGTCTCCGCCTCTCAGCCTTCACGTAGAGCATGATGATCAAGATGAGACTAGTCCAGGCGACGAGCATGAGCACAGACAGTCGTTTGAGAAGCAGTGCATTTACTACCTGACGTGAAGGTGTTACTCCTGGTAGAGAGGCTAAGCGGCTGGGTTAGCTGCCGAGTGGAGACGCTTGGGGGGGAGGAGTGTCAGGTCTCTGTGCCAAAGATAGGTACTGTTTTTCTTACCGCAACGGTGGCGGCCAAGATGGATCGATAGAGAGCTCGAGCGCAGTAGTAAGGCATATTGGTCTGCTAGAGAGAACCAGAAACGATACCAGCAGGGAGGGCGTTGTCCGTGCGTCAGAGATCTGCCACATTTAATTCGGTTGGCACGGCTCCCCATTTAGCCCCCGAGCTATGTTGTTTAAGGGAGGCGATGCATTCTGGGGGGCTGAAGTTATGTCAGCACGGTGCTAGCCAGTTTCGGCCGGGCAGTATCGTGGACGAAGAATCAAGATGGCAGAATCGACGGGTATCGAATGTGCTTCTTGGACGTGCCGGCTCCTGGATCGTCCTTCGGAACCACAGTGGAGAGAGTTGGAACGGAGACTGTCGCAGTTTTGGAGCCGGCGGGAGCGAACAGCACACGATACTTTTCGTCGACGGTAGCACAGGTCGAGCTATGCGCGGTGACAGCTCCACGCTCGGTCGCCCGGTCCTGTGCATGTTTTGAAAACCGTCCTGCTTACACGCAGGGGGTAATTGCGCTCCGTCATAGGATGCTCAATGGGGGGAAAAGGCAATTGCCGGGCTGACTGCGGGCCTCTGGGTGGCTGTGGAATTAATACGGGGAGAACAGGGATACGGCTAGCGGGCGTCACGAATTACGAGGTGAACTTTGATTGCGACAGTCGATCGAGGTTGATGATAACGGCTTTTTGCTCTCGGCGCCGATGGGCGGCTGCAGAACCGGCTGGACTCCTACACCAGGTCGAAAAGGAGAGCCGTGACCAGATGGAAGGAAATGTCAAAGCCAGACGAACTTTGTAGAATGCAAGCAGCCGATGGTTCTGCTGTGCATGTACAGGACTGCGGACGAAAGGTCTGACAAGGCGAGTGGATCTCTGGCCCGTACAGTAAAGAAAACCAACATCTGCGCTAACTTGTTCCTGGCTTCGTCTTCTATTAATGGGACCATGGCGGAGCTCTTGGCGTGAAACGAGGCGCTGCCCAGAACGCCCCAGACGATTTACCTCTTCTGCAGATGGGAGTATCGAAATTTCCTGCGCCCGCCTAAAGGGTAGCACTTGCGTATCTTTTCGTGCTTTTGTGTGTTGATAAGACTTCGCCGTCCAAGCTGAGTAATCCCTACGCTCGTTTCTCCGTTGCCCTGCGGTGACTTGACCGGACCGTCTGTTTGGCATATCCTGCTGTCCTCGCCTGATAAGCGTGCATCCAGCGAGGTCCGTCGTGAACTCGCGTCCACAACTGTGACACGCAAGGCTCTACTTTACGCATAGCTTCCAGAGATCGAAAATCCCATGCTTCGATGTTAGCGTCCGCGATTTCCGTCCTTGACATGCCACAAGTGACAAGGCAGATGCCGCCGATCAATTCCAGCACCTACCTTGAGCTGGAACCGGATTCTCCACGCTTCATCCAGCACTGTGTAACGTATCTGACTATCCTCGCCTTAGTTGCCTGTTCTGGTGAAGATTCAGTCGTGAGAAACTTTGGGCTGGATTTGATTCCGCTGCTTTGGCTCGGGTTTGATTCGGACGGGAGGCCTTGCATTGAACCTGCGGTCATCAGCGTGTCGTCGGTGAGCAGTAGCACGGTTCCCTGCTCGTGGAGGGCCTGACGGACCCGTACCAAACAAAAGAACGTCTTGGTCCAGAGCTCGCGGAGCAATCCTCTACGGAGTTCCTGCCAGTTTGCTCCAGCAGTGTTCGGCGAGAGCGAAGACGGTGCGTGTGCTCTGATATCGTCCAAGGCGATGGGGGTCAGAGAGAGCCCTCCGGTAGTTCGAGACCACCTCCAATGCGCAAATTCGTCGTCTGACAAAGATTAAGCAATAGTATCCCGTCAGCAGCTAGGAATCCTTGAAATCTGGCACATAACAGTGGGGAGGTGTTGAACAACCCAGTACTCTTCCACACGAGACTGAAGTCTTATGTTTGGCAGAAAACAACCGAGAGAACGGTCAACAAGCGTTGCGAACAAAACAAGATCAATTTACAAATCGTTCTGCATGAAGCCCAAATATCGCCTTGTGACGCACCGCGTCAAGTGCCACAAGCACAGCAAGATACATTGGACGATTGCTAATGCAACTCTTCGCGTCTACGATGCGACTGGTTCATCTTGACGGCCAACCTGGATTCGAATGGCATCTTGTTCAGAGCCCAGCAGTGCACCGGTGATTTCGTGACGTGCTTATACACAGAACATCCATCAGAACTGAAGAATGCGTTGCTGATTTTCGAGCAGCTGATTGTACCACACTGAATATATGTACATTTTGTCATGATGGACGAGGGTCTCAAGAGCTTACGACACCGCATAAAAGGCGTGTTTGCTTCATTGGGTGATCTCGACACTTGTAATACTTCAGTAATACGGCAACAATGCAGTCCCGACGTCGTCTTCAAAACGGACGTGCAATTCTCAAATCCGTACGCAGAAGCATTCCATTGCTTAGGTGACTTTCTGCCTTAGGCTACAACGCACGAAGTTGACGTGTCGAACAGCTTTTGTTCCCATTCATCAGCTCTCCTATACGATGCAGAATGATAGTTTACGACGTGTTCTCTTTTTCAGGTGAAGATTCGTACTTTCGGCAGATACATTCCTCAAGCTTGAAAATTAATGCGCAGAGTCACATCATGTTCCGTTGTGAGCCACTCACATGTTCCTCGGCAGCCACCAGTGGCTCCGCATGCACCGAACGTAATGGCAGATGAGCACAATACTGCTTGCAGCCACCATGTCTAAATCTCCTGCAGAGAGATGAGAGGTTCTCCTTGTCTAGATCGGATTTCACAACGGGGCCAGAAACGCCTTGGTTTCTTTCAAGAGAGACCTATAGTTATTAGAGAGCCTCCGTCTCAGCCTTATCTTCATTGATCCACGGTCAGCAATTTAAGCCCTTTTGTTAGGCAACCTATGTATCATATACCTCATTGGAATTGCTTGCACGCAAGTCCTGGAAGTTAAACGCCAGACCACAATCGGCCATATGAGGCGGTCTCCGCGGATGAACAAACATCTGCAAAGGTGTTCACTACTGTCGAACTGTGGGTTATCCTATATCTTGACTCGGAAGCTGAATCAATGCATAGTCCCAACTCTCTATGTTAACTATGACACAAATGTAAAAGGCGATGCAGATAACCTAATGCAAAAATCCGGAAGCATGTGATAGGGGCTTGTCAAAATTCCCAACATGTAACAAGCGTCGAGTACATCATCATCATCATCATCATCATCATCATCATCATCATCATCATCATCATCATCATCATCGTCGTCATCGTCATGAACAAAAACAAAAGTACCTGAAGTCTTGGATAAGCCCCTGAACAATCGTCCGTTGTAAAGTAGTCACCCTAAAGTCAGGGGCTAAATATTCTTCATTACAAACACGTCTTTGGGTGGCAAAACATCTTCACTTCGCTTGCTCGTCCACTCCGTGTCGAGCTATCCCTAAGATGGAGGAGAAGTTATGAACATGTGCGATAGTGGTACCAAGAAACACAAGCTCGCCTCTTGACTGCTTGGGCTTGGCATATCGTCAAGTTCCTAGATAGCATCTCCAAGCACGATCGAAGTTTAGTCCGCAGAAAAAAAAGCCCTCCGGGATCAATGCCCAGACCGTCAAGCCGCTAGCCTAACCCGCGAACAAGAAGGACAAGACCTCTGGGAAATGACAATACGAGATACAACCCCCAAACTTTTTTCCTCGCGGCAATCACCGTATCTTTTCAAGGTTTGATTGTAATCAAGATAACAAGCTGGGGCCAGAAAATTGGCGAGCTCATTCATCGCCCATATTAGCAGTCGGATGCTGTGAGAGTGTGTCGTCGCGAGGAACATGTGGCTGGCGTGCCAGGTGTGCTTCTTTACCTCTGCACAGACCCGGCGTCTCGTGTCGGTCTGTCGTTGGTGGTGGCCTTTTTTCACAACGGTGACGGGGACCCTCTGACCTTATTGCTCTCACGGCGTTACCCCTGAACACCCACAAGTGGCTGCCAACGCATCTTCGAGGATCCACCAACGATTCAGTAACTGCATCAAAGTTTGGAATCTAGTCATACGCTTGATTGAGAACCAATGGCCGAGCTAATCAACGGCGCAGCGACGAATCCGCCGAATGAATTTGAGAAACGCTCCACTTTGTCAGATCAGAAACACGCAGTGCTGCCACTTGTACGAGAATAGACTCGCCAGTGCAGACCCACTGCGGGAGGCTTGGGACCGCCGCAATGCTTGTTCAGATCCTAACTTAAGATGAATCCACCAATATGGCCGCTTATGTCATCCACATCTGACGGATTTTCTCCCATTCTCCCGAAGCGAGCTTGCCTCTTTACCTAAGGCGCGAACGTTGCCCTACATTATTGTGCTTATAGAATGACTCCAGGCCTGACCAATTTCAGGACTTCTGCCTGCTAAAGAAGCGGATAAACGATTTGGGAGTAAGGAAGTCGTGTTTCTTTTGTTTACAACTCCCTCAAAACGTGTCAAATATCGAATAGAAGCGTGGATATGCCCCCACAGCTTTAACTCGCTGTTCTTAAATACAATTATTCAAGAATTACACGTGCCGCTCCGTCTTTGGTCGTAATTTTGAAGGCGGAGAGTAATTCTGAACTCTCATGTTGCAAAGAGATTCACCCACGAGCCATAGCTCAGATTATCAATATGCGAGCGCGATCCAAGGCACCCACAATTCAAGGCGAACCA